CAATAAAATATCTGAAAATCTGACGTATTGAGCCAAAAAAATTTATTGGCAGCAGGATTACAAAGTTTAATTGCCTCCATTGTCTGAGCTTGAATTTTCTGCAATTCACAAAGCATATAATTTTTTCATATGATTTTTTACGACTTCACAATTTCACAACTTCTAAGAAGAAATTTTCCTTGAAATACAAGAAAAATACAAAAAAATTATTTTTCAGTGCATAAAATGACGCAGAATTGTTTTTTAACATAGGTTATTCATCATAAACAAAATGGAATCACTCTTCATAAATTTCATAATTTCTCTCTTTCCACTTTCTTAGCAGTCAAGTAATTAGTATCCCTGACTGTTACCAGTTAAAAATTTTTGCCAAGAAGTTTCTTAGCGATAGAAGTAAGGTGGGTTATCATCATTATCGTCAACCGAATTTTTAATGAATTTATTCCTGCTAGAATCAGGCAGTGATACTTGACATAGATCAAAACAACCATATCATTTGATCATCTCTGACCCAGAAGAAATTGTATACAAATTATGCAAATTTTTATGAGTTTAAAATATGTAAACATATTTTAATAAATCTATATTGCTAAAAATTTTCCAAAATATTTTGAAAAAAAATTAAAAAATTAAAAAACCAGAAAGATATATGAAAAAGCCTCACAAAAACTTGTTGCATTATATCATAACAATATGATCGTTCACCAAAATTTGAATCGAAAACATACGACGGATGGCGTAAACCAACCATTGGATATACTACACCGTTTAAACCGACACGTTGAAAAGTACCTTAAATAAGGTGAATTGTCTCATACTTTATTAAAATAAAATGGATCGTTACATTAAAACAAGCTAAAGAAATCAACCAACCTATTTGTTTACCGTTTTTGGTGAAGAATAAAGAACGTTTATAACGAATATAGCCACATCCAATCACATCACCATTATCGCACGTACATCCAACTGTGCCTGACTCCATGCTTTCGGAGTAAAATTTACCGTCAAATCCGCAAAATCCATATGAAGTTTTATCACAACCTTAAAGAAAACAATGCAAAAAATGGAAAAATTATGTTGCCTTGAAACAAGAAATATTTTACATAAATCACTTCTTGTGAGCTTCTCGAAATTTTGAGCAAAAATTTTCTAGATTATTATACAGTGAAAGTGAAAATTTAAAATTTAAGTGAAAAAATCAAAAACATAGTACAAAAAAGATCCTAACAAATATATTTTCCTCAAAGCAATTAATATCACCAAACGGTAAATATGTAATTTCTTTTAAAAAAGGATACCTTTATGAAAATTATTTAGCATTTTATGCAAATCACATTTAGAGCATTTTATACAAATCACTAAGAATAGCCTTTTTTTCATACTACAGAAGCACTTGGAAGATTTGAAAAATTTACTATGTCTTCTAATTTCTTCTTTTCTATTAGCAAACACTACTTAGTTGAGACTCCACTTAAAGGATGAAATCCTTTTAGATGTTCATCTAAGCAGTAGGAAGAGACCAAAAGTACAAAATGGTTACAGAACCACTCAGGATTTTTCAAATTATATTTATTTACTTTCTTCTTTCTCCTCTTCTTTAATATCATTTTGAGTCTAGAATGTATTTTGATCCATCTTCAATTAAGAGAAAACCGTTGTGTTGTTACATTCCATTCCAACTGTCCATTTTAATCGCTATGCCATACCAGTGCTTATATTTTTATATATATCCTATGGGATATCAAAGAAGTCGAGATCTAATCCATGATGAAATCAAATCAAATCACTTTATGAGTTCCTCATTTTAGCCAAAAAAATATGAAATTCTGAAAAAAAGAAGACATACCTGGCAAGCAATCCAACCCAGATTCAGGTGCACCATAACCAATCACTATTGAGCAAGGTCGAGTCTGAGATTGAACAAGCAATTCAAAATAATAGACTGCAGCATCCGGAGGGACAGGATTATTGGCGCGTACCGATGATCCAAAGTTGGATATATTTTGGTTATTTTGATCTCTTGGTGGTACTTCAATTTAAATCTATTATAAACCATAAATTGAAAATGAAAATTTTCAAATAAACTGAGTTGCAACATATTTATTAGTTAAAAATTAGTATAAAATTCTTAAATCTGATTCTTAAATCTTTTATTAAAAAAAGAACTAACATAATTGCACACGACGATTTCGAGACGATAAGATTATACCTGGGCCTTTACGATCGCTACTCCAGCAACTTGGAAGTGAATCTAGCTGAAATCGGCAAATTTTCAGAAATCTGACCATTGTGAAAAAAAATTATGAAAAAATTTACAATTTTCATTCCTGGAAATTTCAAATATAAATCTGTAAATCTATTTTTTGCGAAAAGCTTCCAAAGATTTGGAGTATATATTGGCCAACAAGCTCAATTAAAATTCCTAAATTAAATTTCCTCCAGCAAACAAAAATACATAATAATCTTTTCAGCCTTCAATGTTTCCAAGTGAAAAAGGTAGTAAATGCTTATATTCATGCAATATACATCCAAGAATAAAAACATGCATGTAAATTAAATACCTAACATATTTTCAAATTAATCGACTTACATCAACGACATACGGATACACACGCTTCAGTCGCCCAATTGCATGTTCACGACTTATTTCATCACTTAAATCTAAATCACACCACCTTTGCGATTCCGATATATTTGATGCTCGCATGCTCACTGGTCGTAGAGCAGAATATCCATGTTGAAGTACAAAAGGCTGAAACTGAACAACTGAAGGACCATATGGAAGCGAATACATATTTGAAGAAGGTTGAAACCAGCTCAATCTTGGTTGTTCTGGTGGTTCACCAGAATCCATTTCAATATCGCCATCCCTCGAACCACCAGTCTAAATATCACATGATTAGTTTTGTTATCATTTTTACCAACCAGTTACCTACAAATGACTTAATCAAATTATAATATAATTTAAAAAATCGCTTTATCAGCAAACAATAATAAATATCAAAAAACAATAATAAAAATTATTTGAAGGAAAAGGATCCAAATTATTTCGAAATTATTTCTACCACAATTAATAATCGATTGCCCTAATGTAGTCCACTTGTTTCTATCTACAATGAAAAACGCCAAACGCTTTTAAATGCTTTATTTTACTGGTAAATGGAGTCAGCAAAATGAGAAAATGAAAAATGAGAAAAAATACACTAGAAAAAGAAAATTAAAATTATATATTTTATATTAAATTATCTACTGCTAATCTTTCTTGCACAAACTTCGCATCAATCTAAATCAAATAAAAATGAGTAAAAGAAATAAAAGCAGAAACTACTGAACATTTAACTAACCTTATTTCAAACCCATGCACTATTTATTTAAAAAGTAATCAGCACAACTAACAGCATTCAAATGAAATTTTCGATTCAGATTAAACGAAATGTCATGAAACAAGAATCATGAAGAATTTTTTTAATTTTACGAAGAACTGATTTCCATCCTCCATCAGACCCTCTCAGTATGGTGATAAAAAAGGAAGCAAAGAATGAAGATTGAAGAAAAGGAAAAAAGGAAATATCGACTTTCCACTAAAATAGGATAGAACATGGAATGCAGCATGAAGCTATCTATTCGTTTAATTGTGGGACAGAATGGCTCAGTGGGTTGTTGCTCAATTGGGAGCGACGATGCTGAGGTTCGATTCCCGCAGGAGCAAATCTGTACAAAATTCCGGGTGATGCTGGCGACTCACCTGTATTTCTATCGCCAGAGAAGTTTCTGGCATATTGCCCAATGCGACAAGCCAGTGGAGCGAGTTTGACCAGTAATGGTGAGGACTCTTTTAAAAAAAAATTCGTCACATTATGCATAGCCTTTCCATATGTTCAAGTACCGCGAAATGCAAAAATTTAGCGTAGAGTCACAGTTATATCAGTCAGAAGCCTAATTCAAAAAAATTGCCAGATCCATTGACTACTACTAAGGTAAGATGAAAAATCTGAAAAACTTAAATGATCCTTTGGTGAAAGAGTCACTCGGTGAGGCCTGTAGCCTGAGCATGGATAAACTCTTTTCTTCTAAATAAACATAAAATAAGAAAAATAACCGACAAGAGAGGGTTCCGATTCGGCATCCATTGGAGTTTCGGAACTCATTTTCTTTCTCTTTTTTCTTTCTTATTTCACCGCAATTCGAGCGATACGAAGTGAGCGAAGAAAATCCACCTCAACTAAATAATGAAATTCATAAATAATTGTGAAATTCGAAAATTTAGGAAAAAAATAAAAAGTTGAAAATGCGAAAGAAAAATTAAATTAGGTACGACAAATTCTTCTAAAATTCGCTCTCATTTATTGTAATAAATCGTAATTATTTCTAAAGATTTTTAAGATCAAATATGTGGAAAAGCAAATCCGAGACTTTTAATGAGTCCGCGAAAACCTTCGATTTTAGCAGGACTTTCGCGGGATTTGCAAATGATCCCCACTTGCAAAACACATTCCAAAATATTTAAATTAATTTTTTAAAAAATCTGGAAGGAAATTGATTATGGAAACAAAGGAATGAAATTGATTCACAGCGACATTTTTCTTCTCCAATTCATACATCCATATGATTGCTTTCTGTGCGATTCAACCCATTACTAATTTGCAGTGTTGAAGCCGAACCGCGAATTGCATTTTTTGACGCGATTTTGTCGATTCGCGATTTATTTTTTTGCTCGAACATAACTGAGAATTCACTCGATTTTTTAGTGGCCTTCTTTAACTCGTTTTTTGCATTTTAAAGCGTAAAAGGGTCAGAAATTTGGGTTATAGTTATGGCTCTTAGAGAATTTAGAAGCTATTTTCATAATTCGATTGTAATAGCGAAGAATAGCGAATAATCCAAATTTGGCAAATTGCAATTTTTCGACGCATAATTTTAGTTGAAATGTAGATTTTGTGTTTCGTTTTTCTTATAAAATTAATTTTGATGGAAAACGTCTCTGTGAAATTTTAGTGCCAATGCCAAGAGAAGACAAAGTCCAGGAAGAGGAACAAAGAGCTCGAACGGCTTATGATTTAATTCGCATGAGGCTTGAACGACTACAAGAGAATATCGTTAGTTCTCATTTTTTTCTTGCACGAAGGCATATAAATCTGCGTCGAGGAGTACTGGGATGGAAGGCTTGAAGGGATGAAGAAAGTTTCAGGTACAGCCGGAGTTGGAGGCCCTTGTCATACACAGAATATTTTAAGGATAAACCAGTCTCTATACCGCAGCGAAGAGATGCTCGAAAACCTCGACCACCTCCTGATTTTGTTCGCAATGTCGTCGGCTCTTCTGCTGCCGCGGGAAGTGCTGAATTTCACATATTTCGGAATAATCGTAAACGAGAAATGGATCGGTAATCATTTAATTTGCTATATTGTATTCGTGTATTGCATTTAGTGTATTTTGTCACTGTGCCTTGTCGCTGACATAAATATTTCAGATATTTAAAAATTATTAAGAAGTAAACTTTATTTATAAAAAGTATTTTAATTAATAAAGGTATATTTTCGCATAATTTATGGATTACAAAATCTTTTTCGCATTATTTATCGACTAAAACGAAGTGGATCGTTTTCGTTTGCTTTTTATGCCCATTATTCTTCAGCACTCTTTTATTTTCAGATTGGATTATATGAATCAGAAATATTTAAATGAACAATTGGATGCCGAATTCGAAATGAAAAGAAGACATCAACTTGAGATTGAAGAAAAGAAGACGGCAAAAAAGCGAAGAAAAAGGTGAATTTCCTTTGCACGAGCAATTAGGGCCATATTTTTTTTATTTGTTCGTTACGAAAGATAGGGCGAGTAAGATTTTGTGCTCGAAGAAAAAGTGAAATAGAATAAAAAAAAGAATATTTAAGAAAAAAACGAAGAAATGAATTTAAATAAAAGCATTACTGGAACGAAAACAAACAGAAATTATTGTAGAGAAAGAATGGATTGGGGAAATTTATGTTAAATGATATGAATAAGACAGTTTATTGCAATAATGGTTATTTACTAGGTTTGCATATCTTCACTCATTTACCTCGTTTTTTTAAAGTATTCTTACCATTGCTGCTTAGACTGGCTGCAGTGGTTTGTTGGGTTAGATAAACATGCCAGTTCTTGGCCATCGCCAATGGAAATGGAAATATAGGCGAGTTGCATGCATCTCGGATTTTTGGACAGGTTTACTCTTGCCGGCAGTGGAACCTCAGCATCGGCACTCCGAATTCAGCACCAACTCACTCGCCCATTACATTCTTCTTTGGTTTCTCCATTAAGCGACACTGTCGCCCGATGAAAAATAGTGCATCAGCCGATCCCAAGCCTGGATTTTCGGTGGCAGTTATCTTGTCACTGAACCACTGATGCATCTTATAGGCGCTTGGGATTTCCAGGTTGTCTTCGATCCACCGAGTTCAACGTTACTTAACCTCCAATATTATTTGAATTTAAAAAGGGGTCATAGTCGAATTCCGCAAGACCAAATAGCATCTTATAAGTATATTAGATGTTAATTCTTATAACCCTAAGCGAATCCAAATTATATAATTTTAGCTTATGGATGCGTCGATAGCCTAATGGCAAAATGAATGCCATTGCTCGGGTTCGAATATGGTCGACGCATCACTCTTCGTCAGACGGCAATATCGCCAAACTGCTAAAGCAAAGATAGAATGGCTCAGTCGAGTTGTCGCTCAGTTTATAGCTCTGGTATATATAGCTGAGGTTCCTCACACGGCAGAAAATTTATCTTTTGAGTGATGCTATCGATTTATTTATACTTCTATCACCAGGTGAACTCCTGAGCAAAATTTGGTCCGATAAGCTAGTAGAACGAGCCTAACTACTGTGAACATTCTTTGAAAAAAAATTTTAATTTAGTCGTATAATAGCTGAATTTAAAAGGCACAAAATGGAAATTATCAGTTTAGCTAATTCATTAAATATGTGTGAGGATTAGAGTTGCTTTATTGTAAGTATAGGCAAAGAAAGTCTTAATGTTGTTTAATGAAAAAGTGAGCAAATTTATTTTCAAATAAAAAATATATAACATGATAAACATAAGTTAGAATTTTGGATAATTTTTTCACTTTGATTCTAGTATGGCGATCAAAATTGAGGTCAAATATCATCAATTAAAGATTAAGCAACATCTGAAGCGTTATTATATTTTTATAAATAAAAAATAGAGGTGATGGTAAGTAAATAGAAAATTTTTTGCAACATATAGAAATCATTCTGAGAAATCATTTATAATTCCGTATAATTTCTTAAAAATGGAAACAGACGGAGATAGAAATATTCTTTCATTCTATAGCATTCTTTCTTCGTCTAATCTCTTCCAGTAATTAATTGTACGAATAAAGAAATTTTTACTTGTTTTCACTTTTAATTTAATTGATATTTATTAATTTTTCTAATTAATTATTTTTAAAAAATTTTCCGTTATATATCTATGCATTCTTATATTTTGTGTATATTCATTGTTATTAATCTATATTTCCCTATTGGTTTTAGGCAAAAATATAAAGAAAAACGAAAACTGGGTAAGAAGACGAAAGGCAAAAAATCAGAAAATAGTAGTTCGGATGATAATTCAGATGATTTGAATAATTCTGTAGGTTCATCGAAAAGCTATTCTAAAGATGAACGATCTGCATTGGACAATAAATCATCGGATGTTAATAGCAGCGGAGAACGAATCCCAATTTTGGACATTACCTCTTAACCATGTACAATATATATATTTTGTTTTTGTTTTGTTAATATATATAAATTTTATGAATAAATTTCATGAATAAATTTTCGCATTATTTTAAAACCTTTTGCAGATTATTATATTATAGTTGCATAATGAAATCATTTGAAATCATTTAAACAATTTGATTCCATCTCGTAATAAGATGTATTGATAAATAATAACAATATATATGTATATATAATGATAAATAATAAATCTTTTGAGATTTATGAAATTCATGAATGAATGAAAAGTTGCATCAGGTTTAAAGAAATATTTACTGAACAACCGACTTATGTCGATGATTTATTGAAGTAGGGAAAGAAAAATCAGAGGGGTCGGGGGGAAGTGACACAAAGGAGGATTTTGTTGTGAACCATAATTGTTAGTGTTTATGAGTGGTATCGAGTGGTGCCTAAATTTTAAAGATCGTTGCTAGAGGGATTATTCACTGCTAGTATTTTTTTGCAGGCGATGTCGAATATTTCACAGTATCTTCGAACATTTGTTTGTGGTCCTAAGATACACGGTTTGTTTATGGAACGCAGTAGTTCTCGATATGCTAGCAATTCTTTGGAATCACTGGGTGATACAATGATAACTTTTTTGAATGGAAGCAAACATTTTTGTACAGCCTTGTCACCAATCTTATTTATGGTCCATTCTTTTAATTTAATTTAGCAGAAATTTTTAATGGAAATTTTTTTTCGGTTGTGATTTTTTCAAATTTTACTATAAATTTGTAGGTTGATTCTCTGAATTCCACTTTATTCATCAGTTAAAATTTTTTAGTTCGCATATAATAAAGCACTTATTAATGGACCGAATTTGACGGTGATGATTAAATTTATTGCTATTTATTATTTGGTTGGTTTAAGTGCACGAACACTTGGTAGGCTTAGTAATCCGGAATATCGAAAATTTTCTGGCCTTCTAATTCAATCGCGAATGGGGGAAGGAAGCTGTTCACATGCGCAGTTGGATTTGTACGATTATGAGGTTACTTATAAAATTGTTACTTTCCTTATTCTTCCAAGAGGATGAGTTAGTGTTTTTTGCTATAAATCTTTGAAGAAAGAGGGAACTTTTAATTTTATTCATCAGGAGATGATTTTAATTGTGTTTTTATCCTTAGAAATTTCTTGACTTTCGAAATTTTCTTCTAACCCTTAATTTCTGGTTTACTTGGTTCCACCGTTTCTTTTGGTTTAGATTATAGATATAGGAGGTCTCCATCATCTCACTTTTAATGATAATACTTTTGTTTTGAACCCTTATGAATGGATTTAATCCATGTTGGACGGTTCAAATGCTAGCAATGCATTTTTCATCATTTTGAATTCTCCATTTCCGAATTTTCGTGCATTTTTTAATGTATACTATAATTACTATAATTAAACTATAATTTTCAAGATTTTCGCAGCACCGACAAAATTTGTTGCTCGCAAAGTTGAACGAAAAATGATTCGTTCTCCAACCGATGATTTGGTTCCATCGAACGTTTTATTTGCAACCTTAAAAGATTTGTTAGCATATGTGACTGTGCATACATTTGGACGTCGAATGCTTTATCCAGGGTCAGTTTCACTTTTTAAAGCGTTGGTTTCATCGGTTGCTATCGAAAATCGCCGGAAACTTGTTGTTGAAAAGGTATATATGCGTTCGCCTTTTATTTTAAATATTTTACCTATTATACTTATCTATTGTCCATTTCATTGATTCCATTTGTTCAGTTAAACCTCATGAAGTTCGAAATAATTAATGGAACCAGTAATGAAAACGCTTTCTGTTAGGAAATTTTAGCAAAGAAAAGAAATATTTGTTTATAAGATTTATAAATATAGATTCTTATTATTGATATCTTAATATTCGTGGCTTAGGGTGGATTACGAAGTGTTATTGTCACCGCAGATGATAATAAAATTGATACTATGTTTATTGATCGTCGAAATGATGATAATGAAAGGAGTAATATTTTGGTTGTGACTTGCGAAGGCAACGCTGGATTTTATGAAGCTGGTATAATGGTTACGCCTATTTCGTTAGGGTATTCTGTACTCGGATGGAATGCGCCTGGTAATTTTTATTAGAATGGAAGTATCCATTATTTTAATATTAAAAACACAATTGCCACAGTTTTACAATTGCCATTAAATTAACAAATTGCCTACAGTTTCCTACAGTTTGTAATAGAGTAAACCAATTGAGAATATTCTACTATATGATGATTGTATGATGAAAAAGAGTGAAATTTTCACCTTTACTACTTTATGAATTTTTTTCATAGATTTCGAATATTATCGTTATGATTTATTTTTATTATTTATTGTTTCTTTTCCATTGATTTTAGTTGTTATGTTCATTATTCAAATTCTAAGGTTATGTGGAAAGCAGCGGCGATGCAATGCCAGTGCAAATAATCAATGCTATGGATGCTGTAATGCAGTATGCCATTGATAAACTTGGTTTTAGTGAAAATCAGATTGTTATATTTGCTTGGTCCATTGGAGGATTTCCTGCTACTTGGGCAGCTGCTAATTATCCAAATATAAAAGTTTGTTAAATTTAAACAACTTTACCTATTGTCGATCATACCTAAGTTTTTTCGTTAGTTTAAAATTTTTATACTTCGTATTCGTATTCAGTGGAAAATTGAGCAATAATATTTTCCTTAATTTTTTTCATTTTTAAAGAAAATGTTTCTTAAGATAAAAATGTTTTAATAATTAATAATAATTGATAACAAATATTTTTCAGTAATTAATGTTCTAATGAATTTTTTGTATAATCGTTTTTTATTTATAGGGTCTGATACTCGATGCTACTTTTGATGATCTTTTGCCATTAGCTATTGAAAAAATGCCACAATCTTGGTCGTTTTTTGTTGAATATGTTGTCCGTAGTTATTTAGATTTGCCGATAGCGAAACAGGTTGAATTTTATTCGTTTTAATTACTATGCTTCAATCAATAACGATTAAATTGCTATTTAATCGTTTTGATTCTTTCCTCATTTTCGAAATTGTATGCTGGTGATATAATTTAAGCTTGCTCGATATAATGGACCAGTTTTGCTTATTCGACGGTTGTTAGATGAACTGGTCACAACGAATGATTCAGGGACAGACGATGAACGTCGAGCCTCAAATCGTGCCAATGCACTTTTAAAAGAATTATTAGAAACTAGATATCCGGGACTTCTCAACGGATTTGAATATTATGTCGAAAAATGGCTTTCTTCTGATCAAGTTGAGCGTGTGAATTTGTTACCAAGTGACTATTTAGTACCACATTCTAGAAATTATAAAGAAATGACCAAAAATCAAAGAATTGATCTTATTTATTATTATTGTTCCAAATATTTTATAGATTTTGATTCAACACATAATACTCCATTAAATCCAAATTTATTTATAATTCCTTCTCCTGTTTAATTGCTTTTGCTTCATTTTCCAATTGTAATTTCTTTTTTCTTGCAAAATCTATTTTATTAAATATCATTATTATAATTTACATATTATTAAATTTATTCGTAAAAAAGGACTTTTGACACCCACCATTTCTGATTTACTGCATTGATCACTGGGATTGGCCGTTTCATAGTTTTGTAGTTTTATTGGTATAACAAAGCGTAGCGCAATCACACTAGCGATTAGCTTTGTACTTTTGTTTTATTTGCTGTTGGATTTTTTTTGAAAATTTTTGATATAAAGGTTTCTGGGATAATTAATATTAAATAATGAAACATCCCTTATCACGTTTACTTTTTTATTAGCTAAAAAGATTTATGGTTATCATTGATAAAAATCGTAGTAATTTTAAAAAATCTATTTTTCTTTGTTGATAAAATGGTTGATAAAATCCTTGAATTTTTAAAGTTTTACGAAATAATTTTAACCAAATATCAGTTAAAAAGGAAAATTCAAGGTAATTTTGCTATTATTTACTTATTTATTTATTTATTGTAGTTTTATTTATTATGGTGCGAGAATAATTGTTTATAACTCTATCATTAAATCTACCATTCTTCAGGTATTCGCTCGTTTAGCATCCGCATAGTCTAATTTCTTTTCTAATTACATTCTCCATTTCTGGCTTGGCTGGCTGGCACTTCAGGGTAATAGCTATTTACTAAATGGATGATAGAAGTGAATGCCTGGATTTTGCTTTTAACAACTGTCCTTAGAATTTTTGTGTCGATTAATTTGCGGTATTTACAAAAGGTATTAACAAACTGATGAAATTGTACGATGGTAAAGATTTGTAAGATAAGAATTTTATTTGTAATCGGAAACCAATAAATAAAATAACCAATATGTAAGTATTTAACATTGTAAACTAAATTTGTGTTGGTCATTGGATATTTTATTAGTTTTACGACTTGTTTCTTCGTTTTAATGATTCTTTGATGTTATCAAAAATTTATTATCGTTGATTAGTTTACTTCAAAATAAAATTTGAAGTAATTTAGAACAAAGGTCTTGTCCATGGCAAATGCAAAGAATTCAGCTTAGTTCAGTTGTTTTCAATATTTTAAAGTGTGTCAATCCATCAAGATTTCATAAAATGCGAGTTAAGATCTCTAGCTTTCTTCCTTGTGCTTACTAAAATATTTCGCCTTATCAACACTATTGATGGAAATATTGATAACGATGATAAACTACTATTCATTTTAAAAACTATTCGATGTATTTCATGCATTCATTACCTACAATTTTTAGATGAAAAATTCCTATGAAGGCGGAGTAGGGGTGGGGGGGGAGGCTTAAGAGATCCAAATCATCAAATGTCTAGCATACAAACACAATTTTTTGCAAAGAATTTTTCCTCCTTTTCAGCTGATTGTTCTTCATTTTAATAATTTTATAATTTTAATAACTTAAAATTTAATAACTTAAAATAATATAATAATTTAATAATCTGTATTTTCCCACAATTTAGGATATTCTACCCGGAAAAAATTTTCTATGGGATAATTTCCGTGGAATATTGCGCATCTGTGAATAAAAAGTAGTTTAATCAACGAAAATCAGACAAGTATTTCGAGTGATAAAGGAAATATCTGTTTGGAAGAAAGCAGTTCAAAAATTGCTCTATTCTGCACTGCATACTTTCTTCTTTACTCGTAACTTTTAGCAGAGCCAACAAAAAACATTAACTACATAGGTTCTTGGCTCAGAGGGAAAAAACGAGGAAAAGGATGTTGGAGAACTATCTTTCAGATCTATCAACGATGCAAATAGCTTACGGTGTTTGATAATAACATAATATACATCGTACACATTTGCTTGCTTGGCACTTGCTTCCTTACATTTCTCTTTAGAATAATAATAAATTTTTCTTACAATTATTATTTAATTCAGAACTTAGGAGGAGTGAATTTAAGCTTATATTTATTTTATTCTATTTAAGAAATTACTAAACATAGCCTAGGCCATAAGCCACGAACCATGAGGCATAAGCCATGAACCATGAGCCACGAGCCATGAGCCATGAGCTATGAGCCTTATATCAATAAAAAAAGAAATATAAATAAAGCAAAACTTTCATTAAAGCTCGATCGATTATATTACTTTATAGAGAATTTATTCTTAAAATTAATACAGAGTCGGAGCGAAAGCATCTTTTCAGATGGATAACCTCTTTCGATAATTTATATAGTTGCGAGTGAAGGGGTTCTGTGATGCGAATTTCGGTTCTCGGACGGGCTTGCGGAACTTCAGCTGTCTCTTCTAGCATTTCTTCTACTTCTTCTTTCCCCGAGCATGCGTGCTCACTTTTCTCTTCGCCCAAAGCAATTGCATACGACGGTCACTAGTTTCGCGTAATTTGAGAAAATATCAATCGCGAAAACAAAATGATCTCTTTTCGTTTCACATTCGATTATAAGGGTCGTATTTCACAAAACAATTATACTATTTTTTAAAAAATGGTCGAGAAAAGTCACCTAATGAGATTGCGTTCATTCCTTCCATCTCTATTAATTACTTAGCGCTAAGTTTTTTAACGATAAGTTGATTTGCTGCTTAGTCGACTAAGAGTCACCGAAATTCGGTGCTTGGGACAATAATTTCAGCCATCATCAAAACCATTCACCTATTTTATTCGCGATAATTTCAACAGTCAAATTATTTACGCTATCATGCAAACTGCAGTTGGTCGAATTACTTGCAAGCGCTGGTGAGTGCGTTGTTGTCTCATTTTGGAGCGTCGATGCTTGGTTTCTACTCCCGGTAGGAGTGAAACCGTTTCTCACCGTGTGCTGCTGTCTATCCGCCTATATTTCTTTCGCCAACTATAGTTCCTTGGCAAAATTTGTTCATTCCGACAAGCCAACAGAGCGACCTAACAAGAAAGTTTTCTTTCCAATTACATCGTATTAATTTGAATTTTCATAAAACGAAACGAGTTTTACGTACAAGTTTTCAAGCTTAACGAGTTTTCTAATGTGACGAAGAATTTTGCAACGAATCAAAAAATAAATCTCTTTGAATTCATTAGTGAAGAGATATATAAATCGTTTTTTATCATATTTCCCCTTGAAACACTTCTGTTTAGGTTGCTCCGCTGGAGTATTAGAAGGATGAAGCACTTTCACCAGAGAGTCACCAGAGGATTGGCGATAGAAGCGACGTGGACCGCTGGTAACATCCGAATAAATTCGAATTTGTATGTTTTTAAAGCAGCTTTGCTCCGAAAAGTCGGAAAATATATTTTGTTGCCCGTCGTTCACCATTTTCGTTTTCGAGGGGATTACAATCGTATTATTTCGTATAATCATATTGTTGTGCTGCGATTTTTGCGTAAATCCATGTCGATTTTCACATTCATCAAATAAATAATTGTATTCATTTCGATGAAACGAGAGGATTTCCTACTTTATTTGGTCCTAAATTATTCAAATCTGATGTCGTCGATGATGGCGAAAATAAATTCTCGCTTATTCACTTTCTTAACAATGAGTTCGGAAAGTCGAGTTCTTAAATATTTCGAGTTCCATCACCAATTTCATTTAACAACACCATCATTCCTTATTTGACTAGTTGTACTGACTACTACGTGAGATGCGAGACTGACAGATTGGTTTAGAAAGAATTGCACGTGGAACCCCAGTGGTTGTATGGATTTCTTCTTTCGATAAATGGCTTATTGTCCATGAGAAATAGATTTCAAACGGTTTGGCCACTAGCAACTAGTAGCTAGTTCCTCTGGCTATTAATAAAAGTTTTTGTCAAGAAGTCAATTAGCGGTGAGAGTACAAGCGGATGGCGAGCACCACTCACTGATAGATTTATTCCTAGCAGCGAACTCTTATTGACGCAACTGGTATAATTATAGTGATAATGCAGAATCGAAAAACATTCAATACTAATATCTAACAACTGATTATAGTCGATATCAGAATGAATTTAAGTAATATAAATTCGATAGGATAAGAGAGGCTTCAATAAATTTCGACGAATATGTATAATATTTATATACAATCTTTCTCATATCGCATAACATTGATGTTTCATTAAGCTTCATAAATGGAACATAAATTTTTGTGGCTTTTTTTCAATTTATCATTGGTCTATTATCAGATCATTGCGAATAAGATGGTCGAATGCTTTGGCTATAGTCCATCATGGATTCAATCTTTTCGCTTGTCGAGAGTGAATCTGTCATAAAAATCTGTCTTATCTACTATAGTTTTTTGATTTATTGGCTTTAATTTGCATAATTTTTTTTCCTTACCCAATTTTTTTCTTTTATTTAACATCACTTTGTTATGGTAAATTATATAAGTGGTAAAGCGGTTGAAAATTTTTGTCCGGAAGACGCATGGCACATGAAGTGCACATCCGGATTTCTTTATAACAGCTTATTTGTTTGTGTCCGGATCGGGGAATCGTATCTCCCTCGCTCAGAACAGATTAAAGCAAATGACCAGTGCTGTCGCCACTTGGTAAATTAATGTAAGAAGCGAAGTTTTTTATTCGAAAAATCCTTTTTATATGATTCTAATCGAAGCGAACATAATCGCTCTTTTCATCTCAATATTTCAGTTTATTAAGAGCCATTTCCATGATATTTTTAATTTCCTATGAAATTTTATTTTCTTTCTTCTTATTTCCTACAAAAAATGAGAGCGTAAGAGATTGGTGCGTGGCACTATTCGTGATTTGGTTGACTCTACTGATTTAGGATAGGCTAAACTTATTCGCCAAAAGAATCGCTGGAAGTGTATGGGTCAAAAGTACTAACTCGGCTAGCCATTTTGGTTTCATTTTTAATGATAGCTTTATTGTTTGTATTAAAAAGGAATCGAACCCATTGTGCATTCAATTCCATTTTTTTGCCCTAATTCTTTCAATTAATTTACGGCAGTCAGCTATTGTGGTATGACGGGACTTAAGCCATTACAGGTTCGATTCGTGTCAGGCTTCTACGTGGGTTAAACCTGCCATTGAACGTGATTCTGAGTGGTGCTCATTTGCATTTCCATCCTCGAGCGAAATTTCAATGAGACCACTCTGCAAATAATGAAAGCAAACGCAAAACTTTAATGCTTGACTGAATTCCATATAAACTGGATAATGCTTTATCCATCCAAAAAGTTGTTAAGCTCCTTCTTGATTGTCTGCTATTTTTTATCCATTTTAATTCTTTGAAATTTATTGATTTCTTGCGGAAATCCTTGTACTTTTCTTTTTTCCTCATAAAAATCTTTAAAAATTAAAAAATTCTTGAAAAATTTTTAATGGCAAGGTTTCTTTCCGCAGATCTCGTTAGTAAGACGGAGTGACCAGACGTTTTACTTCTGCTGAGGTTAAACTATCACAAGTTCGATTCGCGTGATGGAACTTAAATCCTGTTAAAAAACTATCCTGTTGCCAGTAAATTCTTATCAACACGTCTGTCCTCAGATACCTCTCGCAAAAGACCTTATTCTAATAATCAGTTGAGCCAAACAAACCAGAAAATAATATATGTTATTAAAAGTGGAAGTCTGTCTTTCTGTAGTCTTTATGTATTAAATATATCGAAAATTTTTTTGCGAACGATGATGAAGATAATGCTTGATGGCTTATGGAGATTTTTGTGCAGTGCTATTTTAAACTACTAGTGATATATTTCTATTGTTTATCATCAGTTGATCCTCCACAAACATCCGGATTTGAATCCTAATGACAAATTTGCTGCCATCATGAGACAGGAATCGAATTCATGTTGCTTATCCTCAGCTCAAACAAGTGCGACTCGATCAATAACAATTTCGTTTTATTTAATTCTTTATCAAGTTCAAGAATTTATTGCAAACAGGTGAATAAACGCTTAATTTTCAAATGCAGACGAACTTATTTGGAGATAAAGATGTGCGAGAAGATATTCTGAATGGTATTCGGAATCGAATCGTCAAGGCTGTTCTCGTCAAATGATTCTTTGCGAGAAGGCTCAAAACGTAGAAGTTGGTGAAGGCAACAAAAAGCAGAAACGGTGGAATGGGGCTCCACATTCGTCTCTTGTTTAGCAACCTTTTTTTGGTTCATTCAATAAAGTTTGAAAAACAATCGGAATTCGTTGAGAGTGGGAAAAAACATTGAATTAATAATGCGCTAAAATTAAATAATTCATTCTCATTGATTTCAGTTCAGTTTCCTGCCAACATGCAATCCTTGTAAACTTATGTTTTCCATAAGTTTTTTTGGGACAATTTTTTATTGAAGCTGCTTCAACAAAACCTTCGATATGCTTACTTTTCTAAAAATGCATATAAAATTCTTCAATTTAGCCAATGGTTTCGGCCATTAGAGAAGTTTCCTTCAGTAGAAAAGAGGATCGAGGATTAGTGCAGCGACTCCAGCTGCAATTGCAGCAATCCTGTCTCGGTCACATTAGAAAATTTTCTAACGATGGGATATATCTATTGAGAAATTTTCTTTTATCGGTTAAAAGAGATTTCTTTTTAACATTTTCCTTTTATACATTGTTGCTCTAATTGTATTTTGTTTTAATTTGCTTAACACTACACACATTTCCTTATCGCATAATTTCATCAGCCAAACTGTCTTCTTGGCTTGGATTTATATTTAAGTTTCTTTCAACCCCAAGGAATCCATTTTTTTCATATTCATTGGCCACCTAATACACGCCTTTTTTAAAATAATTATCGTAATATACGAAGAGCAATAAGTTGACGAATTTTTATTCTCCAATATCTGCAAATGGTCAATAAATATAAACAATTTGAGTAGGTAAATCTTCGCTTATAACTGCTATAAAAATTAATTAGCTAATATGGATATTATTAATTAGTTAATATGGATATTCTTCTGCACAGATAATTGGCTATTAGGTCTGCTAAACCTTTTCTGTTGGGCTTTAAATTTTTTATATAATCTTGAAAATTTGGCTTCAGTTCGCGGACCAGAACTTTGGCTCTCAGTGTGATTTAAAAAATTGCTCGAAATTTTTTAACTTGGCTCGATTCTCGAACGAGAATAAATAAACCATTGCTAAAAGTGAAGTCCGAGTGATCTAGTGGCACCTGTACTTCTGTCCTTAAGTAACTCTTTAATGACAGTGGCGCTCTTAGAAGAATTTCTATAGAAATCTAAAAGCGTTTAGATTGTTAGATTCGTGTAGTTAATATTTATTTTTTTACTTAAAAATGCACTTGGCATTGCCGTTTTATTTCGTTTCTTTGCCATTTCTTTGATTTAGATGAGTTGTTTCGATGATAATTTGCTGAAAAATAGAAATTTTCATAAAATATTGGAAAAAATCGTTTGTTATTGGATAAAAAAATCTGATGGATAGCGATTCATTTCCATTTATTACTATTTACTATTTTCCTTTTCTCGTAACTTTTTCTGTTTGCTCTTTAAATAATTGTTTGCCGTATTTCGTGCTGTTAAAAGTATCGATGCAATACCATTTATTTTTTATAAAAAACCATGAAATTTGTTCAACTCTTCGAGATTTGTTTTCTTCCCCGTTTTCCAGTAAGACAAAAGTTGGCCGACTGGTTTAACTGACGACTATGAATTATTTTCAAGTCTTCAGTTCGGAAGTTATATTTGAAATTAATTTAAAGCACTCTTCCTTAAGAAACCATTAAATTTTCGAAAAATAACTGATTGGTGGTCTATAAAACCAAAAATGATCTGTAATCTGACAAAATAGATATGTCTCATCCTGAAATTTGAAGTAAAATCTCACTCAATAATACTTTTATACTTACTTACAGTACGTTGCCGGATTGTTGGAATGAAACATAGCGCATTTTCCGATTTTCCTCAAAGTCAAATTTTTTCGAAAATTTTTATTTCAGCAAGGAAAATACTTAAAATGACTATCAGCGTTGATTTAAAACTATTCATTCGATGATTAGCAAATATTTACTTTTACCTGGTAAGGTCACTTTGTCATTTTATCAGTATTTGTTTAGAGAGTTATTCTGTCGATTAGTCCCGCTTGTACTATTTTTGCTGGTTTTTGCGTTGCTTGCTTGCTATTCAGCTATATTCTCTTTTTAATATAATTATTCCAGTTTTTGAGGAAATCAAAAAAAAACTTTTCTCTTTTTTCGATTTCTAGATTTTCAACTTTTTATATTTTTAGATTTTTCAACTTCTCGATAATAATTTCTATTTTTGCTTATTTTTCTATTAAACAATATTTTCTTAATTATTTAAAAAAAAACTTAGAAGTTTAAAATTTTTTATTCTCTTTCTATATACTAAAATTTTTCTTAACAGAAATCCTATTTTCACAAATTCCTTAAAGCTTTACTCAAATACAAGTTTTTGAAAAACTTTAGCGATGCTGAATTATAAGCAAGTGATAACCAAACACTTATTTGTTCTCATATTTATTTACATTTTGGTTAATTTATTAATCGAACAAAATTTACGGAACTTGTGAAAAAAAATTTTTTTCCTTTAGTACTTTATCATTTTTATTAACAATATTGCATGAAGGAGAAATTTTTGTGAATATTTTAAAAATTTAATTTTTTATTATTAATTTATGGAGGAATGAGGTCATTGGATATCTCTGAGACGATTTTCGCCTTCTTTCACTGAATGGCATTTGAGACAAATTCAAATATTGGTGCAGAATAAAGCAGTTCTTGGTTAATTCAACCAGCATCATAATAACCATAAAGATTCTCTTTCCTTTCTCAATTAAAGCTAGCTTGGTAGAGGATTCTTATGGATTCTTGGCTGTGATCATTAAAATGTGAAAAATGGTGTTAAGCTATTTACGCTTATTGCAAAAGACGTCCTTAAGGGAAATGAGGTTAATCTGTGTTGACAGAAAAAAGGGAAGTGGTTTTATAAAATCCATTAAAATATCTATGCTAAATCTTTTTTTTATAGAGTTCTTCAATGTTCTAAGGCCATTCGCAACTCATCATCATGAACCAGTTGTACCAAATTCCAAATACTTCTTCGACCAACATTCCTCAAGTCTCGATTATTCTTGCCTTACGACTTCTTATGCAAGGAAAGGTAAAACTTCTTTTTTGTCTTCTGGAAAGATTAGAAAGGATCCCAAAATAAATTTATTTCTTTAACCTGAAATTGAAAATTTATAAATTTATTAGTGCATCTTTCACACAAAAAAATCTTAATTCTTTCTATATATATGGGGATAGAATGGCTCAGTGCTAGTTGTTCAATTGGGAGTGCCGATGCTGAGATTCGATTCCCTGCAGGAGTAAACCTGTAGAAAAATCCGGGTGATTCTGGCGACTCACCTGTATTTCTATCGCCAAGGGATTCCCTGGCATATTGCCTCAAATGTGAAAAGCTACTGGAGCGAGCTTGACCAGTAATGGTGAGGACTCTAAAAATATATATATATAAATATTTTAATTAAGCAGAATATAATATCAAAAGAATTAAATATGAGAATTAATATAGGATCGATGGCGATCACAAAGCATCATATTTCGAAATTTTCATTATTTTCTTATTATTATTGTATTCATAATATGAAATTGAGGCCAGTTGAATTTTAAGGAAGTAGGAAGTATTATTGGTAAACGCGGTGATCAAATTAAGTCGATTCGTGAAGAATCAGGAGCTAAAATTAATATATCCGATGGTTCATCGCCTGAACGTATCGTGACGATTACTGGCAATATCGACACGATTAATAAAGCATTTCGCTTGATTTGTATGAAATTTCAAGAAGTTTGTCTTTTTTTTCAATAATCCTCCTTCTTTTAGCTATTCTTCTTCGTTTAATTGTTTATTTTATTTTTTCTTTAGTTCATTATAAAACCAAGGATATCTAATCTAAACTTAAATTTCTTATGCTAGAGAATTCAAAAATTTCCTAATTTGGTATTCGTGATTAGAGCTTCGGTTCGTTATTCGCCTATTGAATTATTACATGCAAATGCCTTAGCCAACCGTCCTCGAAATTGTTTCCATTCTTAATAATATAATAATAAATAAATACGCTTAAAAACTTTTCTCTTTGATTCCTAAAAAATGAATATTTCACATTCAAAGGCGAATAAATGATAAAATGTGAATTTTAAGGATCAGCGACTTCTTCCAAATAGTATTCCAAAACCGCCAATAACCATGCGGCTTATTATTCCAGCAACACAATGTGGTAGTCTTATTGGAAAAGGAGGATCAAAAATTAAGGAAATCCGTGAAGTTTGTTTCCATTTATCTTAATAGTAACAAACGAATTAATCAAAGTTGAGGTGTTATGGTTGCAAGAAATTTTTGAAACTTTATTCGAAATTTTTTATTATTATTATTTTAAAATTATTTGCAAATTGCTTCACATTTATTTCTATCATTCAAACTGCATTTAAACTTCATAGAGTTTAGTGGGAAAAATATTTTTTAAAGAAATTTTGACAATATTTTAAAATAGTTTTACGAAATTCAGGCAAGTGGTGCTTCAATACAAGTTGCTAGTGAAATGCTTCCAGGTTCTACGGAACGAGCTGTTACGATCTCTGGAACGGCTAATGCCATTGTTATATGCATACAGCAAATATGTCAGATATTGCTTGAAGTGAGTTCATGCTTATGGTTTCTGCTTATCAAAATGAATCAGTTAGGACCTGTTTAATATATTCTTTTTTCTAATAATACTATCATTTTTGGCTGGAATTTTTGTCTAAGATAAGAGTTTTTGCAACAGAATCGTTTGGAGATATAAGTACAAATTGCCAAGCCGTTCGTGTTCTTAAAGAAACTGACTAATCTTGTCCAATAAGCTTTAAATAAACTATCAATCTTTTTTTTTTAAATGGCTCAAAAACTGCAAATATGGATATTATTTATAGTAAAAGTAGTTAAGAGATTAATGACCAAAGTGAATGAATAAAACAGCAAATTTTATTTTCTTCATTTTTCGACAGTCGCTCGACAATTTCTCTTACTATTTGATAAAAATCAGTTAACAAAATGATAAAAGCAATGTTTTGCCAATGAATAAAGTCATTCAAAATGTTGGCAAACATCATTCTATTCTATAGCAATAATAAATACGGTTAAATGAGTTGCTTAAATCGATATAGTTGAGTTGATTTATGGATTGTTGGTAAACGCAAAAGCAGTAATTTTTTGCCTAATTTGTGGATTTGTTCAGATGTTTGTTGAATTTCGCCTTTTGTTCAACAAATATCAACAAAATATGCTTTTTTATTTCATTTTTTTTTTTAAATGGAAAATTTTTTAAAAAATAATATCATCGATTATTATTCAGCAAAGTAAGAGAATATTCAAAAAGAAACCAAAAATTCTTCAAAAAATTCGTAAAAGTAGAACGATTATTCATCATAAAGAACCTTTGGCTCTTCCAACATGCACCATTTCTGGTTTGGCTGATTTTGATAGGATGAGTCCCATTCGCCGCAGAATCATTTAAGGGGATCCGCAGCAACCATCCGAGTTTGAAATGAATTTTCATGAGGTTTGCCTATGAGAGAAGAATCAAATCCTGTTGCTGACACTCAGTTGAAGTAATAAAAAACTGAATCACATATGGAATACTAAACTGTTTAGAAAGCAGCAAGGAAAGATCAAATCACAATAAAAAAATTCATCACTAAATTATAAATTTACTGCAACGTAAGGTGCTGAGAGTCCAATCAAAATCGAGCCGAATAAAATAAAAAACAAGTAAAATTTTTTCAGATTAAAATGGAATTTATCCAAAAGCCATATATGCATTCCCCAATTGTAGTTCAAGGAATGAGGGGATAGTGATTCAGATTATGGGATGAAGATTCGACTTCTTGGGCTGAAACATTGGTTTAGCAATAGCTGGACTGATGGTTTGCCTGGACTGGCTTTTTCCACCGCAATAATACGATATTCATAAGTATGACCGTGACAGGAGTAATGACTGCCATTAAAATAAACCTGGTAATGCTGGCAAACTCATCTGAACTTCGTTCCTCAAGTGCCTCATTAGCAGAAATTTTTATCAACAGCCAGTAAAGTAAATCCAACCAGAAAGGAGTACTAACTACTTATTTTTTACTCAACGTGGCTCAGTCGCACAATCGCACAGTAAATGAATAAATTTCACAGTTCAAAATTTTTCGAAACTTTTTGCTTTCATTCTCCTCCAAAATAATTTTAATTGCTTAGGAAGAAAGAACTATATTTTTATTAAAGCGACAGTAGTCAGTCCATCAAACTTAATTGCATCGTTATCATCGACAACCAAATATTTTTCAAATTGCTCATTGATTTTTACGTCAACCATTTCCAATTTCCTATTTAGAATTATTGTAAATTTATTCATTTATGATAAAATAAAGCCAGACAGGCAGGAAAGTACAGCTTCTAATACAGCTCGCACCACCGCTGGCTATATTAGCGATCACCGTCACTGGTTAAATTCGCACTGCTGGCTTGTAGGCAAATATGCCATGGAGTCCGTCAGCAATTGAAGCGCAGGTGACTTTTCCACCGCCTGATTTTTGGACAGATTTTGCTCCTACTGGGAGAAAACCTGAGCATCGGCGCCGCTCTGAGTAGAACAACAACCCACTGCTCCATTCCACTCTCTTTTGCTCTCTCCGAGTCTAGACGATATTACCACATATCGGAGAGTGATGGATAAGTTCAAATCCAAATTTCGATTCTCGATGGCAGTTATCTTGCCACTCAGCCACCGATGCATCTCTTTTAGCGACGGAGGTAAGATATTTCCAAGCTTCCCAATCCGATGCTTGAAATACCTGAAATTAATGAGCCATTTCTTTTTTTCTTCATCGAAGTCCTTAATAACAATAAAACAATATTAATAAATATTATATTAATCAAAACGTATTAAGAAAGTGTTCAGATTAAATATCACAAAACTAAATAATTTTTTTAATAATTTATCATATTATAAAGTTATAAGAACTATTTTTATAAAAAAATATGGGTAAATAACGATAAAATAGTAAAAACAAAATTGGCGAAAAATCGGCTCTAATTATGTTTCATAGAATTAACAATAAATATTTTTATAAACTGTTTTTATTCTTAATGGCCCAGAATTACATTTTAAAGTCGTTCTATCAAGTCACAAATCGGTTCTATCAAACTTTTTGTTTCAGACAATTTAATGCGAAATCAGAATTAGTTTCGAAACTTATATTTTTGACGCTTTTTGGAAAATCGAACCCATACTTTGGTTTTTAGGCTCCACCAAAAGGCAATACAATTCCATATCGGCCAAAATCAAATGTAAATTCATTGCTTTTGTCGAATGCAGCTGCAGTTGCAATTGCGGCTCAGCAACAAGCTCTTATAGCTGCTGCATTACTTCAGCCATATGCGAATTCAGTTCCTAGTTCGATCGATGTTAGTCTATTTTATAAATTTGTAATATTTTTTTTCGTTCCTTCTATTTGTCCGCAAACCATAATTCGTTAAGCATGATAACCATATATACTATTTTTCGTGCCTATTTTGCTATTATATTCTAATTAAAGCTCTAATAATGAATTCATCGATATGCTTTCGTGTCTTTTCACAGAAGAAAGGTTTCCTTCCGGTTTTTTCCGGATCTTCTTGTTCATTCAATAAGGATATTAAAATCACAAAAAAAAATTAATGGTTGTTTCTATAAGATAGAACAACAAAATTTTTCTTTGTCATTTGGTGGCCAATAATAAGAAAAGTTGTTTATTGCAATGTGGACGCAAATTAACAAATATTGCCTTAGGCAATTAATAAATCAATGCCGAAAGCATGTTGCCAAAAAGCATGCAAATGATTTATGAACTTCATTTTCAATGCTGGCATTCCATATTTGAATTGTGCACCATTCTGAGAATTTCTGGTTGGCTATCTGAAAAATATTATATTATCTGCGAATTTCATACATAGATAATAATGCAATAGTTTGAAATTATCAAGCAAAATTCTGGGAAAATCTTTTCTATGTTATTATTTCATGGCATAAAAGTTTGGGGCGCTTGGCAATATTTTTTAAAATTCCGTGAACTAATAAATAATGAGTAATACGAAAATTTTCCTCATCTAGTTAGTATAAAAGCAACTTTCACAAGTTTCACCTGGCAGACATCGCTATAGCAAATATCTTACGGTATGAGATACTTTTAAACATCTTGAATAAATCTGGTAAAAAAGCGTTGATTCAAAAATTTGAATCTCTCATTTTCTAGTACCTTTTTTATGTCGATTAGACATTGGCATAAAGAGTAAACTACAATTAAACCTATTTAAAGAAAAATGATACTTTTCAATGTATGTAGGCTTGGTGCTTATTTTCAGTGGGCAATAAACATACACTTTACGTTTAGTCCAGTAATTTGTTGGCTAATTTTAATCTTATCTATTCTCATATTCTTCTTCTTCTGATCATTTCTCCACTCATCATTTCTGGTTTGGCTTGCTCCATTAACCATTAGGACGAAAAGAAATTCTTTTGGCGAAGAATAACTCGAGCATAAGAAGAAGGAGAGATGAATGCCAAGCGCCAGCCATATAGCTTTATAATACGAATTCCAATATTTTTGTTGATTTTCGTGATTCTAAATATGAATGTGATTTATGGTGTTAGAAAATTTATGCTTTGATAATAATCAGTTTAGGCATTCGAAATTTGGTAATTAAATTTAGTTGTTGATGCAATTAGTATTTATTTGGGAGATATTAGGAGATTGAATTTGGTAAGTTGAGATTTTTGCATTAATATGCGACGGAAAAAAACTAAATTAAATTTTTGTTAGCAAAGACGCCAAAATTTATTTCACGCTTATGGCATTTGATATAATTGGGAAAAATAAAAATTTTTATAAGGGAAACATGAATATTTTTTTAAATTCTTAAAGCCTTGGAGCTAATTGCAAAGCAGGAAATAATTAGAAATAGAGTCGAGTGACCTGGTCGAGAGGCATGTTTCTTTGGCCCAGGTTAAGAAGTATGGATCCAGTCCCTCTGACGAAAGCAATCGTTAAAAATGAGATCCGGATGATGTAGGATGAAATCCTACCTATGCCTCTGCTTATAAGTGACTCTTCTGGATCTGACCCTATTAATCAGTGCGGAAGAAGAAAAGAGTAGATAATCGAGTGGTTATTTCTAAGATTATCTACTCTTACCCAACTTGCTTCATCATGAGTGCAGTGGTCACTTAAAAATCCGGATGCTGCCGAGTCCTATATTGTTGTTTAAACTAACTACTTTCCATAACTTTATTTAAAGAATCCAATCGAACCAGCGGAAATGGCAAGCACATGTCGCTATGAATCTATTGCTAAAGGGAAATTCTGTAAACAACGACTTCGTTGCAATGAGTAATTTGCTAGTGTCAGATAAGGTTTTAAATAACCTTATATCTTCATTTTTCACCCAATTGTCAGTTTAATTGCCAAATGCTATTTAGCACTTAAATTTTTTCCAGTAGTCTCTATCAGAATCCGATCTATTAGCTATAAAATTTTTTCATCAATTAGTAGTTTAAGTCAACAGTGAATTCGAAGTTCATAAACAGGGTAAAAGAGTTTAAAAAAATTGAAATTTCAAAGTTAAAGCAATTTTTCCTCGTTTCATTTTCCACTTCTTTTTTGCCTCCCCATATACCATCCTATTGTGCTAATATTTCAGCTGGCTAGAATATATTCCCCCTATGCTACTACTACAGCCCAATTTCTTCAAACGTCACCTGCACTCAGTTCTCACTCAGGTATCTTATTCCCATTCAGCTATGCTTACCTTCGTTTTTCTTTCTTTCCTTACCCTCTTTACGATAATTTTTTCATAAATTATTTCATTTTGTCCGCATGCTTTTCAGTTAATTAGCTATATTTTGAATTCTTTTTAGTTTTGCATGCGATAATACAGATTGTAATAATTATAGAATTCGTTCTTTCTTTCGAATTCTTCCAAATTATTAAGGCTTTTAAGCATAAATTTAATATTTAAATGCTTGCAAAATGATTTAAATAATAGATAAAGAAAAAATTCAATTAAAATTTAAAAGTGCCAAAAATAATTTACAAAATATTTAGTAAATATAAAAATATTTAGTGTAGTAAATAAAAATAGAAACAGAAATAGCTGGAAAATATAGAATAAGTATAGCAAAAATAAATTAAAATTGTACTTAAAACGATGAAAAACAGTTTAAATAATATCTAACGAAAATAAAGTTATTTATTTATTAATTCAATTAATTTTTTTCCATCTCATAATGATCAACAACACTGATATAAGTAAAACTGAAAATAAATATCAGAATTTTCTTATAAGGTCGGGGGGGAGGGGGGGAGGGGGGAGGAGGTTTACAAAGAATAGCAAATAGTGAAGATCAGTGATCAGTGTAACCTTTAAAGAGTATTGTATAATGTTACGCAACCAAATGTCCTTCGATCGAGTAATAAGTTGCTAGTGATTTTTAATTTTTAAAACTTGCAGCTACATTTGGTAGAGGTATGATGATTGCGCCGTTTGAGCGAGATGCTTCCAAGGAGCAGCAATTAGCAATCCGATGGCCAGTTGGCGACGACCTGCAGATCGACCCAACTCAATCGCTCCTTTTTCAACCGCAAATATTTAACGGCAATAGGTATAAAGTTTTTGATTCAGACTAAAATTTCTATTAATTTCCAGTCATCTGAAAGTAATTTATATTTTAGTCGATTTATCGATTTATAAACTCCATTTTTGACAAGAAAATAATGAAAAATTTTGAAACGTACTGTATCATTTCTTCTAGCTTCACTCCTTTTGATTGAATGTGCTGCTGATTGTCAAAAAGGACCCTTTCCATAGGTTTGCAAACACACACTTGAGCCCTCACTATCCCGGTCTCCCTCCTCCACCCTTTCGCTCACCAACCTCCATCTTACTCCTTCAAGGAAAAAGGAATCGAATTCATGCTAGTTCTCTCCAAAGGAACAAAAATGACAAAACTTTTTCTTTTTACAGCGCTTTGATTTCTTTCCAGTCATGCTGAATTCGGGAAAAAGTAAATCCATCTCTTTACTAATCTTCAGCTTGTTATCGACACAACCAAATCATTTAAACCCATCAATGAAACCAACTTCAATTGGTCCTTCAACTGCAAATGCTTTATTGCAACATACCTCACGTCGTTATGCGCCATATTAATTAAAATGTACTTTGTGATGTCAACCGTTTTACTTGTTTTTTTTTCATGTTGAATATGTCTTATTGCAATTTGTGAGAACGTTATAAATTGTTTTATCTTCAAAACTGCCTTTCACAGAAAATCAATTTGGATCAACTTGGAACTGATTTTAAAAATAGAAAATTGACCATTACAAGTATATATGTCACAAGTGTTCCATACACTTACAATAACCGACAATAAATATTCAAAGCAAAATAAATTTTTCCCTATTAAAAAACTAATACAATCACCGCGCTTTTTTCTTTAAATAAAAACATCTATTTAAAAAAAATGGAAATTAAATTATTAAAATAATTGGAAATCACATATGAATAAAGAATCTTTATAAATCAAATAGACCAATATAATACATAAATATATGCATACAAATTGTACATGAATCGATTCCCAGCCTTGAAATACATCAAATACATCAATTTACAAAAAAATACATCAATTTCACCTTATCTTAAGCTTTTTTGAAATAAATTCAGAGTTTTCATTTTTTTTAAGCCAATAAACCTTACATTTAAAAAAATTTTTGCGGGAGATTAAATAATAATTTACAACGGAAAGTGAAAAAGAACACTATTCTTGATTATTTACGAGAATTTTTAATCCCAATTGCTAAACTATATATTGAATTATTAGCATATATGTCTAATTAAAATAAGGAAATTTAAATACTAAAACTCAAAACATTTCATGAAAAAGATTTATCGAGAGCTTTGCTGTAAATACGACAATCTATGATATTATTCTCTGATATTACGATGCCAAAAGTTGCAAGCCACTCGATTAATTTCGGTTCGCTTAAACAAATTTTTTGCGATAAAGCACTTACCGATATGGATGGTCGATATCTGAAAAATAAAATAACCCTTTTTAGAGTTAAGTAGAACGTTTTATCAATTCAAATAGCTTCATTAACACAGGAAATTTCCAATTTCTAATGAACAATAACAATACAATCAACAACAGGAAAAAAGGCTAACGATTTAAGGCAGGCATTCAGAAACTCTTTACGTTCCTTTTCTATGAATAGATCCATTATATAAGAAGCCATACGAGGAGCATTCGAGTATTGTTTAAACAGCCTAATATAATTCGACAATGCCCAGGCTTGACGAATTTCTAAGGCGAAACGAACGCATTCATCTTTACGGGCTTTCGGTGTTAATTCAAGCAATAAAGTCGTCTGATCTGGAAAAAAATTCGTACTGTTTCAATGACTCTTGAAACAGAACCAACAATATTTAAAACTCAAACATCACGACAAGAAAATAAACATTACCGATAGTGTTAGCAACTGAAATATAATAAAGCAGACGATATGATGTAAATTCATATTCATTTAAACAACCAGGGATTTCTTTATAGAGCAATTTTAGTTGACTCTGACATTGATTAAATTCTTCTCGATCTCCCTGTTCAATTGCAATACGTGCATTAGTTTCATACACTTTAACAGTGAATTCAGATCGAATACACTGAATCTATAACAAACTTTATTTCCAATACAGTTCTTTTATAATTTTTATTACCAAAAGCCGTGAAAGTTAATTGTAAATTCGATATTAGTAAATCATAATACACATAAAAATATAGCCTAAATTCTTCTAAAAGATGAAATAATTATAATGAAATCAAAACATAACCATCAAATCCTGGCGAATGCTCCTGAGTTGATCACTCGCATAGCGATAATCACGATTTTCACTGTATCTTTGTTGGACAATCTTCAGCGCTTTTTCGAGTATATGTAATGGTCTTATCATAGAAGGATCAGGTGCCTAAATTAGCTATACATATATATATATTAAATCTGCATCTAAATTCAAAAATTCAAAATTTAGGAGATGATATCATGAACTATAATATTTTCGAATGATAGAATGCTTCTAGCTTAATCCAGTTTTTAAACTGGATTGAAATTAACTTCCTTGTCAGAATCTCAAATGACCAATCAATTTCGTGCTGCTAGCATACCAAATGCGTAATAAATTTGCAGTCAATATATAATAAAATTATGCAAAATTAAGTAAGTAACAAAATACAGTTGTAAGCCTAAAATAAGATTTTTCGATCTCCGTAGAAGTTCCGACGATAGTTGTGGTTGAGTCATTATCATCATCTAGTTGTTGCATCTCACGCCTTAACTGCGATTGACGTATTTTTTTTGCGGATTCATCATCACGCGCAAATCTTTTTGCTCTTTCTTCACGCCGTGAATTGCTCTGTTCGTCAGCAATCCACTTGGTAATTTTTCTTTTTTTCTTTTTTTTCGAGTGAGCTTCCTTAAGAAGATCCTGCAAACAATAACAAAAATATTGAAAAAGATTGAAAAAAATGAAAATGATGCAGAAAAAAATGAAAATGAAAAAAAAGTATTTGGACCTTAAAAATTTTCTCATTTTCAGTAGATTTGATATCAGAATAATTAGATCGATCACGACTTCTATCTAAATCCGATGGTCGCTTTTGCTTTTTCTTCTTCCGATGAACTTCTATGTCACTTGGCGGAGATCGACTAGTTCTGGATATCTTGTCATGTAAAGAATTATTTTCAGAATTTAGTTTTTTTAATTCACTTGCAGGTGTCCATTGATTCTTCACTTCAAAGTTAAGTTCTGATGGCAACGGCTCCTGAAATTTTCCTTCATTTCGCAAAATTGTGTGGTATAAACACGACAAACGAAAAAGAGAAAAAAAAACCTTTTGCCAATCAACTGCTTTATATGCACCCGAAATCAACAATGGATTAAGTTTCTGTTTGAAATATTCTTCCAATTTATCTCGATCTTCTGCCTTCTCTAAGGCGAGATAGGATCTTTCCATGTACTTTCTGAAAAATAAAGATCTAAAGATGATAGTAATAAAAAGATGATAGTAATAATAAAAATAAACAATAAAATAGTGGTAACTAATAAAATAGAATAAAAATATTAAACAACTGAATTCTACAAAAAAATTTTCGATTAAATCAAAATAAAAATACTTGATAAAAAATTACGATAAATAACTGATACTAATAAAAAGAAAGAAAAAAATAGATTTTAAAGGAAGCTCACCTTATTTCAACTGGAATAATCTGCTTTTGTAGTGGATAATTAAAATTTGGAAATAACGAACTAGATAAATTTCCGCCATTAGAAGCAAGAGAATTTGGCGGATTGGATCGATTAATATTGAATCGGATTGGATGTGATAAAGGCGTGTTAAGACTATTAATAGCTCGAACAGGCCTAAATGACATACGAAGAGGCCTTGAGACTTCATTAGAAGAAGCAATTGAAGTAGGAATATTTTTAGATCGATAAACCGCTTGTGGTGGTGCTGGTGGTGGTGGCGGTGGTGGCGGTAATGGTGGAGAAAATCGATTCCCTGAACACGAAGCATAAAATGAAGCGTACATATTTTCATAACCCTGTGGATAAAGATGTTGTACCGGCAGAACAGGCAAGGATAGACCATAAGATGGTGCCCATGAATAATACTGTTGCATTGGATTTGCAAAACTTTGAGCATATGACATTCTCGGAAATGCTGATGAAGATGAAGCTGATGGTGTCACCTTTTTGAGAGCCTCTTGTGCGATCTCCCATGCATTTGGTTGTTGAATTTTCGAATCTGACAAACTTTCAGATGGCACTGGAATCATGGCTGGATTTTCGTTTGAGCTCGAACATTGCTCATTTGATTTTCTAAAAATTATTGACCTCAAGTTTTAACAGTTTCTGTTATTTTCAGTTATTTAAATTCTGGTGTAGATTAAATCTAAACAAAGTCCACCTACACACCCTCATAGCTGGCATGTACTATGTACCTTAAGCAAGAAAGAAATTATTTCCTACAAAATTTCCCACTTGGCTATGTTTCGCAGAAGTATAGCAATATTAAATAAAATATTAATCTATAGCTATATGATGTGAACTTTCGATTTGACTTCGTAGCGATTCCACAATGAAGACTGGGAAGCATTTCCACTTCTAGCTGCAGAAACCCACTGGAATTTCACTTTTCGCATTCGCAGTTCATTTGGTGTATAAGCCGATCTTCGGTATTAAGAGTAACGCACTTCCTAACCGGATTAAAATTTTATCATTCATTTAATCCTTTGATGGATCCCATACATTTAAGCCTGGCACTTTTTCGGTAGGTGATATACATTTTATCAGCGTCTGATATATATTATTTTTGTCTAATTTATATCGTTTTCGAGCATGATTTTCACTGCAGTTATCGATGCACAATCTAACAGTTCTTTATAAAAAAGGACTGCGACTGTGTGATCATCTTATTTAGATCTACGATATATCCTGATTTGATTTTTAATCTCCTCAATACGCACAAGCAATTTCCATAATATAATTTATAAGTATGGAAGAAAATTATAGGAACAAGGAATGATTTGTAATGATGCGTCAATCCCCCATATATATAAATATGCACTGACGCATTCCGATAAAATGCTTTTATTAATCTAATTATCCTTGAATGCTTTCTTTAGAATACCGTCGTGTTGCATGATTTATTATAATAGCGCCCTGTTGAACAAACCAAAAGCAGTGGCAAAACCGATGAAACAAAGAGGCTATCGATTGAAGAGTTCTTGCAATGCCGTTCTTCATTATGTGAATATTTGGTCAACATATCCATGCTCTGGCTTAAATTTGCCTCTGGTTAAAGCTATCACGATTCTATTCAGCATAATGAAGACAAAGATTTTCCAGAAATACCTAGTAAGATTGGGCGCCAGATTTTCCGTTCCAGTCACCTGGTGCTAGCTCTTTCTTTCATAGGTAGATAGTCGTTTTCTCTTGGGATTTTATTTGTTTTAAACTTCTATACAAATGAGAATATTCCATGCTTCACTAGCGACTCGCAATTGGAATATGAATGAAAGGAGTTTTAGTTATATATGAGACGACAAAAGATGTACAGTCGTTCAGACAATCTCAAAGTGACCATTTCCTGAGTTATGGTTGCATTACGAAGGCGATTATCACCCGCTCCAGCTGTCGCCGCCATATTCAAGCCATACAACACTAGTTTTTGATTCTTTGCGCCTTAGACAATCCTATAGCAATGATGCTTGGCATGTTCATTTTAGTGGCGTATTAGGACGATTGGACCGTTTCTTCATATCCAACTAATAATACATTTCCGAGTATCATATCCTAGCGTCGATTTAGTTAAGATGCACATACCTTTTTCTAGGACCAATTTCAGTGAGATGCTTCGATAATTCTTTCTGGAGTTTTTTGTTTACTATTTCTAAATCTTTAGCTCAAAAAATTTTGGAAGGTTATTTTCTGCACGTTTCATGTGAACTTTAGCTCGATCTGGTTTACAGGTTGCCCGTTTTCCACTTCAATACCGCCATGGGAACGACTATCTAGTACAGTTTTTCCAATGGTGATTGACCATAAACTAATCTAGAATTTACCAAGCAAATATATGCTGGAAGCATATAGTCACCAAAAAATGCATGGTTCTCGACATATCGAAGGGTTCTAGGCGTTCTCCACTGCACATCAGATTCCGACGCCATAGCTGCCAATCATAGAAGCCAACGCGTACCATTCACTTACCAATATCGGCCGACTACGACCATGCCGCCCTTCGATAATAACTGAAATCCGCAAAAAACCGCCTCAGGATTTCAGGACCTTTAGAAATGTTCGGCCCCGGAACAAAGAACCATGGCGCAGCTTTCGGGCAACTTCTGCTCGCTCTGTTACGCTGAGGGTGGGTGTTCAGACGGCGCTCTCGACACTTGCGCCTCGCCCAAGAAAGCGAATGACGCTCAAACCTTGGCTCCCCTCATCCTAACGGCCATTCCAAGCTGAAACGACCGCCGACTTCTTATTTCCCCAGTGATAAGTGACGACTTTCGCTGACCCAAATCGTTTTAATAAAAATAATCATTTTTCTTATAACAAAAAATTTTGGAAAGCGAAAGAAAAACGAACATTTCTGACGAATTCTTCGAATTCGAATGTTGCATTCGTCGTTTTTAATACAAATAAAATAAATGTAAAACAAACTAAACGTAATAAATTAAGTAAAATTAAATTAATAAAATTTAATTAAAGTGAATTAAAGTGAAAAAACAAATTTTGTCGATAAAATAATCTTTTTTCAATGGAACTTTAAAAAAATTATTTATTTTCTCATCTGAAAAGGAAGTTGAAAAGTCAAAAATTCAAACGATGACGAAGAAATATCCATTCGAATTCTGAGACAAATTTTTGTCAAAATTCACAAAATCTTCGAACGCGAGTTTGAACAGAAAAATTCAGTCAATCGTTCTAAGAATCTGCCTTGCAAGAAATTTCACTGTAACAGCGCTATTTTTAATTTCCAGATCACTCCCAACATCCACCTTTCTACTCAAAGATTTTTTTTGTCATTCGTCAGCAATTTAAACCACTTTTATAAATTTACTTCAGTCACTTTTAGTCCTTTTACTCACATGAATACTACTTAAATCGCTTTCTATCTTTAAAAACCATTTATTTTTTCAAGAAAAATTTGTTAAATTGTTAATTATTAAAAGAAAAATTGTTACATGGAATTTCAAATAAGAAAAGTTAGTGATCATCAAGTGATTTGTGAAATGATACGATAATCTAAGCCATTATTCACTTGGCTATTCTGCTATTTGAGTCGTGGACCAGATAATATCGATATCGTTTAATGGGTCATTTAATTACTATGTATATTCTGTTGATTAACTTCGTTCTTTAATTAATTTTCGTTGTCATATATTACAATTTATATTGTATTGTAATGTATTCTTCTCGAATAAATTCTATATTATCAACCTAATTTCACCATATTAAATAAATACTTTTAAATTTTTAATTATAGCATTTAAAAGAAAAAATTGCTTAAAAAAACATTTAAACTGATATCGTTATTCAAGGAGTAATGCGACATTATTCCAAATATAAATCCATAAGAAATTTAAAAAATTGAAATCAAAACAAGAAAAAATTATTATGAGTGTTTTTAAAAAATTTTCTCATCAAAAAACATAAAACCGACATAAAACTGCTAAAAATTTATGAAAGTACAATTAAAAAATACAATAGAAAGCATAATAACCAACTAAATAATCGTTTAAGGTAGAGCAGTGGAAGAATCATTTAAGGCCACTGGAACCACATTTTCCAGGATAGAAAAATAATAAATAAATGATAACGCAGCTAAAAAGTCTAGAATCTATTACCTGAAAATTTCTCTTATCTATTTCCTATCTCTTGATGAAGCAAACGTCTTACTAAAAACGAAATTTCTGTTGTTGCCAGTGATCCATCTATGCCTCTAATTAACTGTATGGTCTCATCTGATCTATCAGTTGAGTCAGCCAAACCAGAAATAATGTATTGCTGAAGATGTTTTTATCTAATGGTTCACTTTTTTATTCCCACAACTTATAACATAGTATAATAAAAAATCAAGAAATAAGTATTCACGTCAAATTTACCTTTTATTCCTAACTCAATGAATGACTCAAAAAAACAGGGACATGGATTACCTAATTAAGATATCGTTCAAAAATTTTGGCGATTTCCGAAGCAACTTCATCGATCGCTTTTGAGGCATCAATTTTAGTATGCAGTCCACGTTTTGAATAATAATCGATCAGAGGAAGTGTCTAAAATTTTTTAAAAATATCTTAAGAAACTCTATAAATTAATTAAAATTGTTTAAAAAAAATTAGAAACTTTCTCCATAAAATTAAATATGATATATGATCTGTGCATTCATAATTTTTTAATGAATTTTTAAGAATCCTGAAATTCAAAAAAACCTGTTGATAATAGGTAATAAGCCTTTTGCGCAATGTTTCTTCATTATCATCTGATCGACGAATTAGTGGTTCTCCAGTAACATCATCCGTCATTGCTTTCTTAATTAAATATAAGAAGAGATTAAAAATTTAAAAATATTAAAATATATGGAAAATGAATAAAGAAATTTAAAATAAGAAAAACGATAGAACTAAAACAATAAAAAAATATCATTTCCATGAAAAAATGAAATTATTCCAGAACATATTGAAAAAACTCGTTGAAATTAATCTAGAAATTTTAAAATTAGGATAAATTCAATGCAAATTAAATTTTTAATATTCCAAATTTAATCACCACTGAAAAAATTTCACTTAAGCAGCTAAAGCAGCTAACTGAACTGCAAATAGTTCTTGTGTTGCTATAAGAAGAAATGCAGTTATGCTAGTATTAAAACAAATTCACCTTAGGCGGATTGAATTCGATGTGATATGAACGACCGCTTTCTCGATGGAAAAGGCGGCCAGTTATACGGCGAATAAGCAACGAGTCCTCGACAGCGAATTCGATTACTGCATTTAATGGTTTTTCACGTCTTTCCAAAAGCATATCAAGCTAAAATATTCTTATATAATATATAAAATTTGTGAAAAAAACGAGAAAGCTTAATAAAAGAAAATAAAGCGTAACTTTAATTAACTTTAGATTTTGTGACATCGAGAGGCAAATCTTCTTAAGCGACGATTAGCAGCCAAATTAGAAATAGCTATTATTAGAGATATTTACGTAAAGGGACCAAAAATAATGAAATGTTAATAAAAAGGAAAAATAAGATTATCTTAATGAAAATTAAAACCTTTTCAGCTTGAGCGACCGTTCGTGGGAAGCCATCAAGTAAGAAACCGTTTGCACATTCTGGTTTATCAAGATTTGCATCGATCAACGTACAAACTATATCGTCCGAAACTAAAGTGCCTTCATCCATTGTTTTTTTAAGTGATCGTCCAAGTTCGGATCCAGACGCTACTTCAGTACGTAATAAATCGCCTAAATTTCATCGTCATGCTTATCACATTGCCTTTTTTCTCTTCTTTTTATAAAAGCACACTAATAGCTTTCATAAACATGTAGGCAGAAATATAAAATAAATAAGTACCGCTTAAAAGGATTTTGGACCGATTTAAATAACCGACCAACTTGGTAAATTTTCGTAAATATCCTTAATATCTCAATAAGTAGTTGATTTGCCAAATTTCCTCATGTTAATTTACGTGTCCATTCTCTATTCACAAAATCAAAAAAAATGGTGAAAAAGGAATGCTTTCAGTCAATTTCAGGTATACTATGGGGATCAAAAGATGGAAAGCTTCAAGCTAGTAATAACGGAACCATCCAAATCAAGACAACTGAGCGCTGCTAAATGAAGGAGAGGAAATTTCGCAAAAAATCCGTTCCTAAAAAATTAATAAAATAGCAAGTTTACCTGTCGCTAAATGGCATATACAAAATTTCTTGGCAAGAACTGGTGCAGCTGTACCTTTGCCTGAACCCGGTGGACCCAACAAAACACTCCGAACACCTTTTTGCCTAACTTTTTCCTCAATATTCCCCTCTGTTTCCTGCCGTAATTCATTGTCGCTACGATCAATGATTTGCTGAATTGCCTTCAAAACTTCGGCGTTTGTCATTTTGGGACGTTGTTCGATCATTTTCAAAATTTCTGAATGTAAATTGAATTTAAATCAAATATATAAATATTAAAAATGAACCTGGCAGTGACAAAAAACAATGACAAAAATGAATCTACTTTTGAAACTCTCATATTACGAGCACAACATAACATAATTCCGGTCGTTAATCGACCCGTTCCTGACCTTCCACCAAGGTCATAGGTCATAGGTCAAAACGTCATTAAACGAACCAAAACCCTCCACTGAAAATGAACAAATAAAATTTTTCAAACGCCAATGATGTATCCATTTGACATTACCCCGCCTATTTCATCAATTTCTCTTCGAATCACACACAATACAAAAAATGAAAGCTTGAGAAATTGCCGATTCTTGCACGAACATCGTAGCCCCCTCGCCCACGCCTCGACCTTTCGACCCCTTCTTTTAATAATAAATAATTCGGCCGCAAATAAAAATATAAAAAGTAAAAAGGCATCGGCACGGCAGTTCGCAGAGAGATAATTTTATAGTTTGTAGTTTAAACTAAATGACGATGAAAAAACATGAAACTGCACCAACAACAATCACCGTCACCATTATTAACATTGAAATTTTTGTTTGAAATATTTTTTATTTTTGGTTTTTGCCTTTGGTTCCAATTCGATTAGCTTTTTGGAGATTTTTGAAGTTTCTGCAACGAACTCGGTTAATTAGAAACTTAGCATTAGTGGTACTCGTTTTTTACCATCTCATCTCTTAGATGACTTATTCTGTACAGTGTTAATGGTACCTAGTTTTGAACCTAGATATTCTTATAACTGCATTTAAGGATATATATTACCTGTATGTATAGAGGTCCTCAGCACCACATGCTCTTCGCTTTTAATGACGTGTTTATGATAGATCCCCGACAAGAAACCGGCCTTCAACCATGGTGCGACGTACCATCTTTCATAAGCCAATATTGGAAAGGGAATAAGTAAGTCAGAAAAAAGAAATTATATGTTTCTCCATTGCGTAGATATTGGCAAAGGTAATGAATTGGTTGGGGAAAATATACAAATAAGGGAATGACCTGCTTATATCGCGAAAGAAGAGTTTGTAATATGGTACAAAATTTGTAAAATGGCAAACCTGTTCCAGATGGATACGAAAATTCAACTCGCTGGAGCTTTCAAAGAATTATTTAAGACTGAACCTGAATATCTTGTTCGTTGCCCAGGACGAGTGAACTTGATCGGTGAGTTATATAAATAAAACATGCATTACAAAATGCTATTCCAAGGGTCATAGGTCAGGATTCGACATATATGGCGAATAATATTTAGGAGAACATATCGATTATAGTGGTTATGGTGTTCTTCCAATGGCTATCGATCTTTCAACCTATTTGCTAGTGTCACATCGTGATTCCGAACATATTGAATTTCATAATGTTGATAAATCCTATCAGTAAGATTTTTTAACGGAAATTTCATGTTATATCGTAATGCTTACGCTATAGTTTAAAAACAAAGAAGTTTTTAAATTTATCACTTTTATTTATTTAAAATGTATTTGAATAAGCACCACTCGTAAATCCTTAATCCTTATCACAGTTTCCCAGTTTCCTTATCACGGTTCTGCGATATGTTGGTTCAAATGGTTTGTTACCTTCGTGATATTCTCACTGAATATATCATCGAATCATCTTTCATCTGGTTAATCGGATATGCGTTATGATTCAGATCGGATACAGGCCGGAAGGCTTTAACCCAAGACAAACCACCAGTGCATCCATCATTCAGCCTCTAAATATTTCTTTTATATATGTTTTTTATCTCTGTTACAGTCTAATTTTCGCTAATTGCGCCATTTAAATAAAGTTCTGCTTCCTCTTTCAACGCATGTCATTTTTGGTTTAGTGGTTCCACTGCCTAATTGGTAAAGCAATTCAAGCCTTTATTAAAGAAGGCTGAATCATGTAAAGTCATTATTGCCAATAATTAATCGGGTTTAGATCACATCGATTTGCATTTACTGATCAATGGATTGGTAACAAAAAAATTGAATGGTACCACTATTTGCTGAGTGGATGGAAGGGAGTCATCGACCAATTGCAAATATCGCCTAAGGGCATGAATATTTTAGTTTCAGGTGAATTTCACGAATAATAAATACTCTTATAATTTCTCGTGTCTCCTCGAAGAATATTCAATTTTGTTCTGGTTTCATTAAGTTATAAAACTATAGAAACTATAGAAGTATACCACTTGTCGCGACTTGTCTCAAACTGGTAAGCGCATGCCATTTTTTATTCTCTTCTCTTTGGATCACAGAGGCATACATAGCTTGAAAGAGTGTATTCGAAGAAAAAATGGTATGCTCTTCTGTCAATGCACTTCCACCATTAAAAGTCTTAGAGCAATGAAATTAGGGAAATTTAGTGAAAAGTAAGGATCTCTGATAATTCTTAGGGTTCAGTAGCACCTTTTTTTCTATGCACAAGTGCAAAAAGTTGGAAAGAAATTTGGTGACAATCTTATTTGCGAAGTAAAAATTATGGGCATGTGCATGTAAAATTATAATATGAAATGTTATAATGTTTGCATTCTTCCGTAGATTTCATAGGAATTCATTATTTTTCAAAAATCTTTTTAATTTTTTAACAATTTTCGTTTTAATTTTTAATAATAATAATAATAATAATTTTAATTCACAAATCTAATATGTGCAACTTATTTCCGATAGAAAGAGAAGAGCAAAACTGAGAAAAAGCCATGAGAAGCTGAACATGCAATCTGTGGATCCACACTTTCATGCTGATTGCCATTCGTAACTGTTTTTGAACTGATTTAATGTTAATGCGTATTCAGTAAGCAGTCGTTTTTGAAAGTGGCAAATTCTCTGATAGTGACTGGCAAATCTGCCTGTTTCTTTTGTTCTAATATTCTGAATATTTTTCTTCTAAAAACCCCTTTCTTCAAATTGTGCTTCGGTACAATTTTGCTTAAAAATTAATTTGTATTTTTATTTTGGCACCATGAAATGTTAAATTTCTGATTGCAGTAGTATAACTGTGTATTTCGCGCAGTTCCGTGTTCTTAATTCGCAGAATCCATGTGAAAAGTAGAAATACATCCTCCCGGTTGTCTGATTAATTTTGTTGAAGATTTTAACAGTTTATTGAGATCACTGAAATTATTCGTTCTGTGTGAAATCGTAGGCGATTTCAATAACTTTAATATAGATTGGCATGATGGTAAATTTGCGGACGATTTTTAGTTTTTGTTCAAATATTTTGAGAAGCATATTAGGAATAGGATAAAGAGTGCTTTTTTGAGAGCGCTCCATTACTGCTTAGACTCGCTCCACTGGCTTGGCGGACTAGATAAATATGCCAGGGAGTCGCTTGGCGATAGATCATAGGTGGTTCGCCAGCACACCCGAGGCTGTAATGTGTAGCATATTGCAGCATTAACTCATGTCCATGAAAGTTCTGGCGCATGCGTGGCTTGGTGGTAAGATGGTTACCACCGAGAATGCTTCGGGCTGGGCCGGGCGGCAGTGTCGAACTGCGAAATTAGAATGGCTTAGTGATTATTACTCAGTTTGGAGCGCCCGAGCCGACGTTCTTCCAGCAGTAATAAATCCATTCTTTCAAATTCTAAATGCTGCTGGCGATTCACCTGTACTTCGTCAGCAAAAGAAATTTGTCTAGTCCAGTGCGCCTGACAATATCACACAGATATTTTATATTTTATAAAAAGTGTGAAAACACTTTCTAGATTAGTTTTTCATTTACAAGGTGTTTAAAAAATACCATTACTGGTTAGACTTGCTCCACTGGCTTTCGATATGCCAGGGACTCCCTTAGTGGTAGAAATACAAGTGAGTCGCCAGCATAATCCGTGTTTCCGGACAATTCTAATCCTGCGAGGTTTAGAACTTCAACATTGGCGTTCGGAATTGACCAACAAGCCATTTTATCCTCAAAAACCATTTTACCCACTGAACCATTTTACCCCAAAAACCCTAAAACCTTAAATTTAAGTGCATTAAATCCAAATCTAATGTTTTGTAAATATAAATAGAATGTTTGATAACCAAAATAATTAAACAATTCTGCCTAATAATCAAAAACAAAGTAATTTATTTTTAAATCCAAATTGGCTGAAACTATTAAAACTTTTTTTTAAAAAGTTTTCGCCGTTACTGGTTAAGCTCGTTCCGTTGGCTTGTTGCATAGGCAAATATGCTAGAGAATCCCTTGGCGATAGAAATACAAATGAATCGCCAGCATCACCTGGATTTTACTCATGCGAGGAATAGAACCTTAGTATCGGCGCTCCGAATTGAGTAATAACCCACTGAGCCACCCTATCCCCAATTTATGAGCCATTAATGGTATATGTTAAAAAAATTAATTATTAAAAAATTATATTTGAAAAATAAATTTTCATTATTTGTTATGGTTATAAATTCAAGCATGGCTGTAGTTAGTGCTTGTTTAAATAAATAAATAAATATTAAGGTTTGATACCACCGAGTGCTGGTCTTTCCAGCTCGAGCTCGATTGTTTGCGCCGCAGCTCTGGCAACTATAGCTATTAATACTGGCAAAACTTTTGAACTTATCAGTAAAGTAATTTTTTAAAGTTTTTAAAGTTAACCCGAAAATTGCTTCTTATCAGAAACTGGATCTAACTCATTGATTTTTTTCTGAATTTTATCGGTGTCTGTTGTTGAGTTCCTTGAAATGATGATTCTTAGTTATACAACCTCGGGGAGTTAGAAGTCTTCAAATTATATTTTGAGAATTTTGGCCTAAAATAATAGAAGAAATTCTGAAATTGGTGTGAGTCCGATTAATTTATCTTTTTTTATTCGTGAATTACAGATGAATTGCTATCCAATTGAAAAATATCTTTCATCTTAACAAGAATGCAAGAAGCCCAGCTTTTCCCATATCTTCATAATATTTTTTTCTTCATGAGTCCACATCATTTCTAGTTAAGCTCGCTTCGCTGGCTAACTGCACTGAACGAATATTACAAGGAGTCCATTGAGAATAGAGGTAGATGTGAATAAAATTGGTGCAATGAAATTTATGGATTACAAAGTGAAAAATATGCATAATTTTGCAGAATGAATTGGCCGACTTAACAGCAAAAGCAGAACAATTCGTTGGTGTTGAAGGTGGAGGAATGGATCAAGCAATTGAAATTTTGGCAGACAAGGGAAATGCGCTGCTAATTGAATTCAATCCTCTTCGTTCAGAGAAAATTTATCTACCGGAAAATGCTCACTTTGCCGTCCTTCATTCCGGTAGAATGCTTAGTAAAGCCGCATCTTCGCAATACAATGAAAGAGTCGTCGAATGTCGTATTTCTGCACAGGTTTTTTTAATAAATTTTTCGAATGAGATATTTGTAAAAATTTTTCTAACCTTCTCACTTAACTGTTTCCAGTGAATGCCAAAGTGAAAGGCATTCGTACAATAATTTTGCCAGAGTTATCACTTGGCTAGGAAGTCCCTAGCAGCCACTTGAATTTCACGTTAGGGAAAAAATTCTAAACACTTGCTAATACCCAACCGCAGTGCTACCCACTCTTTCCCCAACCCTTTTCCTTTACACGCTTTCTCTTTTTATTTCACGAAATTTGTTAAAATTCTGCTTGTTTAAATTGCTCCGTTTTTTGATTGAATAATTATCCATATTATGAAAATGAAAACTTTCAGTTGAAAGGAAAACTGATGCATAATTTGTAGATAATTGCGAAAAAGAAAGGAATTTCCGATTGGAAATCTATTCGAACTTTGGGAATTTTAGCTAAAAAACTAGAACGATGTGCAGATGAAATGTTGAAGATTGTTGAGGATATTTTTATATCGCCAGTTTATTCGAGAGAATTAATTTTAAATGCACTCGAAATCTCTGATAATGAATTTCGCTTATCACTTTTATCAAATAATACACAAGAAAGTACGAATTAGCCTTCTGACATTTCGTAATGCTTTTGTCCTAAACAAAAACTTGTCACATAACAACAAGAAAAAATTCGTTCAACTTGTCTTTCCAACAAAATGCCACGCTTTCTTAGCTTATTTTTATCTTGATAGCGCAAATTCATTTAAATTTTTCGATATATTTATTATCTTTAATGTCACTTGACTTTTTTTGATGAGATTCACCATTACTGGTTAAACTTGCTCCACTAGCTTGTTGCAATTGAGCAATATGCGAGGGAGTCCCTTGGCGATAGAAATACAGGTAAGTCGCAAGCATCACCCGGACTTTTACTCCTGCAGGTTTACTCCTGCGGGAAATCAAATCTCAGCATCGGCGCTCCCAATTGAGCAACAACCCACTGAGCCATTCAGTGTCACTTGACTTAAGCTAAGGAAATAAAGGAATCAGGAAAATCGAGCAAACCAGGGTTGTGTTTCTTTTGAAAAGGTCTCCGATTCTATCGAATCTGGCACCTTTGCTTAATAAATTGATTAATTTATTAAATTATCTATTATAATAATTTTGATATCAATTTTTAAACTTATTTTAGTGCAGGAATTCAAATTGTTGCAACGTGCACGGCATGTTTATTCGGAAGCTTCAAGAGTTTTAAAGTTTCGCGATGCTTGTATAAACAGCGATTTAAAAACAATGGGCTTATTGATGAATGGTAGTCACCAAAGTTGTGTGATTGATTTTGAATGCTCTTGTAAAGAACTTGATGAAACGGTTGTATTTTCCTAGAAAATATGTACAAATCCACTCCGTCCTCATTTCTTTTTCCCATTTGCTGATAATCTCGGAGTAAACTAATATTCATTCGTTATCTTAAATTTTTAAGACTTTTATTTCCAAACTGAAATATCGATAAGTTTAATTAGTTGGGCTTCTTACTCTTTTATAATTTCAGGTTAAAAGGTGTCTAAAATATGGTGCATTAGGTGCACGTCTAACGGGTGCAGGTTGGGGCGGATGTGTGGTTGCACTATTCGAACAGAAAATTCCTGAACTGGATGTTCTTTTCTGGAGTCAACCAGCACAAGGCATACAGATTCAGTCATTCAATCAGGCTAGCCGGGGATAAACATGATCGTCATTTTTCTTTCATAATTTTTACTATTTATCACTCCATTTAATTTTTACTGGTTTCTAGGTTTTAACGGTGAATGCATGTCAGATTTATATTATTTATTTTGTGAGGATCAAAGTTCAAAATTGTATGATTGTAAAAATGATTTGCTCTATAATATATTTCCTCAATCCGCACATTTTGTCATTTCTCCATTCCTCCAATGAATCATTTGGAAAGAGAGGAACTATCCGAGGAATAGTTGATTGATAGATCCTTCAGAAAATCCTTCAGTGCCACAGATTTATAAATTCTATAATTCTGAATAATTTTTGCGAATGCTTTTTTAATTTCTTTAATATTTTTTACACTTTTTTTTATGAGCACTATCAATATGTTTATTTGGAGAACAATAAAGCAAATTGGGCTTCGACTTAGGCTCATTCTGGTGCCATTCTATATTCACAGACTTTCTTGGCTGTATCAGTTCTTGGTTCCTTGGTCCTCCTCATTTTTGATGCTTTCACGGTTTCGTTTTTGCAGTGGACGGCGAAGAAGAACATCGCCTAACATGGCCAGCACAGGCGACCACATTTAAGATTAATATGACCAAATAATAAATATTTCCTTTTAATTTTTTTGTAAATCTCTATTCAATTCCATTTTAAATATTAATATGAGATTAAGAAGATTAAGAAGCCACCTTTAATTAATTAATTCTTTTTTTGACTTAGATTGCCTAAAATAATGGCAAATAATTTTGTGTTAGATTTTAAATTAGGCTTAGCAATCATTTTATACTTTTGTGAGTAAAGTTTCGAAGTAATTTTTCTTCCTCAACAATATATTTTATATTCAAAAGATTTATTCGCCATTATTTTATTACGAAGATCGGAATCCAAATTCTCTTTAACGAGGTGGTTTTATTTACATTTCTATAAAATTGCTGGAAGATCGGAACCTCTTAAATTGTTGTATAGAAGTTTTATTTTCATCTGAAAATATCCAAGGAAAATTGAAGCCATTCAGCTATTTTACCACTTCGTTATCACTAGTGATAAAAACTACCTTGAGTCCAATGCAACTACCTTGAGGCACCTCTCGATTTGGCTAAAATAATATCATTAATACGTTAATAATAAATCTATATATATATATATATATATATATGTATATTAGTAGATATCGGCTTCTTTAGTTGTTAATAATAGTTTTGAAAGCATGGAGATCGCCGTCATTAGTTGGATGATAACGAATTTAGAAGTTTTGTTGTTGTTTATGGACGCGAATTTATGACGGTAATGACTTATCATTTGACGCTGTTTATGTGGGGCAATTACGATCCACGATTCATTTTCCATTATTTTTTGCTAAGCTTAACAATCTAATTTCCAATTATTTAGTGGATTACATAAAGTGGATTCGGCTCGTAATTAAAGTGAACTGAAAATGGTTACTGGTGGTCCACGTGTACCTTTAAATGTTTCCAGATGTGGCAAATGTTTCCAGCAAATGTTTCCAGCAATTTTTTTCAACTTTTTAAATGTTCTTTCCCAGTTTTTTTTTTCTTTTCACTTTTTGCTTTTATGCTTTAAAGTTTTAAGTTTCGGTATATTTAAGTGCCATCACCGTCATTGGATTTATTACTTTCGTAATAATAGCCACAGTTTCTCTCTAACGATTCGTTTCCATTAATATAACGTTTATGATATAAAAATGTAGTTGAATTTCTTTCCCGAGTTTTCACTTTCAAAGCTTTTGTTATCCGTATTTAGGGGCAGAATTGCCGACCATGCTGAGAGACAAAGGTTTGGCTCGTTCCGCTCATGGAAAAGCCTATTCTTATCTGGATTGCGCTGGTGAGCCGCCTGTATTTCTGTCGTCATATCAATAGAACAAGCTTAATTAGAAGTGATAGCCACTTAATTTTCATGCTGGCATATCATTATAGGGGTCAAGAGAAAATTTTACAACGGTTGAATTCTTTCAACGAAGATATAAATAATTGAAGAATCTAATGATAAGAGATTAATTTTCCTTCTAATATCACAACCTTCCTATAAAAAATGCCATTAAATATAAGCAATAAAGAAAATTAAGAAAAATGCAGGACACATATAACACACTAAAAAATGGCAAAAGAATGATCTTCAGAAGACATCATGCAAAAAAATCCATTAGGATAAAAATATTGCCCAGAAACATTTACTGGGCACTGATAATCATATAATAGGTTCATGCGAAACGGTATGAGTTCCACTGCGGTTCGTTTGTAAGAGTAAATTAGTCATTTGAGTGATTACTAAAGGCAAATCTTTCCTACCCTTTACCTCCAGGTGACTTTCTGAAAGAAAATCTCTTCAATACTACAAGGAGGAGAACAAGAAGTACCAAATTTATTCGATCTTTAATTTTTTCAGTTTGCGAAATTTCAACTTAAATTTTGAAATCATAAATTATAAGGTTCTAAATTATTTCAATTTTAAAAAAATTCGAAGAATCCATTCATCAATAAATTGAAAGAATATGGAATATGGAATAAATTTAAATTTCTATTGATTTGGAATTTTTAAATAAAATAAAAAATCATTTGAATGTGAGCAATAATTGTTAATTATCAGTGTGAAAGATAAGAATGGAACATCAGTGTTCCAACGAAAGACGCCCACTAAGTTTTAGTGTAACGATGGATGGATGGATGGGTGGATGGGTTTTGCGGAAATATATCCATCGTTGGTTGATTGTCTTGAAACGCGATGCCGTCTCTCGATATTGCTGCTAATTCTCGAATTACACTCGGATTGGCATCTTCCGCGCCTCGCCTAAGAATATTCTCCTCTAAGCCCTCCAATCAAATCTTATCTTTCTTATCTTTCTCAGCATATTATCACTGATTCACTGATCAATAACAATCATTTGTTTCATAACTGTTTGCTTACCTAACTTACTCTTAAGAGAAAACGAAAATACTTTCGTGCCTTTCAGTTGTATCTTTTTCTGTATTTTTTGATATCGCAGTTTTCTTCCTTCTTCAATAGCGTTCACCAATTGTGTTTAAACTGGTTGATTATCAGATTGGAATCGTTCGCCAGAGAACTACTTGAGAACTTTAGGGACTTAGGTCCATCTTCTTCTTCTAACGGCTTTCACCATTACTGGTTAGGCTGGTTACTTTGGCTACAAGATGTTTCCAAGCTGCTCGGTACGACGCCATTTCTAGTAGTAATAGAAGCCATTCCTTTTTACATCGTCTAAGTCCATACATCGCTAGTACATTTATACGTTCAAAATCTTTCCTATATCAGGCCTTTGCTCGCCCTCCTCGCTTTTGACGCCAACCATCATAGGGTTTAGCAAATATGCATCAACTCTTGTGGTGGATGGCAGAGAACGTCCCTAACCCTAACTAGCGAAGCTAGCTCTATGTAATAACATTATTAATACAGGCGGTATTTGAGCGAAGATAGATACAATCATGTGCGATTTTTTCTGCTCAATGGATCCGTAAAATGTGTCACATGAGTGGTCAAAAGCTAATAGTTTCTTAATATCCTCCACTCTCATTGGCCATGTTTCGTAGCCATATGGCAAGATCGAGCAGATGTATGGACGCGGATTTCCGTCTTTATGGCTTAGGTCCATCAAGGAAAAGGGGTCGAATATATGGTGGCTTGAGGTTAGAGCAAATAGATGTACACTCCATTCATTTTTATTCATAAGGTGATGTAACAATCTCTTATTAAGCTCTACTTCAGAAACACTCAGTTGCTCAGTTTCAGCGGATTCAACCTGATGGAGTTAATTCCATCTAATTCCTGTTTTTTAAAAACATTTAGACCGATTTATGTAATCGTAGTAACAGAAGGAATTGATTGATTTCGCTGCAAAGCCTGAATCATTATCCACTCCCCTCCCTATATGGCCCCGTATTATAACGAAGACCGGTACCTTATATTGTGTATCGTTTGAATATTGACTTTTTTCTTAAATTCTTGAAGTTGAGCGGTGAAAGAGGAGAAAGAAGAGACTTTTTGTTGAATTTATTCAGTTCATTAGAAATCCACTAGAAACAGAAAGAAAATGGCCTTTGGCTTAAAACATCGTCGAATTTATGGACTTTATTCAGCCAGGGCCAGCAATTTCATGCAAAAGCACCGTGGCCATTATTTTTTCGTTAGGAGAAGTGCAATACTAATTTGCAGCTGCGTGCAAAATTAATTTTAAAAATTCCTTTTTATGATTCTTTGTTATATACTATGCATTTGTTTTAACTACTAAGTATTGCACTCAGCATATTGTTTTATTTTTTTCATTTTAATATTTAATTGCGTAAAGAAATCTTCTGAGGTCCCTCATCGTCTCTCCCAGCAGCCCTCTGCTTCGGCTGGTCCACTGGCTGGTTCAAGGTTGAGTCGCCCCGCCGGCGAGTGATTTCCGAATAGAAATATCGGTGGATCCGCACGGGCCTCTTTCACTTTTGATGGCACTTTACTCTCTTCAGGAACTAAACGCGTGTCGGCTGATCTAAATCGAGGCAACGTGTTTTATTTTTTGAATTTGTGCTTCGCGGCAATCTATGGAATAATGTGAATAATGTGTTAGACATTCTGAACGATGAAACAAGGAAATTTATGGTCTTTGCTCTGCTAAATATGGTGTATAAAGCAGTTTTTCGAAAATAACTGATATTCTAATGTGAAACCTTAAAGTGGTGGACACTTCCGGCAGTTTCTTTCGAACCCCACATTCCTGCCGTTCCTTTCCTATCGTAGAAGAGTTTGCTCTTTCCATAATTGTGGGGATAGGGTGGTTGATTGATACGCTGCTACCGGCTGATTGCAAGCCTCGGTTCCTCTTTCATGAAATTTATCTATTGTAAGATTCAGATGGCCGTGTTTAGTTCTTTTCCCGGGTTCTGGTTCTGTGGCGAAGGGTCCTAGCAGTTAGAGGAGGCAGCCAAATGGATCGGCAGCTGCTTTTAAGAGAAAGAATCTCCAAATATATGTAAATATCTAAATTCTGAATTCGAAATGTGTTAGAAAATTTCGGTGTTAAATTCTCTTTCCTTCTTTTATATTAGTTAGATTAAAATTAACTTTCTTTCATGAATGTCATTTCTTCAGCCCCACATGTATTCTAATCGTGCGAATCGTGCGAAAGAGAGTTAATTAACCAGAATTGGTGCGAACCACTTATTTTCTTTACTTAGAAATTATTCATCGTATGGTTTATTAAATAGAGTGAAAGTTGATTTTGATTCTTTCTTTGAATTCTTTAAAATTGTTTTAATTTATGTATTTTTTTGAATTCTATCAATTTAGAATTTTCACCGATCAAAAAAATTTTTCGCGTTTCTCGTTTTTTTCGAATTTTTGATGAATAATTTCGGTGATTTTTTTTCTGTTTACAATGTATTTTTTGTTGAAAGGCACTTCGCAAGCACTGGAAATTCTCAATTTACATCGATTATTCGTTCGCTAATCTCGTCACTCGTATTTATTAATTACTGAATTTTGTTACTAAAATTGATTTCATTTTTCGATTTATTGATCTTCTTTATTAAATTATTAAATCAATAGAACTATATAAATACGTGAAGTAATTTCTCGCTATAAGTTTAAAAATTTTTTTAATTTTTTATTTTGCAGATAATGGCGTTGAAATTATTTTAAAACTTATTTTATGGTACAATCGTGCGGCATTTTAATGAATTTCATGCAGAAACTGATTTAACTGAAGGCATTTTATTATCTTTTTTATTATTAAGATCAGACTTTAAAAAATGTCATTATCAAGCCACTATCATGCGCATAAGCCGAATGTGCCTATTATTATGGAGGATGTTTTTGGATGGGTAAGAGAAGGCAATACATTTCAAGTACGTGTATGGCTTGATGATTCTGAACATGATCTTAATATTGGGTTCGATTTTCTTTATTTTTTATTAAAATTTAAATCTAATGTTTTGAAAGTATTTGTTTAGTAAAGATTTTCGATTTTAAAAAGTTTAAACAAGATAATCTTTGCGATTAAGTTTCCTACTATTTTTTTCTAATTTTACTCCATTTTTTTTAATGGTTAATAAATAATAAAAGTTTCCTTCTTTTCCTGAAAAATAGAAAGATATGCAAAAAGCAATTGATTTGTTTTTTCAAATTTTTTCCCAGATTTTTTCTTTTTTTTTATATTTTTGTTTTATTATTTCGAAATATTGTTTTCTTATTATAAAAATAGTTTAAAATTTTATATTATAAATTTTATATTTATTTATATTAAAATTTTATATTGTGCTTTTGGGTTTTCTTTAATGTTGAGATTAAATTTTATTAGAGATGATCATGCCTTCTCACTGTTACATTGGGCATCAAAAGAAGGCCATGTAAGTATTGTGGATTTATTGCTGTCTCGAGGAGCGCGTGTTAATGACACGAATATGGGCGATGATACGAGTTTGCATTTAGCTGCAGCACATGGACATCGCGAAGTCGTAGTGGTTCGTTTACATTTTTTGAAAATAAAAATTTCAAAACTGATTTCAAAATTTAGAAGTGGTATCTAAAATTTATAATCCGTATGCGTAAAATTCGTAAAAAATCTGTTAATTGTAGGAAAATTTCGTTTCAGAGATTATTAGCTCGGAAAGCTGACGTGAGCGCAGTTAATGAACATGGAATGACTCCTTTACATTATGCATGCTTTTGGGGATATGTGCAGATTGCTGAGGTTCATTTTTGTTTATTAGTTTTTGCCAATCATTATTAAAGCCTTCTGAAGCTGAAAACTTTTTTTTATATTTATTTTTTATATTATCATTTCTCATTTTTTCGGTTTTATTCTTCTAGGATCTTATTCGGTGTGGTGCTCAAGTAGGTGCATGTAACAAGAAGGGTCAGACATCACTTGATATTTGTCAACCGCAAGCTCGTAATTCAATCATTGGTGAGTTCAATTTTTATACATATATTAAATCTTCAATTTTTAAGTCAATTACATAAAATTACTTCAAGTTTTTATGTTTACAATTATTCCACCTTCTGCTGACTTTATCCTAGATTATTAGATTTTCGAGAATATGTTAAATCTACGAAGCAATTCTTTCTATCCAAAAATTGGCCTATTTCATTTATTCTTAGGGCGTTTAAATTAATTATTATTGCATTTAGATCCAATTGAAATATATTATCTGAAAAAATAAATTTTTCTTTAATCGTTTATATTGTTTAGATTTGTTTAAATTACATTTTGTTATATTTTAGAATTAGCAAAAGAATATGGCCAAAATATTAATCAGAAAATTACTTTCAAAGATCACAACTGGAGTGGTACAAAAACGCGTACTAGAGATGCTACTCTTTCTCGGTATTACATATTAAAATTTTTTTAAAATTTAAAATTTTTAAAATTTCTTAAATTTTTTTTTAAAAATTAAAAATTGCGAAAAATATATTTTCTTTATTCAGAAACGATAATAAAGCAGGGAATGCAGGGATTTCTTATTTAGAAATAATGAACAAAAGATTATAAAAGAGAAAAACACCAAAAGTAATTTTTTTAGATTGAGATATAGTTGACTTTATTTAATTTTCCTAATTCTTTAAGAATTTACAAAAAATGCATCCAATCGCCTTTTTAAATCAGGATGGATCCATGTTATACTGTAATCTCGAAATTTCACCTATAAGATTAGGCTTTGGATTTATATATTAGTTACATTTTAGATGAATTTTGGACATAGAAAAATCTGCTGAACCTATCGTGAAGATACAGATTTTTGTTAACTATTTATTTAGTGGTTACTTTAGTCTAAGATATTAGTTAATAAATTAAAGTTATTGAATTGTTATTGACAAAAGGGAATCGCAGAAGGAAATGAAAAATCATTTAAAATTAAAAATTTTCATTTTCATTTTTAAAATTTTGATTGATAGATGAGTTAGAAAGTCAAGTGACTCTTTTTTAAATCCATTTAATTACATTATTAATTACATTATTAGGATCATCATTTAATGAAAATATTCAGATCCACCTCATAAATAATGAATTTTACTTTATCATAATTAGAGATACATTCGATTCGATGTACTTCATGTATACCAGTGGATTTTATGTCAGTTATTTATTTAGCTATACTGGTGTTGATATGTCATCGCTTAGTTTATCAATTAAAATAGCTGAATCGCACAGTGGTGAACTTTGGCGTGGTAAATGGCAAGGGAATGACATCGTTGCTCGGATACTTGCGATTCCTGATGTTACTCCTCGGATAAGTCGGGAATTTCAATCAGAATTCCCTGCTTTAAGGTGCTATTTGTTCTTCCATTTAAAAAGTCGTAGAATCGTAATTTTATTCTATTATAAAAAATTTGGACATAAATCGACAAAATATTAAGTATTCAAAAGTTTATTAAATTTTGCACGCTATTACTTTATTATATTTTTTGCTATTACTATTATTATGTTATTACTATTACTTTATTATGTTTTGCTATAATATATAAAGATTGTGTAGGGAGTAATTTACGGTTTTCATTCTTATTGACAAAAATTTTTTTCTACATCTTCGAATAGTTCTCATTATTACTGGTTAGGCTGACTCCGCTGGCTCCAGAGGTAAGACGTATCCAAGCTGTTTGGTCTAACGTCATCGCTGGCAATAATAGAACCCATTTTTTTTCCATAGTCCTAATCATAATATTGCTGGTCTCCCTAAACGTTTAAAATCTTTCCTGACTCTATCAGTTCAAGTCTTGATTGATCCTCCTCGCTTTTGACGCCATCCATTACAGGGGGTTTAAGTAGCAAAATTTGGCTCAACTCCTACGGTGGATGACAAAAAACGTATCCTAACCATCGAAAACGACATTGTGTGATGGTACCGTTGATGAAAGTGGTATTCGAGCGAAAGTGGATATAGTAATGTGCGATTTTATTTGCTCGACGGATCCGCAAAAATATATTTTAGACATGAATGGCCAAAAGCAGATAGCTTCTTAATATCCTCCGCTCTTATTGGCCAAGTCTCGCAGCCATATAGCAAGGTCGAGAGAATTGCAACTAGATAGATGCGATTTTCTTTTTTATGGTGATTTCGCAACGGCTCCATAAAGGTTTTGTCAACCGGAAGAACGTATTTCCAGTTATCGTTATCTAGATAGTAATTTCGTCTTTTGCCCGGCCATTTGGAATTAATGTGGGTTCAAAATATTTAAAGTCGAGCATTTCCTCAACTGGCAATGGATTGATAAAAACAGGTGTTTTATCAGCTTCTTGTATATAAAACGAAAACTTTCGTTTTATTGATGTTGACTCTGGATTTGCACATCTATGATATCATGCTCTGGATTTGCATATCACTTAAGTGAAGCGATTTCCATTATTCACATAGTTGAATACTGTAGGGGAAAGCATGCAGCCTTAGCGTACCAGTTTTATTTCGAAGGATTTTTTTAGTCTCTCATATATAAGCAAGTGACTTATGCCATGTATGCTGATAAAATGAGTCGATTGATTTTCTCTGAAACACCGTTACATTCCATCACCCTTCACAGCGCGAATTAAATCGAAGGCAGCTGCAAAATCGATGAAACAAGTGTAGGTAGGTTGATATTTAAAACGATATCTGCTCAACACAACCACGTCTCGGTCTGAATGGAGCTATTAGGACGCATTCTATTATCTCATGTTGGTCTATTTAGCAGAGGGGAAAATTTTTACGGAGATGTCCGTTAGGCTGGTTTTAATTATTGCAGCACGTCCTATCACCCACCTTCTTAGGAATTGGAAGAATTGCTTTGCTCTAGTCTTCTGATATTATTTCCTTTTGCCATACCAGAGAACACATTTGTTGAAGATGAGTTATCAACGATGATGGAAAAAAAACATTTGACGAGCTCAAGACCATCTCCGGAAGTTTCATTTTCTTTAAGCTTATGGATTACAGAGATTATTATTTGTTCTTCTGTTGGCGGTTTGCAGTTGTAAACGTATGGCTGGACGAGTGAATCAGTTGTATCGGCGACAACATATGGTGCATCATGGTTAAATTTGGTCTCAAGGAATGCCATGTTAGAGGCGTTAATAGCCTTAATAAGTATTGATATCTCGTATCATTTTACTGCCCGAGTTATGTTACTTTGTGAAGAAGGCAGAATATTTTCCTATTATCACTTAATTGAACCACCGTCTCCATTTTCAAGGCCATATCACTCCAATAACGATTTCTTTCCCGTTCAGTTTCTGTCGTTGTAATGCTTCGAAACATTGGATAATAAGGATCTCCTGACATTCATTCTTTGGCATCCTCCTCGAGTGGTTGGACTGTTGCTTCCGACACCCAATTAGCACAATTTTCTATTAGCATATCCTAGAGTGGAAATGGCTGATTTTCAGAGACATGTTTAGTTGGGACCAGTATTCATCCATTTCAGAGATCTTATAGGCATTCATTTCAATGAGGTGGTTTAATAAATCGATTTGAAATGCGCTTATTGTTCACGAATCTTTTAATTTGAGATATTTGAAAGATCTCTTGGGATACATTATTTCTTACGTCTTGCTATTACTGTTACTGTTTTTTCTTACTGTTTTATACGAATCATGGCTCGAACAATAACATGGTCTGATCCTTGACGTTTACCAGTTTCAGCCTGACATTTATCAAGCATTCACCTTTGTCTGACCAATATGTAGTTAGTCTGATTGGAATATTGGTTAACTGGAGACTTCCACGTGAACAGATGGCTTTTTCAATGTGGAAAACATTAGTAAGAACTTATGCTTTTCGGCAAACATAAAAAAGGCCTTCTCCATTGGCGCACTGGATCCTGATGCCATGTTTGTCGATTAACGAATTCATCGTAACGGTATCATGGCAAACGCGCGCATTCCACTGTTTCCTGATTATGACCATGTCACCTTTCGGTGTTACTCTCGGAGAGATGTTGTTAATAGATAAATCTTTATAAATCTTGATCATCTGCGCATAAAGTTGAAGCATATACACTGATGACCGGAATATTGCAGAATTTTCCTTTGAACAAGATTATACGGACTTTGCTCAATCAAAACGGAATGAGTTTTTTCGGACATGATAATCCTTCGCTATTTCGCCCGTATTATCCGAAGCGCCACAATAATATATCCAGTGCCTCTGCTGAGAGCAAGATTTAGTAATTACTCAAAACCCATGAAGACAGATTTCTGATAAATAGACTACATCCACGCGATATTTAGAAAAGGTGGGGGTGATAATCGCTTGGCTTGCAATGTCCATAAGCGTTTTGACGTTCTGAGCAGCTGTGGCCAACACCTCACAATGTTTGCAAAATGCCAATTCTCTCGTTTTTTTACGACAGGTTTTCACAGTGATTATCCTAACTCGCAAGCATATCCTATTCTCAAGCCTTGAGGTTTTAATACGCTTGGGTTGTATACTTATCGTATGTACCATCTGGCTGGAAATATTATGCGCGTCGAAGGATGCGGACGCTGTGTCAAAAAAATTTGACCCCATAGAGTCACTTGAGTTATGGGTGAACCCTCAGCAATCACTCAGATTTTTAATACCAGATTTACTCTTGCCAGAGATAAAGATAAATAATTAATTAAAAATTGTTGGGGAAGAAAAAAAGAAATAAAAAAGAAATAAAAATTTATTTAATATCGATTAGTGTGAGAGCATCCTTTCTACACGACTGCTCAGAAAAAACAAAAATTTTTTTAAATTTTTTTATAAAATTTTTTTATTCGTACTAATTTTACATTTTTTTACACGATGTTATTTTTGAAGAATATTCGCACACTCCAATATTTGTCCTGTTCTTGCTTGTTGCAATCAACCTCCGAACTTGATCATCATTAGTCAATTTATGCCATTCGGTTCATTATATAACGTTTTACATGAGCAGTCAGGTATTTTCGACTTTTTTTGGCAATTTAATTTTACTGTTCCATTTCTTTGGTAAATTTTTCGGTCGGTGCTTATTTGACTTCAAATTATTAAATCATTATATAAGTTATTAAATTAATAAATCATTATTATATTATTAAATTATATAAGTGATTAATTGAATGATTAATGCTTCCATTTTGCTTATTTTTTTTAGCAATTTTTTAGCAATTGTAATTGATCAACTTCAAGCTGCAAAATTTGCATTAGATATAGCCCGGGGAATGTCTTTTTTACACTCATTGGACCCAATGGTTCTTCGATACTACTTAAGTTCAAAACACATCGTTGTTGATGAAGAATTAAGCGCAAAAATTTCAATGGCAGATACAAAATTTAGTTTCCAGGAAGTTGGCAGATTATATTCTCCAGCTTGGATGTCACCAGAAGGTTCCTTTTATTTTTAAAAACTTTTCCATTTTTTCATAACAAGATCTTAAAGATCTATTTTATCATTGGAAAATTGCGATGTGCAATCTGCAAACTAATTTATTTTATTTTATTTTAGCGCCTCAAGCTGATTAATCCTTTATTTTAGCTCTTCAAATTAACCCCGCAGCACTTAATATTCGAACTGCCGATATTTGGAGTTTTGGTATTTTATTATGGGAATTGAATACCAGGGAAGTGCCTTTCTCCGATCTCTCAGCTATGGAAATAGGAATGAAAGTAAATTTTTACTTGTGGTTCTTTTTGCAGATATTGTGGTTCAGAATATCTATAAGTATCAGATCAGAATTTTCGCAAAATGCATTGCTATTTTCAGATTGCACTGGAAAGTTTGAGAGTGCCCTTTCCTCCTGGTATATCCAGAAATATGGGCCGATTAATGAATATTTGTTTGAATGAAGATCCTGGAAGACGGCCTAATTTTGATCAACTTATTCCAATACTTGAAAGAATGGCTCGATCGTAGATTATTTTGCCTATAAGCGTGCCTGTGGTTTTTGTCGTTTGGCTAAAAGTAATCAATACCGGTTTTTTAATGCGATGATATGTTTGCCATTTGTTTATTAGAAAAAAAAATCAAATAAAAAAAAGGATTTTAGGGACTTAAATTTGCATTCTCACCAAAAAATTTGATTTTATTTGTTTATCAAAAATCGCCCGTGAACGTTACGTTTTTTAATGGTTTCGTGCTGAAATTAATAAGTATTTTTTATATTTTACAAATGAAGGAATGGAAACGAATGTTTTTTACTTTTTTCTTGCTTTCACTGTTAAAAAATCAGGTTGCCATATTTCATTTTGTTTCTAATTTTCAACTGCCTATTTCCTTATTGTTATTATTCAGTTCAAGATTTATTGTATTGTATTAACATTCTCTCTTCTGGATTTACACTTCATTTCATGATAAGCTGAAAATAAATTTAGGTATCCTAATGCTGCGAAAAACCAATGCAGAAGAAAAAAATTTTATTTTCAAAGTTTCTATTCGAGAAAAAATGTTATATTATTTCTGATCCTTGTTTCCGTAAATTTCTCTGTAGTTCGAATTGCTATCAATATTTGCTATTATTAGAAAATTGGTGCTAAACTTGTTTTTTTATCTTTTCTTTTCTTAGTTATTTGAAATATTCAAAATATTTTATTTTGCGAATTTTTTCCTTTCAGCAGTAATGAAAATTAAATATTTATAAGTATATATACATATATAAATAGAAGTTTTGAAAGCCATCGAGAATTTAGTTAAAATATATATTTTGTGATATTCAGAAATTGATTAGTTCCATTTATAAAAAAAATTAATCTAAGAGAATAATGAATTTGTTTTTGATAAGTTGTTAATTTATGAATGACGGTAATTTATAGATCAATCTATACATCTACAGAGATATATAAGTGTTTTAAATCGCTGAGGTGACTGACTAATTGATAAAGCGGTAAAGTTGATAAAGTTAATCAAGAATGGCCATATTAAGAAGATATTTGGGTCTCCGTTTTACCATATTCCTTATTTCTGAAAATTTTTAAATGAGATTCATAAGATATGATATTAAATACAATATTATTGTGTTTATTATTTCGTATTGTTGATCATTCCATTTAATATTTTAAATATAACCGCAGTGTGGGTTACTTAGCTCCATCATTTAAAGTCCAGTAGCGCTGACATTTTAATTTCTATCCCCTGGTGAAAATGCAGTCTAAACGCCTTCTTCAAAATGTCATTTAGGACTATAATCTTTTATACAGATATTTATTCTTAAAAATTTTATTATAATACATAGATTGAGCTTGGACTTGAAATGTTCACCCGATCAAGAGGAAGCACAGTGCAAATGTAAAAACTAGCAATCTCATCAATACAGCACTAACACTAATAAGTTTTCAAAATTTTTTAGCCCCTCGTTTTTTTTTGAAAGAAAATTATTAATTCTTGGAAGCAACAAATTTCTTTTTCATTACGTATGGATTTTAGGGACGTTAATATGGATTTTTCATATTATTCCGCGAATGTTTTTTCGAATAATGAAATTAAGAAAGAATAACTTTTATGCATTTTAAAGGAATAAACGATTGGCTTTAAATTTGATATGTAAGAAATTCAAAAAAAATATGAAATGAACCTTTAGAAATTTTAGCGAAATCAACGATGGTGCACTTACGGATTGTCCATAAAGAAAGAAAAATTAGAAAACAACCACGATAAATACCATTTATAACACTAAGAAAACTATTTTCTTTCTTTGCTAACCTGAAAGTACCATTTATTCTGCCGATAAATCGTAATGAAACCTCAAGAAAAATCTCCTTAAATTTAGAAAAATCTAGAATTTGCAGAAAAAAAAAGAATGACAAATGAGCATTTATCAACAAAGTTGATGGGAAATTATTTCACTGATATTGATAACAGAGCCGATAAGATTTCGGATTTTTTTTCTAATAATAATAATTTAATTGATATTTGACAAAATAAAAAATAGTTTGATATTGGTATATTGATATCAGAATATTTAGAAAATAGTTGCAAAAGAGGGACAATAAATAAAGTTTAAAGGCAATTTTAACTGGGAACAGATAACTGGAAAGAACTATAAAAATTTTATATTTTAAACTCAAAAGCATCTTCGAATCATCGAATATTCTTTGGAATCTCTCATTGACCTCTCAGAACCTTTGGTTTTAAACTGCTTTTAAATTCACCAAATTTGAATATTTAAAAATATTTAATAAAAATATTGAATATTTAATAATGAATAATAATTATTGCGAGTGGTTGATTGTTGAAGTTGCTCTGCCATTTACAATATTATTATTCTATCTTTATTATATCGGTCATTCAATATTCAATATATTTTACACCAAATCAATATTTTTTTCAATATTTGGAAAAAAAAAATTATTAAGAAATTATTCTCGATTTATTTTGTTTTACTTGGAAATTATTTCTGGTTTACAATTCAGCTACGTTCAGCTAAGTTCTCTTGAACTTTTAATTTTTTTTTTCTTTTTTTTCTTTTTTTGTCTTTGGCAGGAGTAAACCTGCTATTATGTCAAAAATCCGGGTGGCTGCTGAGGATAATTCTATCCCCAAGTGACTCTATGGTGAAAGGGTCAGATACATTTGATACGGCGTCAGCGTCTGCCGATGCGCATGATACTTCGAACCCGGTGGTACATGCGATAAGTCTACAATCCGGCCTTAAAACGATCCCAAGGATGATAAATAAAATGTGTTCTCAAGCCAAGGTAATTGCTCAAAACCTATCAAGAAGGGGAACAGCCCTCTGCACGCGCGGCGAGGTATTAGCCGTATCATCGTTAGAACGCTTATGGACGTTACAAGCCAAGCGATCACTGTCCACACCCTGTCTAAATATCGTGTGGATATCTCTTGCTTGTCAGAGGTCCGTCTTCCTCACTTTGGGTCTCGAGAAGTTATTAATCCTGGTTCAGAGCAGAGAAACTGGCTATATCACTGTGGTGCTTTGAATAACTCGGGAAGAAATGGCATAGTCATGTCTGAGAAGGCCCATTCCGCTTTGATTGAGTGGAAACCGGTAAACGACCGTATGGCCTATGCCCGTTTTAAGGGTAAGTTCTGCAATATCTCGGTCATCTATGCTCCAACGCTGTCGGCAGATGACCGTGATAAAGACAAATTCTATGCGGAAATTCAAACTAACAAAGTCTCTAACGAAACATGATATGATCATAATCGGGAGAGACTGGAATGCTCGCGTAGGTCATAATGCAGCTGCGATGACCTCAACAATTGGCAAATATGGCATCGGAGATCGGTGTGCCAATGGGGAACGTCTTTTTCGTTATGCCGAAAAGCATGAATTTTTTGTTACTAATACTTGCTTCCGGCATCATAAAAAACATCTAGTCACGTGGAACTCTCCGGACAACCAACACTTCAACCAGATTGATTATATCTTAGTTAATTGCCGTTGGAAGAGTTCCGTACTAAATAGTCGTTCCGTACTAAATAGCTGAAACGGGCAATCTTCATGGGCCTGACCATGTTATGGTTCGAGCCAAGATCCGCATAAAATTGACAAATCGCAGAAAACAGCATCCCCCAAGTTCTTTTAACTATCTCAAACTAAAAAATTCTGGGAGTGAGCGCATTTCAAACTGAATTATTGAAGCATCTCAATGATACAAATATCAATGATTTCTCTGGAACGGCAAATGAATACTGGTGCAAACTAAAGGAATGTCTCCGAAAATCAGCCACTTCCATGCTAGGGCATACTAGTAGGAAGCTAGTTGGGTATCGGAAGCAACTGTCCAGTTGTCTGAAAAAACTGCCAAAACACGAATGTCAGTTGATCCTGATTACCGGGTGCTTCGAAGATTTGTGCAACGAAAGCAGCAAGGCGAGATAGAAATCTCTATGGCCTCAAGAATGGAGGCGGCGGCTCAATTGGGCGACAATAGGAAACTATTCTGCCTTCTTCATAAAGCAACTATGACTCGGGGAACGATCAGTGAAATGGTAAGAGACAGCAATGGCGTACTAATTAAAAGTATTAAGGATCGCCTCATAAGATGGAAAGAATTCTTTGAGGCCAAACTTAAGCATGAAGCGCCATCTGTTGCCCCTGATATAGCTGATACTTTTGCCGAAGCATACGTTTGCAATTGCGAGCCTCCAACAGAAGAAGAAATAATTTCAGTTATCCATAAGTTTAAGGCCAACAAAACTCCAGGAGAAAATGGTTTTTGGGTCTGAGCTTTTCAAATGCTGTCCATTGTCCTTCATAACGCACCTTCAACAAATGTACTCTCTAGTATGGGAAAAAGAAATATTACCAGATGATTGGAGCAAAGCAATTCTGCTCCCAATTCTCAAGATAGGTGATAGGACATGTTGCGACAATTATCGAGGAATCAGCCTATTAGACGTCTCAGCAAAAATTTTTGCTTCCCTGCTACTCAACAGATTTATGGAAGTACGAGACAGCAGGATGCGCCCTAATCAAGCTGGTTTCAGACCAGGGCGCGGTTGTGCTGACCAGATATTCACGTTAAGAAGGGTATTGGAACATCGCTTCAAATATTTGCAACCCACTGTCACGTGTTTCATCGACTTTGCGGCTGCCTTTGATTCAATTGATAGAGCGGCGCTTTGAAGAGTGATGGAACGTGATGGTGTTCCAGAGAAAATCATTAGATTCATAAAGGCATTTTATGAGCGCACGTCGGTGCAGGTCTGTGTATATGGGGAGCTCACAGATTCCTTCGAAATAAGAACAGGTCAGGGCTGCGTCCTTTCCCCCACAATATTCAACTATGCGATAGACTGGATAATGGATACTGCTTGTCAAGTCCGAATTAGTCCAGAGCATCGTATCACAGATCTTGAATATGTAGTCTTTTTTGCTGACAATTATAACGAAATGCAAGTAATACTAAATAACGTGTCAGAAACTGCAGCAAGAATCGGACTCAGGATCAATGTAAATAAAACGAAAGTCTTTTCGTCTTATGTGCAAGAAGCTAATAAAAAGCCTCTTTTTGTAAATTCATTGCCGGTTGAGGAAGTGCCTGATTTCAAATACCTTAGGTCCACTCTAATACCAAATGGACAGGCAAAAGATGATATTATAACTCGGATCACGGCAGCTAGGAATGCGTTCTTCCGGTTGACGAAACCTTTATGGAATCGTCTTGAAATCACCATAAAAACGAAAGTCCGCATCTATATTGCCGTGATCCGTTCGATCTTATTATATGGTTCTGAGACATGGCCAACGAGAGTGGAGGATATTAAGAAGTTATCTGCCTTTGACCACTCTTGTCTAAGGTACATATTACGGGTTCGCCGAGTGGATAAAATCTCATTACATCGCATCCACCTTCGTTCAAATACCACTTGCATAAATAATGTTATCACTGAACGCCGCTTTCGCTGGTTAGGGCATATTCTCCATCGTCCACCACACGAATTGACGCATATTTCGTTATTTGCTAAACCGTGTGACGGTTGCGGTCAAAAGCGAGGTGGGCCAATCAAGACCTGGACTGATACGGTGAGAAAAGATTTTGAACGTATAGGTGGACCGGCAATATATGGACTTAGACGATGGAAAAAGGAATGGCTTCCATTACTGTCGACGATGGCATCAGACCGCGCCGCTTGGAAACGTCTTACCCTTGCAGCCATTGGAGCCAGCCTAACCAGTAATGGTGAGAGCTGTTAGAAGAAGAAGAAGAAGAAGAATATTTAAAATATTCTGCTCTCCTAATTTTTTTGTTTTCCTTCCACATCCGGTCTCTATCATATTAATAGTACAAGGCCAAGGCTGCTAAAAGAAAATAGGTAGAGAGAAAATAAGGGATACTGAGATTTTTTCAAAATAAATGTTGTGGTAGATATTAAAGGGCATTAACTCACTACGAAGGGACGAAATTTGAGCCCGCTGCTACGCTTCTTTTCTGACATACAAGCACTAACGTTATCATTTTATCATAATGACTTTTTTGTGAAGTATAAACATTATTTTATTTTACGAAAATATATGTGAATTACTGGCCCATTCAATTTTCCCTTTTTAAGTCGTTCGATGATCATTTGAGTCCAATTTATTCCAACAACCGCCAATGGGAACTCCTAAATATCATTTAAAAAATTTAAGATTTTAAAAATAGGAAAATTCAGTGAATTCACTGTGAATTAAACAGTAGAATTCGAAAAATTCGCTTACAATGGAATTTGTATAAAAATGTTTCTAATTAGGATATATCCATTAAGTATTGTTGCAATTTTGTCATTTGCTTAGACCCCGCAAGTATGATATAAGAAAATTTTATCCGTCCAGCATATATAAAATACACTTGATAGAGGAAATGAAGCACGTGTGTGGCAAGGAATCACATGCTCATGAAAAAGTAAACAAAGCATTTTTCATACAAATTTCGAGGTGTTCATGACAAGTGGAAGACATGCATTGCAAAATGCTCACGACGAACTGAATGGAATTTATCGCAGAGCAAACGGAGCTCAGCTTGGTCAAGTGATATTCTGAGGAAATCAGCATGCATTTACTAATTAAGCTTTTATATAACTGAATCAGCGACTATGAGCGAAAGAGTCGATAGACTGTATAGTGACTGACCGACTCACTCAACTGCTTAATTAATTTAATAGAATTTAATAGATTTATTAAATTAAGGTTTAAGGTTTATTGAACTTCGTTAAAAAAAACAAAAATGTGTATCGAAACAATTCTAACGCCGATAAAAGATAAATATGAAATAAATAAGCAAATAAAAAATCGACCTGAACTTTATCATTTGATAAAATATATAGTTGTTCAATTTTATTATGCGACAAACCGTTTGAGACGAGAAATAAAAGTTGACAAAGTCCAAAAATACCAACGCCTCGTAAGTCTGTCGCCGGGTCATCACCTTCAAATATTTTGAGCCATTCATAGTAATACTTGACGCTTCTCGTTGCAAGAATATTGACTTTTAGGGTACCCTTTCGCCGAGAGTTACGCGGGAATAGAAGTAGAACCGAATTCTCATGTGGACCTTTGTATTTATTTATTAGTGATCTTTTTTGAAAATAAAAAACCACATTTCCTTTAACAGCATTTTTACACTATGTTAATTTAAATAAAATAAAATCGCCTTGAATTTTTTCATTTGAAACCGAAACCTTGAAAACCGATCGATTCCCAGTGCTTACCGTACCGTGTGATATTCGACCTATTTCCATCCAGAACGATAAGTTTGTAAATTGAGATTAACATGTCCCAGTGAGTGGGATTCGTTTCCGAATATTTTGCTAAACGAAAAGTTGGACGATTAAAAATTTTTAAAAAGAAAGGTGATTTATTTATAAGATTAAATTCGTTTCAATAATTTAATTTAAAAAATGATCAAATGCGGCAAAATGAGTTCGTATCGGATTATAGGTTGGCACCACTTCACTTACTGGTATAAAGCTTGGTGCAAATCAGTTTAAGGCTGTCTAAGGCTGTCATCTAAAATTTTGTATGTTAATAACAAATTCTGCTTAGTTCATCCTTATAGTAATGCTGTTAGTCGATGTATATTTCTGTAGTCTTTCAATAAGTTCATTCGATTTGCATTATATCGGTGAATCGGTGAACTGTGTCGGTGAGGCTGTGTTGTACTTTAAATCATCATATGATAGGGAAATTCCGTCTTCTAACAGCGCCCAATATTTCCCGTTAGGCTGACTATTCGACTTTTTTATGAGAGAATCATCTCGGCTCGGCGATGTTGGAGAAATACAAGCTGCTAACTTCAACTGGATAAAAGATCAAATGAAAGGTGGTTTACTCGCATCAAAAGAAGAACAGAAATCGAAAAATAAGGACGAAAATTAAACTTGATCGATGTGCCACTCGACTATCCTTTTCCTACAGAGAAATAATTTAAAATTTAAAAAATGGCGATAAAAGATTTACTTAACGTTAAAGCAATAATACTCAAGCGTTCCTCTTGTAAATTTGTGTTTTTTAATTTACATATGGGGCGTCGAGAAAGCCGACAAATACGATAGCGATTAATTGTGGATTTTCTATTTTCTGCTTTGTTAATCAATTCTGCGGCAATTATCTGAAATTTAATAATTAATTTAATATATTAGCACAATAATATATGTAAATATATTGAGAAGGACATTTAGAGATGCAATTACAAAGCAAGAGATATTTCATTTGTTAGAATCCAACGTAGCGATTATCATATTTGATTTTTCTTAAAAGTTTTTTTGTTATAAGAATCCTTCTAAAGCAAGTTAATGATTAATTTCTTCTTTTGCCAGGAGCACACTCTTCTTATCACTTCTGATTTGGCTAGTTCCACTCGCTGTTAAGGCGATATCTCTTTATCAGAGAGCTAGAAATAGAAAACAGCGGCGAATCCCCATCACCACGCTGGAAAAACATGAACGGTCAATTTCACACGGCATTATGATTTAATGTTTATGTGCAATAGAAATGGGACTAAAATAAGTCAAAATAAATGCAACCACCGTTTCCATCTTGTTTTTTCCACTATCATCTCTTTCTTTCTAATGCAATCAGTTTATTGCCACGATAAAATGTGTCGTCGTTAAGAAATCAGATACTTGAGATTAACCTGTATTTTTATCCTAAAATTACTTTCTCTCCGGCAAAACCCATCGTTCCACTGGACGCAGCGAGCAAATGCTGAATGCTGAACACTTACTTATTTACTAAAATTTCTAAATCTAAGAGATATTGTTAGTATATTTGAAATGTTATAGATTTTCATGAGAAAATCCCATCGTTGCGATAAAATTATTGTGAAAAAGGTTTTAAAACAAAATTCTTTGCAGCGATAATAATCGAAATAATTCTTTTCCCATAAATTTCCAAAATCGAATCGAATAATTAATTACAGTATAATTTCGAGAAATAATTAAGATTAGAATTAAATAAAAATTTAAATTAAAAATGAGAAAGATTATTAAATTTTGAAGATTATTAAAATTCGAAGACTTCGGCTAAAGCAAATGTGGTTGAAATCGAAATATTCCTTGAATCGTTTAACAAACTTTTAATTAAAAATTTTTTTCGAATTTTTATTGCTTATTTCATGAATGTAATTAAGCAATTCAATTCATTATCCAGTTATTGATAATAATAATTATTTTATAGAGTAGCGACAAAAAATAAAGAGTTTATTTAATTCCACCTCACAAAGTTCATCGGCCTATCCTACTTGTCAACAGTCAACTCGTCCTCTCCCAGCGTTTTTTGTGTAACCATACGGAGATAAAGCTTTCTTGTGATTTAGGATAGGAAAAGAACCCATAGTGTTTGGCCGCCGCCTGTTTGCAACAATGTACAAATTACGATTCAGGGATTAATTTACAATAGACAATAATTTACAATAGACATTAATTGACAATAATTTTAAATTAACTTTTTCTTGAGTTTGGTCGTCACTGAGAAGTCGGCCCCAAATATTTTGGAAGCTTTTTGGCGGTTCGCATTCCGAGGGACTCTGACTGCTTATAGTTGATCGCCTATTTTCAGCTAGCACTTCAATCGTAGATCGCTCAATCTATATTTATAAATTATGATTATTTTAATAAATCTCAACATTGTTTCACAATAATTTTGTTGTATTTATTGAAAAGTTTAAAACTCACGGTTGCCCATTCACTCGCAACTTTATCCCTTTCCTTTACCCAATCGAGATCGATTTCATCGGTCATCAATTTTCTCTTCGAGAAGAAATAAAATATTTTCTCTGAAAAAGGAAAAAATTGCGTGAATTCAGTGTGAATGATGTTCGCCAAACCGAATCACATTTTTTATTTCATCTTCGCACGAAATTATAACTATTAAAGGCATAAGTCAAAAAAATATGAGCAATTTTCTTTTTATAAATGACTTTATTAGCAGCGAAAATTGGGCAAGCGAGCTCACTTTCAGTCGAAATTTTCAGTCGAATAGCCACCAACCTTATGAAAATGTTGTAAAATTAAGTACAATCAATTGTAGGACAATTCAATTTTCTCGGATCATCTTTGGTCATCGTTTTAAAAAATTTTTTTAATTTTTTAAAAATTATAATTTTAAAATTTTAAAAATTTAGATGACAGTGAAATTTCATTTGTTATTAAAAAATTTGATGGTTCCTCTTGTAATTGAAATTGCTTCAATAGTTCACATGGAAACGAATGCCCAATGGATGAATTTTGCTGTTTAAAAAAGAAAATTTAAAAAAAATTCATAATATAGCTTGTTCAACGTAAAAGAATTTTTGAAATCTACCCAGATTAGCCGTTGGCCATCAGCAATTTCTATCAGAGAATTACTCGGTAGCCAGCGCCACTCGGGTTTGCCCGACTCTTATCCGATCGGGAATCGAATCTACGATGTTAACGCAAACTGATAGCGAAAGTCCATCGCTCAGCCATCTGTAGTAATCTAATAATCTAATAATTTAAAGTATTTTTAATGGAATCTAATATCACAACTGAAAATTTATCACTCGAAATCCACGAAAAAAACTTTAACTTTCGGAGAATTTTTGAATAGAACCGACGGACGAATGCCGCGAAAAATAACCTAAAATATGGAAAAAGATTTACGAAACGTGGTTCTTTAAGCTTCGCCCTTTTACTTCACTTTCAACGGACTGATCAACTCATTCGAAGGAGGCGACGTATTCCTCGAGCATATCGCGCAATACAAGAAATAAATGCGAAATGCTATTTCCGACCTACTTCTTTCATTTGAAAAATGCCACAATAGACATATTACAAACGTTAGTGAAAAATTAATAAAGCCGTTGTTATGAGAGGAACGACAATATATAAAGTAGAAAAGAATGTTGATATTTCAGAATAAATCGATCAAATCTAAGGCTTTTCGTCTAACAGAAAGCACAACAACGACCTTCGGAGAAGCCTATAAGCAAATTGTACGAAATAGACATCCATAAATCCCACTGCTTGCGACTTTTTAAAATTAATAGACAGGTCGGTCCGAACAAAAAAACTATTATTCGCTGGAAGAGAACAGAAAATGGAAGTGAGAATTAACGAAATTATCCAATTTTCCGCAAATTATGGACTTTCTCTTCCGAAGAATATTATTAATCACATATGTTTTCGACGAACTGCACAGGAATGTCGAATTAGCAAACCTGATCCGCGTCGAGAGCCGATTCTCTGAGAGAATTCACTCACTATTTCTGGTTTGGTTTGCTCCACTGGCTCGCTAATGAGACACCATCCTCGCGAGAAAATCACCTGCGGATAGAAATATGTCGGTTACCATACGATTGAACAAGCGAAAAAACTATTTTGATAGACAAAACCCATTGTCGAAATGAAATGAAACCTGTTTGAAACAATTCAATTACAATTATGAAAAAAATTAATGCATCCTAAAAAGTTCTTCGCAAAAGCTTTTCGCACAGTTCATGGACATTGTCGTTGCTCGAAATTTTTAGTTACTCCATTTATTAAACTATTTATGCTTCGTTGATGCATTTCAAATGAATGTTGGATGGTGGTATCTAATTTAAATTTTATTGCAAATAACGCGAAAGAATGTGTTTCAGCGATCATAAATATCTAAATTTAATAATTTTGTATTAATATTCGCTTAATAGCATTAGAAAATATTCATTGGACAAAATGAAATATTTGCAGCAAATAAAATTGCAAATCTCTCTGAGGCTTTATAAAATCGTAGTCGGCAAGTCAAATGGTGGCACAGTAAGCGAATGACTCTTTCCTACGCTATCATTTTTAACATTCTGCATATTTCTGACAAAGTCAAATCTGTCACTTATTCTCTTTATGCACTTATTTACTTCTTTTCGCAGGTAACTCCCTGACGAAATTGCTTATAATTTTACTAACAATATGCTTGCATAAATAACCAAAGATAAAGTACGAAATACCTACAGAAAAATGAGCTCATTTCTCGAACAGAGACATACTTGAACGTGACCAAATCCCAAACACTCTCGTAATATGATTGCTAATAATTCTTATAATAATTTCAAATTTATGGGTCATTTACTAGATGATGCTAATAAAAAGGAAATATGTATATACTATATAATGCAATAACTTTTGCGAAAAACGAAAGCCGTCCATGAAATGGAATGAATTTGGCAAGGTGAACAGCTCAGTGTTACGACACTACTCGTCTTATCAGTTTTTGTTGTCGATAGTGAATCTTAATAAGATGAAGAGCAAAAAAGGTAAGACTTAGCACTCACCACTTCCGATTAAGCTCGTTGCACTGGCTGTGCAATTAAAAATTTTTTAGAAAGCACTTAGCAATCGAACTACGGATGGATCGCTTTCACAACCCGGATTCTCGATTAATACTTGAGTGAAATGATCCAAAATCTTGCCTCTCAGCACGACAATCAATATGGAATAGAAATTTAGGTAGAAGAAATTCCGATTTTTCCTCTTTTGTTACATGAAATAATTTATGCCAGAGAATAAAAGCTACAAGCCACCGGTTCATTAGGACGAGCACAAAATCAGTTTTTTCACAATTTTAACTTATGGAATACCTATTATCCATGAATTACGCTTTATATTACAAGAAATCCATTTTATTTTTATATTCAGATTCCTAAAATCAAATTCATCTTTCGAGTTATAAGGCGTCGAAAATTGGTCTCTTTGAGTTTTTTTTTATCAATATCTTCTAAACGCAACTGTTCTATTTTCCTGATAAGCAAAAAATTAATTACGTTAACTTTAAATTTTTCAATTTTTTATTTTATTTTTATCACAAAATTTAATTCTTCTTGAATAACTTTATTTTTTTACACAACTATTTCCTATTATTATTCTTCTTTTAATAGCTTTCATCCATCACTGGTTAGGCTGAGCTGGCTACAGAGGTACGTCTCCAAGCTGCTTGGTACGCCATCGCTAGTAGTAATAGAAACAATTCCTTTTTCCATCTTCTAAATCCATATATTGCTGGTCCACCTATATGTTCAAAATTTTTTATGACCGTATCAGTCCAGGTCTTAGTTGGCCCAACTCGCTTTTGACACCACCCATCACACAGTTTAACAAGCAACGAAATATGTGTCAACTCCTATGGTGGACGATGGAGAACATGCTACAGCGAAGGCAACGTTCCGTGATAACATTATTTATGCAAGTGGTATAGTGGTACGAAGATGGATGCGATCATATCTTATCCACTCGACAGATCCATAATATGTACCTTAGAAAAGATTGGTCAAAAGCAGATAACTTCTTAATATCCTCCGCTCTCATTGGCCATGTCTTCCAGCCATACAGCAAGATCGAGCAAACTGCAACTATATAGATGAGGTTTTTTAATGGTAATTTTGCTCCATAAATATTTCGTTAACCAGAGAAATATTATCCTTTGCATGGGATTAAAGTGGATCCAAGATAATTAAGTCGGGCATTTCCTCAACCGGCAAGAAATTGATAAAAATAGGTAGGTTTATCAGTATCTTATCAACATCTGCTATGATATTCATGAGAAACGTTTGACATTTGTCCATCACAAGATATTTTATCTTACAACGAGTTTTACAGGTTTTCTGTAACAATATTATCAATGTGCTAAGAAGAGAATGTATATGGTTGTGTGCCAGTGTATTCGCTTATTCGCTTATTCGCAAAAATGTATTCTCTGCTGAAATGTCCTACTAGAGACTACTAATAGAAGAGAATGAGAAAATTTTATCAGAGTATCATTTGGAAACAGCTGGAATTCTTTTCTTCTCCAGAAATTCTTTTTATTTTCAGGCTACTGTTCTTAGCAGAAATCGATTTTTGATGGAACTAAAAGTGATAATCTAATCAATATATTGTTAAAGCGAATTTAGGGTTCGTTTTTCGATTATAATAAAGCTGAACGACTAAGAAATAATCTAAAATAAACTGAATGAATGAATTTTCTCCAAGAATGCTGAATTCTTGGAGAAAATTAATATTATTACGAGGAAACAGAAAACATAAGAGCGTAAAATGCCATAATCCTAGTTTGTTCATTTGTTTTGCATGATATTTGCTCGATTGTTTAAAAAATTTTTTATTATTGTTTGCATATGAACTTATGCAAAAATAAAGAGTGCTTCCTGATTTCATATCCAAATTTGTACAAATAATGCCCTTTTTATGAAATTGGTGGAACTTTCCGTACTGTTTTTATTGTAAAATCGTTTTATACTACGAGATTTCCACAAAGATGCGTAAAATCCAAAATTATAAAATTTAATAAAATTATATATATAAAATTATATAATATAAATATAAAATATATAATATAAATATAAAATATATAAAATTATAAAATATATAAAAATTATAAAATACAAAATAAAAAATTTATTAAGGGAATCTATTTAACTGGTCAACTTCATCGTACTTTTAAAAGATATGCTTATTTTGCATTTAATGCACTTGTAAGTAAGTAAGTGATTGTTACTACAATGTAAGCGATTAGCACACACCATTTCTGGATAGGTTTTCTTCACTGATTAAGTGGCTAAAAGTAATAATTGGAAATAATTTAGCAAACGAGTCATTTGGGAAAGAAAAAAGAAAAAAAAGGAAAGATGGGTCGCCAGTATCATTTGGATTTTTCAATAGAGATCTGAATATCAGTGAAAGAACGCAAAAATATTTCTCCCCTCCCCCTTCCCTCCCCAGTGGAACTACTCTCTTTATTTCATACAAACATATTTGGGTAAATGAGACGATCTAAGTGAAAAAATAAAAAAGAAATGGCCATCATTTGCTTAAGTTTTGATTCAGGATCCAAAGTGTGTGAAAACAATATTCCGAATCTTCCCTATATTTGAATTAAACCAGCGATCTTCCGTTTGCAAAACATACGCTCTGCCTTTGATCCAGAGAAACTCGCACTAAATGCGAGTGTCATAATCCAAACTGGAACGATATATCCGAATTTTATTTGTCTAAACCCTGAGTACTGATTTCTAAAAATATATATATAAAAGATGTAATAGTAAAAGTGTAAAGAAATTCATTTAAATAGTCAACTAAAAATTTTTTAAAATATTATTAAAAATACACTGATTGATGCCAAAAAGAAATAAACGGAGAAAATTTTTGTGCAATTTCATAAGCAATTATTTCAGTTATTTCAGTTTATTGCATAAACTAATAAATATATTTTTAAAGATAAAATAAACTGGTCAATAAATAAATTAAGAAATTTCTTCGTTAAAAATAAATAAATAAGCATTTAAATGATTAGCGCCCAGTGTTTCTGGCTCATTTCACTTGCTGCAATATGAGACAAATGAGATTTTGCAGGTAGTTTTCAGAATTATCCGACTTTCTACAGTTCTCGCGTTAGGGAAATCGAGGAATAAATTTTCGACACGATAATTTAAATAATTTGGCCCTTTTTTTTTCTTTCCACATCAATATTTAGTTAATGCTAAAATGATACGACTAAGTTGAAGAAATAGAAGGACGCTTGTTGATTGCCGAGTTTTCGGACCAAAGTACGCAAAACGACCCCCTCGGCCTTTGCCCTGCCTCATGCCGGAACCGAACGAACTAGCGACCCTCTGCTTACTAGGCTCTGCTCCTGATCTAGGCCTTGCATCCTAATTGCTATATAATATCCAAACCCGATTTCTAAAAGCAAAATTCATGAACTCAGTCGTATTATTCTTTGCTAAGTAGTGTTGCCAACATATTTAATATTAAATAACAATGAACTATTAACTTTTTTCATAAATTTCGACCGCTAAGGATAAAAATTTTCTAAAATAAAATAATCTACAATAGAAAAATCGAGAACGAAACAATATATAAAGTAATTAAATAAGAAAATAAATAGTTAGTGCTTATCGTTTCAAATTAGTATTGTTCGCGTGTAACGGCAGAAATGGAGAATGTGAACCGCTTACTAGCTGTCACTAGCTGTTTCCAGAAAGTCACTTGGCGGCGATAGCTGAGTCCTCAGCACTGCTCAGTTTAAACTCCAGTTGGAGGCAGCGCCTGTTGCTCAGTTGTGATTCAAGCAACAATCGCTCCATTATCCTCCTCCATATCAAGTAAATGCATGAATTACTGAAACAATTTGGGATTTCCTTTCAGATGGATGAATCACTCTTCGATTACAGTTTGCTAAGAATATAAAGAAGAATGGCACCTTTTTAATAATTTATGCTTCACGCTAGAAATAAATCAACAGCCTTTCGAGTTGGTGAATAAATTATTGTACAAACCGGACAAAAAGTGCTTTTTAAAGGGAAGCCAGTTAGTCACAACGATCTGATCAACTGGAGAATCAACGATAGACAGAATAACTGATTAATGTTTTCCTTTATATATGCTACTAAGGTCTCCGCAAAATCGAAGACTATTGATTCATAACTTTTGATAAAGTAGAATTGACTATTCCTGGAACATGGGAAATCCACATGTGCTTTTGCACCAAATAGACTACCTCAAGATAGCGCGGCTCCTTGAGAACCATTGTTATCAGCCGAAGATGGTAACTGCTATTAGAAATAGCATAAAGCAAAAAGTCCCATTTGTACGAAGGACCGCAACCACTGCCTCATGCTGGAATCGAACCAGCGACCTTCTGTTTACTAGACAGACGCTCTGCCCCTGAGCCAATGAGGCACGCTGTTTTCAGCAGCGCGTTTCCTCACTATGAATATCACTTTCTTGTCACCATTTCTATTTAACTACAGCCAAATTTTAAATTTCATAACCAACGCCAAATTTGCAAAAAAGAAATGGTATCAGTCAAGATCATTCTCACTAATTTATACGACACATCATCGTACATAACACCTTTTGCTCATAAAAGCATTTAGGAATTCGTTCTCTCCAACTCAGTTCCAACGAGAAGTGGACTCACAGTGACTTCCAAAAACTGACGTATAATTAAAAGAACCATAGGTGTAAGTTAAAATCAAAAAAACCTACCATCGTAACGAAAACGAGCAAAAAGTTCTACGAATAACCAACAAAATACAATATCTTTTAAATGTTAAACTGACAAGAACCTAGAAAGAAAAGCTGATAATAAGTTAATGCACTCGAAAACTCTGAAAGAAAAGTAGGAAAAACGAATGAAAAATGGGATTAGGTGCGAAAGCGGTCCCATCTGGTCCCAAGCCGAACTGCTGAGTTCTTTTAGCTTCCTTTTTCTCTTCAAAAAATATCTTCTGGACCACGTTTGCTCCATCCTCCCATTTTTCTCATTTTAAATTTATGCTTGAAAAATAATTCTATTAAAATTGACAGTAGATTTAGATATATCCCATTTCTCATTTCCCATCTAGAAATATACACGACATACTAACATCTTCATTTTTCGATTTTAACTGCGTTTTCTTTTTCTTCCTATTAATAGTACTCACCATTTATGATTTGAGAAATCTCTAGAAGCACCGCTAAGACTTCCGCCATTTATGTGCGAAAAGCGCAGATAGGTATCTAGTGTCGCGAACATTCTGTGAAACAGGTGAATTGAATCGAATGTCCACAACACATTTACCAGAGAGAAATTTACTGATAGAAATGCAGGTGGCTTTCTGCCGCCAGAAAACAAGGACTTTAGGTGATTTTTATAAAATTAAGAACTAAGAAAAATAAGTTTTCATCCTTCTTAACACATCATTCGTTTTCACACATCATTCGTTCTAACGATATAAAATGATTAATGCACTGTTATTCCAGCGAATATGGATGTGTGAGATCCTGCCTGCACAGCGAGCATGTAAAGCATGGACACCTAATGCAAGAATAGTTAAAGGTAGCTTCTTGATATACACCATTCTCACTGGAAATTCTTCTCAGTCGTACAAAAGTGCGCATGCTAAAGCATGTTAATCTGTAACCATCCAGGCTAAAAAATTGGAATAATATAGAAAAATTAGCATGATTTCTACGCATGAACTACATGTTATAAATTACCATTCACCATTCCAAGTTAAGCTCGGTCTACTAATTGTTAACGCTATGAGAAATGAGAAATTTATAAGTCGTATGGAAATAATACAGCAACGCTTGGACTTTATAAATGACAGGTTTCGCTCCTGCCGACCACAGAGTCAGAATCTTGATAATGGAGAAGACAACAACAGATAACAGCTACTACTAGAATGAGATAAATCTATAAAATTTTTTAGTATGAACATATATATAATTATTTATGTGTAAATGAATGGATTTTTGGTGAAACCACAGTGAGACTACAGAAAAGGTATTCATAATGATACAAATACCACTAAAGTGCGGAAAAACATTGCCTCATGCTGGAATCGAACCAGCGACCTTCTGTTTACGAGACAGACGCTCTGCCCCTGAGCCAATGAGGCTCGCGATCTCAATAGCGCTAGGTAACATTTTATCAAGAGTTCATCTTTTCCTTTAATTACACAATTCCCTCTAACCCCCTTGTTTGACATTTGATTTCAAGCCAACAATCACTACAGCCAACAATGATGCAAATGTATCAATAAAATTTAAAACAGGACTTAACCAAACAGACTTTAGTATTTGTTGGCTAAATCAGCTATAAATTCTTGCAAAAAAAGCATTTATACTAATGATGTTGCAATCGAACCAGCGATCTTCTATTTAGGGAATAAATGCTTTGCGAGTGAGGCCCGTACGTCCCTACCTCGCTCACCTAATACTGCCGAAGAGATGCGCAACAGCGAGGTACTTTTGGATTAAATCCACAGCAAACGATGATAGTAAGGTATAATGAAGAGACTGAAGCGTGAAATGTCCTTCGGTAAGTAAGAATGACAGTTTTTTCGACTACAGAGTAGATTAAGGATAAATAAGGATTTTAGCGTCAATTCTCCGCCAAGAATCAACAATCTCCATAAAATATAATCGAACAGAGATTGCTTTAACTTCAAAACGAGTGAATAAAAAGACTTGAAGATAGTTCATTCTCATTTGTTCTTGGAATGGAAATCCGTGGAAGAGGGAAAGACACGCGCTTTACTAAAAGGTTCGCGTCAAATTCTGCACCCAATAGCAAAAACAGCAATTGCTACTTTTCACCAGTACAAGCGACAAATGCAGATACTCTTGTCATATCGGTTGTCTTGTTTTTCATTAATGCTACAGAGAAAAAAACGCCGCTGCCTCATACTGGAATCGAACCAGTGACCTTCTGTTTACAAGACAGACGCTCTGCCCCTGAGCCAATGAGGCACACCAGACCATCCGAAGTTTCACTATAGATAGGTCGTTCATAGCCTTAGATTATTTGCAAATTCATCCTAATGAGTCGTTTCGCGATAGAAGTATAAGTGGATCGCCAGTATTTTAAGCTTAGCCTCGTCTGAGAACCAAACTTATGACAAAAATGTAAAGCATATTGTGGTACAATAAAGTAAAAATGCCCTTAAATATTAATTGAACCTCACGATGTAAATTTAATGGAATACAGATAGATGAAAAGTGGAAAAAGCGGCGAGACAGGCTATCCGTCTAAATACCTGGCAAAGCCGAATCTTGCAGCATTTTCGAAATTTCGTCAGTGACCGGACGCTATTGAATGGTGTGGATGAATACTAAACGACATATGATATATACCAATATGATATATACCAATATGATATATACCAATATGATATATACCAATATGACATATACCAATGTGATATATACCAATATGACATATACCAATATGATATATACCAATATGACATATACCAATATGAATTACCTAAATTACATAAACTAAAAAAGTATATCATAAAATTTATCTGCCGCTTGATTCGAAAAAAACTACAAATCACTGATTTTTAATTATCAGTAGAACGTATGGGTCTTTAATAAGCAAAGAATTATTTTCATCGGTTATGCAGTTTTCGTTGTTGTTATTTTGTTTTGCGGCAATATGATCATTGAATACTTCAACTGATAAGGTGATAAGGAAGATTTTGAACGTATAAGCTGTCCAGTGATTTATATATGAGCAGGTTTAGAGGCTCATAAAAGGGGAAGTTTTCAAACATTGTTTTAATAGGATTATTACCAGTTATTAATGCGATATTAGTCAATCGCAAGATTGCACACCTGAATAAGACCGTGGAGATAGACCATCTTTGATAAAGTCATATCATAGCAGGATATTGGTCCAAAGCGAATCCACACCTAGGCAGACGTGCAAATGACAGACATTGATATCCATGAGATATTTGGGGAATTCGATAAAAATGGCTGAAAGGCCATAACGTGACGCGATCGCAGCGCGTAATTTTTCGTGCTCAGAATCTAGTATAAATAGCGAATATCGATCAGTGTTGACGTAGTGTTTCATATTGTCAATTTGCTGAATTTGCGTCTATTTGTCTTTGTTTGGTACCTGTGTGAAGGATGTCGGGTCGTGGTAAAGGTGGTAAAGCGAAGTCATCAGCTAAAGCTAAAACTCGTTCAAGTCGTGCCGGTTTACAATTCCCTGTTGGTCGGATACACCGTCTTCTTCGAAAGGTTTTTTTTGTGTATTTTATGGTACCCAATATAAAGCGGTGAACTAAGATGGGTAAGCAAGAGAAAAGCAATGAATCGAAAGATTATTTTTTCTTCGGACACTAATTTTTTATTATTTTCATAATTTTTCGTTTTTTTGCTTGTAAATCGTTCACCGATTTATCGTTGTTCTCGAAAATGCAGTTCCTTTGATAGGAATAAATAAAATTGGGAAATTCCTATGGATCTACTGAAATTTTAAATCTCTCTAGTGAAATGAATAAAAATTCACCAGAAATGAGTGCGTTATTTTGGGGCGAAAAAATATGTTTGTATTTATAAAGGAAGGGATAGTCGAGTGCTTTTTCCGCAGATTATCATCTAAGGCAGCAGAATTCGCATCCATTTTGGTTCTGTTTCATTTAAAAAATCCAAATTACGACTTAGGGCTCAGCTGTACTTGTCGCAGAATGACTCCGTGGCAAATATTTTTCATCATACTATAGCAAGTTTAGTGAAACTAATCAGAAGTGATCATTTTTTTTTCTTCTATTGCCGAGTGATGCTGGCGATTCACATGTCTTCTGCTACCAGGTGAATCCCTGGCATATTTATCTAGTCCGACAAGCCATCGGAGTGAGGTTAACCAGCAGGGGTAAGTACTCTTAGAAAAAAATTTTATTATTGATATATGTTATATGTATGCATATTGTAATAACAAATTTTGAAGGGCAATTATGCGGAACGTGTTGGTGCTGGGGCTCCAGTTTATTTGGCTGCTGTATTGGAATATTTAGCTGCTGAAGTACTCGAGCTGGCTGGTAATGCTGCTCGTGATAATAAAAAAAGTCGCATAAATCCTCGTCATCTTCAGCTTGCTGTACGAAACGATGAAGAATTGAATAAATTGCTTTCAGGTGTTACTATCGCTCAGGGTTGGCTTTTATTTTTTGTTTTTTCAATTATTTCGCTTATTATTGAATTTCAGTTTATAGAAATTCAAAGAAGTAATGAAGGCTTGAGGGGTAATGAATGCTGTTTCGACTAAGATCGAGCAGTCATAGTTTCAATTCCTTTATTGAATAATCATTCAAAGTGGAATCCAGGAGGTCCGGAGATTTATCTAAATTTTTATCTTCAGTTGACTCTCTTTCGAAGGATTTCATCCATTTATAGCCAATGGAGTTAGCTAAAATAATTTCCTTCTATTTAGTAAATATTTGGAAAAATTCTAAATTCTAATTCTAAATTCTAAAAAATTAAGAAAAAGAAATTAAATTTCTAATTGGTTTTTTTATGAGTAAATAAAGTTTGCAATATACATATATTATTGTTTCAGGTGGCGTTTTGCCAAATATTCATGCAGTGCTTTTGCCTAAGAAAGTAGCTGGTGAAAAAGATTAGAGACATCCATAATTTGCATAACATGGGTGATAATCTCCAAATTTTTTTTCGTCTTATTTGTGGCAGTCTATTTTTTGTTAATATTTGGAATGAAGAAGTGAATCATAAATGAATCTCAACAATGTTTTTGGCTTTTTTAAATAGATTTATGGAAATTCCTCAAGTGAATGTGAAATCCCATAGTAAAAATAATTTTATTGTTTAATTAGGTTTAGAAATTATTAATGATAATGAATATTGTATTTAATGTCGATTTATACTGAAGTTTGAAAGCTGCCAAAAAGTTTCATGTGAATCCGGTCTTCTGTCTTTATTGTTTCGTTTCAGGTAAATTATTTTCAGATAAATTGTTTTAGCAGTCTTCTAAAATAAAGAAAATTGTATTCAGTAAAGAATCTCTTTACTATTCAGTAAAGAAAAGAGTGGTTGATAAAAAACGTTCTAGAATAAATAAACCGATGCTGGAGGTCCATCCATACTTCTTTAAAAGATTGTCTTTCAGAAGAATCCCATCCTATTAGACAGTGAAACAGTGAAACTAGGCAAAACTGGAAATAGCGAAAACTGTTGGAAGAAAAAAAGGTTGCTGCTTTAATATGTAGTGCTGTAATTAACCTACCAATATACCACATAGTCTAAAAAAATTAAGGTTAGATATACTTTTCGCCGAAAATATGGAATTGATCCGTTTTGGTATGGTGTATGCAACACCGACACATATTAGCCTATGGAAGGTTTCTTGATATTTATTATTCCTGGTAGATATTTAAATCGAGCCGTTTTATTACTGAACCAGATTGCCACTAATTTGGAATATTCTAAAAATTCTGGAAAAAATTTTCTCCGAATACTTTTCATTTTTTAAGTAATGTGCGAACTGATTAATTGCTAAACGTCTTTATCCCGTTCATATATAAAAAAAAAACAATATAATACATGGTGGAAAATCTTAAAATTTTTCAAGATAAATAATTTTCTTTCAGTGCAAAGAAAAATTGAAAATAAGGGAATGCTTGCATAAATAAATTTTTTTTCATTTAAATATAAAAGTAGAAAAAATAAATCAAAAAACGGATGAGCGAAGAGAAGGAATAAAATGAGAGCACTTAGCGCAATTTCATGAACTTTTAGTGCTATCAAGGAAGTCCAAAATCCCAAAATTGGTTAAAACTACGCGCGGCAAGCAGTTTCCCGGTATTCTTTGGATTATCAGTTCAAAGAAAATGGTTAATCCTATTTCATTGATAGGAATTATGTTGTTATCTCTCATTTGCTTTAGCGTAATAAACGTAAGTAGCCAGTTTCTCTATGGACAACGATTTCCTTCGCTTGGCGAGGGAAATCAGCAGCAAGTCGTTTTTTTCTTGATAATAAAATCAGGAAAAATATCAACTAACATTTGATATATGCAAACAATGAATAAAATAATTTAATACCAAATTAGTTTTGCGAAAGGATTATGAAAAATTCTGCGAATCAACTAATTAGTGTCATGCTTGTCGATGATATACGACTTGATAATTTGCAACGACGATTGATAATTATAAATCATCAGTCGCTTACAGTCCCAAACAGACCGCTTTTTTGGAACTTATGAAAATATTTTTGGAGGAAATCTTTTCCTCTAATAAACAAAATCAGTGTACAATACGCCAACAGAACAAAAAAAAAAACAAATCATGATTACAGAAAAACTCCTGATTTAGAAAAAATAACAGAAGTTATTTCCTCGAAAAGGAATGGCACCTGAACTATAGGCAATCATTATCACAAGCTTCATTATTAATAGCGCCCGTTATATGTATATCGCTGAAATGTCAAAAAATAATTTTTTTAAATTTCAATTTTTGATTTTAAATTTTGAGAATTTTATATGAGAACTATGGACCAACTTAATTATGGGTTCATGAAATCGCATTGGAGAGGAGGAATTTTTTAATTTCTTTTTAACTGAAATTTCGCAATTTCTTGAACTACGAACATAAATGGGGAACCACAACACAATACTTATATTACCTGTAAATATGCTATCTGAAAGAAATTATGGATATTCCATAATTTCATCACAATTTCCAAGCATTATTCGATAAAGGGATCGAAATATGTTTCGGCATTCTGCTAGAGGCATCCACAAGGGGAAAAACCCCGAGCTAGCCTAATCTCTTATTCATTAAAAACAATTAAATTTTGACGGAATCAAATATTGATCAGCAATCAAATTAGACTGAAGTAATCAAAAAGAAATTTTGGTGATACCAATAAAGAATTAATTATTAAGAGATTTTACCTGCTGTGATGCATAATGCGCGAAAGGACTATGTCTATTAGTTACAGCATTTGAGGTAGTAGTTGGTGCTGGATTTGCAACATTCCAGTACGAACCATAAAGAGAAATTCTACCATTCTAAAAGTAAAACTTTTATTATAAAAAGGCTTTTCCAGAATAATATCGACAACTTGAATATGAAGAAATTGAGAAATTCAAAATCAGAACCTGAGAGTACGAACCAAGTTCTGAACTTAATCTCGCAGCTTTTTCCAAGTGATCCTCATAGGAACCACTAAAGGTCTTCGAACCTTTCCTACCAGGATAACTCATCGCAAGAGGTCGGATTTGGTGATTTGGAAAGTATAAATCGCGGAAATGCCGTTCTGCTCGCCTGAATAAATAAATTAACGCAAAAAAAAATATCTATATGAGCCATTTCTATGTTATTTTTCATCCTCTAGGAGATTTTTTAGCATGAAATTTATCAAATCATCCTGGAAGATAAAAACGACGACTAACTTTTTGCGACAACAACAAAATAGAGCTATTATTGCCAACAAAAGCAACCAGACAGCGATAATTGCTGTTGGAATAATAACCGCCAAATCTAAAAATTCTCAATTAGAATCGTTTATGGCGTAGAAAAGTAATAAATAAACAGTAACTTTTGGAAGTACAGCATGAACATTTTAAAACTTACTACTTGTTGAAGTTTCTAATTTATCGCCACTTTTATTATCGAATGGCCCATGAGTCGCACTACCTGCCGGACTTGGAGCAGTTACAAGTTTCGGCTTCGTAGGCATTGATTTTTTCTAAATTTTCATTAATATTTTTATTATTACGAATTTTTCATTTTAATCGACTAAGAATTTCCACGAGAAATTTTTTTCTAAATAAAGGAAATTGTTAAACCTGTGAAGGTGTTGTGAAAATAAAAAGTGGTTGGACTGGGCTGTTTTTATTCGTTGGCTTTTTCGACGCAGTTTTCTGAAATAGCTTTTATTTGCCTTTATATAAATTCGCAACAGTATTAGTTTGCTGGTTCCACTGACTGGCTCGACTAAGGTAAAATGCTCTGTTCATGTTCATGTTCATGTTAATAGCATCGGAATGATAATAGTAACAAGCATGAATATTACTTATTAATTTGTATCTTATAAATTAATTTATAAGATTTTGAGTATGGTTATGTTAAACTAGATTGTTCAAAATATTATATTATAATTTAAATCCAACGAGAACTAATGGGCTAAAATTACTATAACCTATGTGTAACACTAAACTATAACCTATTACTATAACTATAACCTATGTGTAACACTAAGGACTCATGATGATTTCTTTATTCGTAATATTAATTACTGAAATAAACTACCGAACGATATAGCCTGTGCTCCATCCATAGCTATCTTTAAAAAAAGATTAGATAATATTAGTTATGATATTATTTAAAAATTCACATCATGCAGAAAATCTCGATTTTAACCATCCAATTACAATTATTTCGAATTGTACTATATTATTTTTTAATTTCTCTTTCTTTCATCTTTAAATTGTTAATTTTATTTTATTATTATTTTTTGTTTTTGTCATTAATTCTTATTATTTGTTGTTTTAAATGTTGTTATTAATATAAGCACATGGCGTTTGCGCCCTGCTTGACTAGTTTTCAATGAATAAATAAATAAATAAATATTACGAATCCATATTGTAATTTTATACGATATTCATCCAATATTTTTAAAATAACTGGAATTCACGACGAATAAATTAATTAAGATTTTGAATTTTATGAATGATTTTGAATTTTATGAATTATGATGAGAAGAGAAGAGATTGCCAGCTTAGAGTCGAGTATGCAAACCAGTTAAAAGCCAGATTCATAGGACAGATAATGAGATATTTACATGAACTTACAGTTTCTATAGGCTTAACTACTAATTTTGTTGGGTTGTAGTCAAATAGCGAATTATCAACACCAAATACTTCTGTATTTTCGGTAGATGTATTATCATCAGCGAACATTGTTATCGGTGGTTTAGTTAAATTAAGATCACTTCCACTAGTTTCAGCGAATAATACATCCTTATTTGATACAACAAATGGTGACTTCTCCTGCAAATATATAAATTAAATATAAATATATAAGTAAGTACCTTGTTTTTCTTGTAAGCTCGCGTGATAACTGGTTTGGCTAGCTCAAATAAAATTTTTTAAAATTTTTTATTTAATTTGTTATAGAACCGACCTGCAAGTTTTTCTCTTCACCAATCATTCGTGATTTAGCAACAGAAGCAGTAGTTGGCATTTCTGATAATGAAGAAGAAGTCACAGGCAATTTTATTGGTGATGAACTGTCATCGAATATACCTTTTAATTTAGGAACACGAGTAATTACTTCAGGTACAACAGTGATAAATGGTGGGAATGTAATATCAAATGCATCTGGTGGCAAATCATCGATATCCCGACTATCAATGGATATGATCGGTCTGAAAATATAAAATTACTTGATTAATTTAATAGAAATATAAAATTACTTGATTAATTTAATAGAATAGTGGTAAAATATCTAATAAAATGACAGCTGACAACCGTCGCCGAGGCTGACATTATGGCACGAATGTGAGTGACAAATTATTTTAAATTGGGGCAAAATTATAAAATTTTGGTATCATAATTTCATAATTTCGAAGCAAACTTAAAGCATTTTCATTTTTGAGGATAGGTCAATTAAAATTATTTAAATTACAGTTTTAAGTTTAAATTTTTTCTTTTAAATTTTCTTTATTATGGAAATTATACATATGTAGCGTTTCATTGATTTTTTTCGTGAACTGAGATTGCAAAATTGGAGTAAATAATTTTGTTGTCGTTCTCGTGGTAGTAGCGATATCAAAAAATTTATGGGTTTTTATAGGCTGAGGAGGTGAAGAGGCTTCTATTAGAATAGGTTGTATGATTCGTGGTGCAGCAACTTCGATTAAATCTGGTTTAAATGCCTCTGCTACTGCGATAGGGGGCCGTTGTTCGCTGAGTGGTTTGCTTGGCGATTTTCTAGGTGATGACGGTTCTGAAACAAAAATTTAAATGATTAGTGATCAGTGGTGAAAGAGAACTTTCTACTCACCTTTAGTTAACTTTGGTTGGAGCGGTTGCTTCCGATTAATAGCTGAAGATGGGTCGGCATCACAGTAAGGCGGTTGTTGACTTGGCAGATTACATGGAGGTACATCATCTGCATCGATTCGATACAACCATTGACCAGGAGTCTGAATATTGCTAAGTTGACTTAGCTGCTCAATGCCTTCTGTTCCCGACCCCGGCAAAATCACTGAATTCACTTCATTGAGAGTCATTATTCCAGCCTGAAAAAAAATTAATAAAGCATTTTTTGATTTTTTAGCATTCGCTAAGCAAAGAGTGAAAAAAATTGCTGAAAAATGTTTTGAAAAAGAAACCAGAAAATAAATGAGTAGATATTTCAAAATTCATATTTCCGGTGAAAAAGATACAGTTAAACTCCGCACAAAATCTTTTGTCAATTTATTTTTGTCATTAATAGTGTTCAGTGGAGATGGCCATGGAATAGCAGTGGACAGCTTGACTACTATGTTGAAAAGTTAGGACTCAGCTCCTACTTTCGAACGAATATATCTTTAAATCCAGATCAGAAAATCCGGATCACACAAACGCCCTCCTGAAGACATTTCTAAATGTCTTTTTGGTAAAAGTTTTTAACCGTAAGAACAGCCAATATTATCTAAATAAAAATATATCAAGTAGATTATCAAAAGTAAAGGAAGCAATCTCCAAATATTACTATGCAGAATTAGAACTCACTTCAGCATTTTCGCTCCACCGCAAATCCTTATATAACATTTGAACATAAGTGACGTTTTCATGCAATTTATTTGTTCCAGCGATAAGGATTGCTTGAAAAGTGTTTCCAGGACCCTAAAAAAAATCTGGAATAGGTTACAACGGATTTTGAAAAGCCTGAATTCCAAAAGCTTATGCAAAAGCTCATGGTTGTAAAGTTGAGAAAAATTATTCATTTTAGGTAATTATTTTTTAGGTGAGTAAAAAGAAAAAAGGATACTTTAATGGTTCCATTAGTAACATTAAAGAAAGTGACGACCACAGCGCTTTCTGCTTTAAAGGAATTATCAAATGAATTCTGGATAATCGTTTGAGTTGCTCGCGCCAATATTTCATTATCTGTATTTGTTTTTTATGTGAAATGAATGAATCAATGAAGTTTAGCATCCAACATTTACGGCTATGCATTTTAGCAGGTGAACGTAAACTCAGCCTCCTTTCTTTACGGAACTCAGTAAACTCAGTCTCAGTCTTCTACATAACATTACAAGACCGAATGGTTTGCACTGCTTGGATTATCATTTTAATGATTCGTCTCCTGCTTCTTGGCAGAAGTTAACTTGTCATTGCAGAGTAAATCCGTCTGGTGCTGAAGATCTATATTTACTTCTGTCCCTGAGTAGCCCTCCATCGAAAGTCTCATTTCTTATAATTATTGCTATGTCCAACCAGAAATAGTGCAAAAACAATTGAAACATAATATTTCTCTCGAACTTCCATTGTTTTGAAATTATGAAATTTTTTGAAACAAATTTGCTTAATAAAAAGAATTAAAGCGATCAATTGAATAGAAGAAAGAATTTTTTAAAGTGCTCTCATAATATTCAAAATATTAAAACTTCTGCATTTGCAATGGCACTTTTGTCAAAACCATCGAAAAAACACCAACCACTAGTTTCATCGACTGAAATTTGACCACCTTTTCGCAAATCCATCGGAGCGAAAAATGGTGCGACGCCATGCACGCTCATCATGTCCAACTTATTGCCTAGCTTTGTGCTATCTACTTCTCCAATAGCAATTATTCCATGAGTCGAAACCTTAAATTTTTTAGCACTAAGCATTGCAAATGCATAAAATAAATTTTTTTACAAATTTGGCTCGCTGAAGATAAATTTTAATGATAAACTGAGTAAAGATTTTTTTGCAATTTTCCTGAAACTTCATTTTCTTTGTTTGGGACGAGAAATTTTCTAACCGTCAATGTATCGTGCACTTCGCCAAATAACACCATCGGATTTCTTAAGTGCAAAACAACATGTGAATTCTTCGTCCTTGACAATAACTGCTTACTCTTATCCTCATAAGGATATAGAAATGTGGCAATACACTCTGTTATACCGTCACCATTAAAGCCTTCAGCACATTGACAAAAGAAACGTCCTGGTGTATTAATACAAACTGCATGTTTATGACAAATATCATTGTTGATGCATTCATCAATATCTGAAAATAAAATAAATAAATGGCAGACAATTTAAAAACTTTAATGAAGAAATTCTAATGAGCCAAAGGAAGGCAAACCGAGACACTGCTTGTGTCCATCGCCTTCATAACCATTTAAACATTGGCACCTCTGGATTGGTTCACCACAGCGATCGAAATCTGTGAACGATATCGCATTATGTGCGCATGGGTTTAATAACGATCGACAATGCTGATCCTCTAAATTTCTTTGGATTTATGGATAAAATTTTTAAAATTATTTTTTTCGAAAATGAATTATTTTTTAATAAATAATCGTTCAGGAAACATGTTCCTTATTTTATATGAACACCAACAAATGAGTAAAAAAAGCAAACTTTTCTGGCAAGTAGGGGCATCGAACCAACATTCAGCGCATTGACCACTAATACAGGCACCACTAACAGTATTACAAGACCCAGCGTTGCAATGACAACAGAAAACGCAATCTGGACCCCATTCATCAGTTGAACATTCTGCAAATCCTTTAGCTTAGCGAAAAAAAATAAAACCTTTTTTTAATAGAAAAAAAAATAAAAAATAAAAAAATTTTTAGGTTATATTCTTTATTTTCAATCGAATTTCGGCCTTTCAGATAAAATATCAGAAAAATACCATTTCAACTAGAATTCAACGTAATTGCATACAATTTTAGTGACCTACTGGGATGGCCGTTAATTTAATTTTGCACCAATTTTTATTATCTTCATAACGAAATATTATAAATTTGCTCGGCATATGTTTTTTTATGTGATACATTAGTTTAGCATATTTAATTTAAGAGGAATTACCTTCGTCGCACGTATCACCTTTGATTCCAGCTTTACACCTTTCAACTCTATTATCACCAAGTAAAAACATCCATTCGCCAGGTATTCCTGTATTACCATATTCTTCCAAGTACATAATGTTACCTGTACCCGAAGTAGGTAACGCGTAGAAATCACTTTCATCACCTTTGTTGAAACCAGCCTAATTTTCCAAAATTATCACAAATAATTATCCGGAAATAAGAATTCTAAATTTTCTTGAAAATAAATCATTTTTAATAGAACTGTTTCAAAGAAGATATCGTTAATCCACTTTAATGTGAAAAAAAAGTTAACAAAAATAAAAAATGACTAGAGTTCAAGAAAATTTGGTTAAACAACGGAATACGAGTATAAATGCGAAAAGTGATGTAGCAACGAAACAAATTTCTATTTCGTCTGGAACTGGTTATAAGAGTTTCGAAATCCCTATTTTACGCAACAGCTTTTCAACTTTTCTTATATAATTCTACTCCAAATAACATTTTAGTCGGGTTGTTATGGAAATTTAATTTCCAGTAGTATCGCTTTACTAGTTTATATGCATTTCTGGAAATTTTATTTAAGAGATTAAAACAAGGACAAAGCAAAGAAAATATCAATGGTCTGGCAAATGTCTGGTAAAAAGACAGTAATTTTGGTACATTTGGTTCAAATTATTTATCGTTTACTTCAACGTTCCCTTTATTATTAAGTGGAATGAGCGCTACATTTTAAATAAAGAAGAAGAATGTTCAAGCTGTTCAAAAATATAATTTGCTCTGTGAAACTAATGCATGTGCAAACAATAACTGAAGTACCTCTGCTCCTTGAGTCCATCCTATATTTTTGTATATATAATTCGCGAAGGTACCATTATCCGTAATAAAGAGTGCCAACTGGAATGTATTCGTATTCTGTAAATTGCTATCCATTTCATACGATCATAAAATCTACAGAAACCTTATTTGATTATTTCAATTTTTTATTTCTAAATTTGTTTCTATCAGACAAATAAAACAAATCAGCTTGGTTGATATTCGTTATAAAACTTAATTTATTAATCAAAATTTAGTATTAAAGTAATTTTTTTAAAGAATTTAGTTTCGTTTCCGGGGAAAAATGGTGGAAAAATGTTTTTTTGCATTTATGTGGTGTGATTTTTTTCAAATTTCACCATTCCGATAAATGGTTTTTCGAAAATTTTATGATAGAAAAAAGAAATTAAATTATTTCAAAAGCATATTTTAGAGGTCTTCTCACTACAACATAATCAAAAAAACTTTTCTATCTTTTTACTCAAAAATTCGATTTTTATTCTCTTTTCTTTCTTCGAAATATTACCTTGAAAATTTAGACCGACCGGTAAAGTATACTTCAAAAACTCAAGTATTATAAGTATTAATGGCATATCATATCATCATCAAGTAATTCATAGGTGCGTAGGTGGCTTAGTGGCAAAATTACTGAAAATCACTGAAAATGAAGAGTATCGCCGAATGGCGAAAGCAAAAGAGCGAATGGCTCAGTGGGTTGGAGCGTTGATAATAGAGAGTCCTACCAGGCAGTAAACCTGGTCTTAAAAAATCCGTGTGATGATGGTAGATCCATCAATCTGGCAAAATTTGTCCGGTCCGACAAGCCAGGGAGCTAACCTATCCAGGAATTCTTAGAAAAAATTCGCTGCACACCATTTCTGATTAGCCCCTCTGAATGTTGGTATATATGATGAGGATTTTTTGCCATGAAGTCACTTGACGATGGAAAAAATATCCTTAAAAAATTTACTTCATCAGGTAAAGGTGTTGTTGCAACTGGTTGCATTTTTTCCCATGTAACTAGGATACAACTTTTAACTTTAACAGTCATATCATATTGGTATCGAATCTCACTTTGTCCTCGTTCTAATGTTCGACCACCTGAAGATCAATTTAAATAAGGAAATGAGTTCATTTCATTTCAATTATTTATTTCAATTTTTCGAGTCGTAATCTCCTTTTTATTCATTATTCCTGGCTTTCAGTCCATTTAGATACAGAATTTTGACGGATTTTTCCCGAGTGGTTTAGACTATTAGCCCAAGCATTATGGATGGATCTCTTGGTCCCTGTAGATATTCAAAGTATAAGTTATCTTACGGAAATTAGCTAAGGATTACTATTTTCACTAATGAAAAAAACAAATTATACGAATTTCTATTGTTGTTTTTTGAGATGTTAAAAATTTATTATTTAAAAATTCTTTCGAACCATGATAAACTTGAACTATTAAGCAATTATCTATAGTTAATCGCTGCATATATATATATATATATATAGTTTTATCAGATTACTTTCAAAACTCGATGATTCAAGAGGATAATTGTACCTGTGACTTCACGATAATACACATGACCACCATTTTTTAGGTCATTTTTATTCCAAAATGGTGCTATTAATGCAATTTCGCTTGGCAGTACTCTAGTTTGATAGTTTTTTGATGATGCGTCAAATCCTATTCCCCCATTGCTGAGAATCTGAAATAAGGAAAGGAAATTCGAAATCTCAAAAGATATTTACAATTTTCGGTCTCTTAAAAAATATTCTAATATTCTAATTCTACAACCACATGTTTCCATTAATCAAGATTGTGTTACAATATTTGCCAAAAAAAACTTTTTGCTTCAGAAAAGTAATGAATAAAAATAATTCTCGCTGCTTAATTTCAAATTTTCTTCCAAATGCAATAATAATAACTTATTTGAAATTGAAAGGTCATTGAAGTACTCATTTCTATATTGTAAATTAGAGATTTATAAATGCATGAAATGTATGTTCATTGTTATTAATGGTGGGTGATATGAAAAGAAAGGAAATTTATTTCTTTTGTTTGCTTGATGACCCTGAAAAAGAGTATTTCACTTCAGTCATAAGCAATATAAGGAGGCAATAACTTTATTTCTCCAATATTAATAATAATCGAAAAAAACTTTATTCGAACAAATTTAGTGATTTTGCATTTGAAAAAACTCTATTCTAAATGAACAATCGTAATGAAGATTGGGAAAATTGGAATAGACAAAACAACTGATTTTTGGTGTACCATTATCATTTTTTACATTATCGTTATCATAAGCAAGTTGAGGTTGATTACAATGATTCAGCGCCCACTCCTTTACTGAAGTAAATTGAAATGCAAATCCTGGGACCTTGCTATACTTATTAAGCCAACCATAACAGTAAGTTTGAAATGAAATGCAAGTTTAATTTAGATTTTTCACTCATTTCAATTCAATTTTTGCCTCACCATTAATTTTTTTCTCGCTAAATGAATAATACCGTTCAAGAATACAAATTTCTTACATATATTGTTGAATAATCCTTCCCATATAAGCGAACTGGATTTGTAAGAGAAATTTTTATTCCAGCGTCCGTTTCCGCCGGAATTAGATTATCACCTACATCGTGACCATATTCGAACAGCCTACTGGAAAATAATGGTGCCGTTATCTGAAAAATAGCTTTATATTATAAAAAATTATTAGTCCATATTTTTATTCTTATATAATTATTATCTTCTCAAAATCATTCTTCTTCTTCTGGCTACGTGAGCTTCATTTAGCCTTTGCGAACTCACCCGCTAGGCTGGGCAGCTTCTCATGCCTAAAATGGTTTTTCTAGGCTCACATTATATAAAAATAATTGGCTTGCCAGTTAATCATTATCGCACAACAAATAAAAAATTTGGTGACCAGAAAAAATAATTTATGCATAAAGCCGCAATAATAGGGAATTAGCTGGTAGTAAAGGTAGAGTTCAATCGGTTTCTTCAATTATGAAATATGAAAATTTTTTTTAAAAGATTCAAAAATTCTTCGTATGATTGCAATTTTTTGTTTGAAGAAACAATTCCATTGACAATCATTTTCAATCTTAATAGTTCTATAGTATTATCAAAGTTGTCGATCAGCGAACGGAGAAATTCATAAAAGATCAAACTGTCAAATTACTAATTAATCAAAATTCCCTGCAGAAAATAACGAACGAATTATTTGTATTTTTATGTCATGCTGTTTTTATTGAATAGTTCGAATGCGCAAAAATTCTTTTGCGGAAAGAAAATTAAGATGAATGTAATGATGAAAAAATATTCCTAAAGTTAAAGATCTTTTTCCATGAAAAAAATTTGGAGGAAAAAATTCTTATGGTTAGGAATTTTTTTAAAGAGGGACCTTTGAGGATAGAAGCACATGGGCCAGCACCATCTGGATTTTTGATATAACTTCTTTCATTCCTGTCAGTGTTAGGAATATTTGCCTCTCAACATGATAATCTTATTTAAACTATCTAATTCTTTAAATTTCTATAGAATTTTTTTTTATATTTTTTAATCTATAAATGTTCAGCATCGGTATATATTTTTGATTTCAATTATTACCTCAGATTTAAATTATAAAAAAAATTATTGTTTTAAATGTTAAATGTCAAATGATACTACTGCATTAGGCGGCCTAATGACCTGGATTTAGTCTTTATTCCACATTAAATAAGAAGATTGGATGCATGCAAACACAGAATAACTGCAATTTGCATCTTTAGATAGATAGAAAGATATATAGTAGCACCTTATAAGCGCTTAATTGATTGTTTGTTGGCCAATTTATCAATATTTTAAAAATTATGACTCGATTATTGATAGTAAATGAATCGACTTAATCCAGTGCCCTGACTTAATGGCTATTATATGATGAATATTTTGTGCACCTCTGATTGATACCATCATCTACAGACGATTTATCAGTGTTAGCATTTTATTACCAATTATTTCTAAAAATTACTTTCTAATGAGATGAATAATTCACCTAAATTACATTTAAATTCGAATAAATGTTCTAAAATTTGTTTTCTTAAGTGCATATAAGTATTATATTATAGCAGCGATTTGATGGTATGAATATGGTCAAGGTTATGTTTACTTTGAAAAATTCAGCCAAAAATTAGCGATAATTTCAAACAATTGGATCTTACAAGCAAATTTGATCCAAAAACTACTAAAGACGAAGCCACATTTGGTTCACTAATCGCTAAAAATCGTCCATTTTTCTATATAAATACTACTTCCAATATTTTAATTTTTAGTGGACATCACGAAAAAATTCTCGAATGCTATTTATAAGCAAATGTTTGAGTAAAGCACTGAAATATAACAATTAGTGTTCGAGACGATCACGAAGATAATGCCCAATGGCTTTGTAGAAAAATTTTTAAAATGCATGTTTTTTTCGAAAATAACGAAATTTTCAAGCATAAATTTTTAAAGAGATAAAGAAACAAGTTTATAATTAGATTGAGAAGTGAAAATTCATTTATGTCCATGTTTTTCGTAAACTGATGGATGGACAAGAATGCATTAGGATTAGTTTAGTTTAGTTCAGTGCGACACATCTTTAATTTTTAATTTAAAGATGGACGATTCACCGATCGCATGAAAATAAAAATTCTTTAAATCTAATAAAAAAAATACGCAATAGATGAAAGCAATCAGTGAGTAAAGATAAGCGAAAAAAGTAATTTTTAATGCGAAGTCATCTATTATAGCTAAAATAATTAACCAAAAATGAAAAGCATAGCAAATAGGAATAGCAACGAAGAAAAATGCAAAATCAGAACTGCGATACCATGAACGAACTCAAGGTTTATAAAATATCCAACCGCTATTCCTCTTTTGATTTATTCTTCACAAAGAACTGAATTTCGACTAATGGGGTACTACATTTTGCTCTAACAGAAGTAAATTCTACCATAAAAAGTATTCTACCATAAAATATGTTTTAGTGGTTTATGAAAGCTCATCGAATCTCTCCTTATCATCATTTTTTCTTTAATATAATTTGCATTAAAAACAATTGCAATAGCAAGAACAAACAACGAACGTTGAAATGAAATAAAACTAACGGAAATGGAGATTTCTTTTGGAGTTGCAAGCTGCCGTCGATTCCGATTAAAAAGTTTATCCATTTCAATTTCCTGTTCGATCCTTAATCGAGCAGCGATTCGTTCTGGATTAACTCGCATTGATAGTGACATAGGTACTAATAAATAGAAAACAGAGAGTAAAAAGAAGGCTAATAATGAGGTGGTGATATCGAAAAGCGGATATCGAAAAGCGGCATGACAAGTATCCACACCTGAAATTAAATAAGAAGTGGCGAAAATAGAAATCTCGCAAAAAAACGATGCGTTTCCATTTCTAATTGCATTGAATAAAAAAAATATTCAAATTTTAAAATAATTTTAAATAAATATTTCAAAATAAGCAAGTGATTCTTGATTCTCGTCATAGAAAAGCAATCCAGACCATTAAAGCCAAATCCCCTTGGCCACTTCTCACTCACTGGTATTTCTGCACGCAAAAACGACTGTCTGGAGAAAGTAAAACTTATTAGAAAACCATGGATTTAATTGTTATATAACCAAGTAAGAAAAGAGGGCGGCCATCTTTTTAAGCCATCTTTAGATCATTTTAAAGAAAGTCTGAAACGAGTTTGTCAAGAAAAAATGGATTGGTCACACAATTTATAATTAGCGCCATGGTGCAAGAAAAATGTTTTATACAAAGGAGTTAAAAAGGAGTAATTTTCATTTTATCAAGAACAACCATTTGCCTTCAGCAGCGAATAAAGATGGACTGGATCTGTAATAAATAAATCAGAAATATTAATGTAATCTAAATGAAGTCAATTTTGCTTTTCTTCTCTTTCTTTTTTCTATAAAAAGAACGGATCTATTCGACTTGACTCAATTTTTAAAAAACTATTTTCTCGCTTAAAACCGTCTGATATTTAGGTATAGTGATAAACATAGGCAACTTCATTCTAATTTTTAAGCCATATTTTGACCAAAGTGATAAGAAAAAACTGAGGTAGCTCTGGATATCAATTTATAACCATATTTTTATATTTAAATATGTATAAAATTTTTCAACCAAGAAATTATGATATAAATTATAAATTATATAAAAAATTATACAGAATTATATAATAAATTATTAATCTTATTAATCTTCTTATTCTTCAACAGTGCTTACTATTTTTATTTTAACTATTCCGCTAGTTGTTAGGGGAATACCTCAGGTCTATTGAAGGATAGGAGTAAATTGGACCAGTGAAACTCGCATTTTATTTCTCATAACCGATTCAATACAATCAGGGAATAGTAACTGAATCCAAGATGCTTGATTTCAGTCTTAGCATATGATCATGATCATCCTACACAATACATTGCGTAATCATGGAAAACAATAAATGGCGATTGTGATAACATGAAACAAATTAGTCCAAAATCAAGTTCCTATTGATAAATTATTTCGTATTTAAATTTTTCGATGTGGGAATGTTGGCCTCTTAAAAAAAAAATATGAGCATTTCATATTGTTAAAAAGGAAAATCGCAAGAAAAAGACGACTCTTTCTCTTTGCAGAAAAAATGAATAAATTTCAAAATGGTTTTATTAATATATCAATTTCAAAGAATAACACAAAAATGGTTTAAAAAAAAACGATTCAAAAACAAGCAGTCGCAAATTCGCAATATGTGAGAATGGCGACGAAACACATTACCACCATGGGCTCCTAGCTCGTGAAGGAGCATGTAGAGGATCCTGCAATACTACCTCCCTTTCTATCTCCAATACTATTCGAATAAAACTCTACCAATCTTGAACTGAATCGTTTCATGAAAGAATCACAAATTAATAAAGGATGAACGTAATAAAGTAGAGGTTTTGGACGAATAAAAGCCATTGTTCGAAAATGAATCTTGAAGAAAGAAAAATGAAATATTTTCAAGAAATTTTTGTAAAAAGATTTTTCTGCATTGGGTCACAGTAAAGATAAAATCTACAATGCATCGCGTATAATTGTATTTATTGCTTATCAATAAGAAGAAAACAAGTCTTTTTTCCTGGAATTTCTCAGAAATTCGAATTCTAGCTCCGAACCATAATTGCAAATTTCATTCGATGCTCGCTTTGCGGAATATTTTCATTTCTTAAAACAACAGTTTATAGAAAAAATTTTATCGTTCTCATAGGATTCACTGGATACATTATTAGTGGATACATTATTATTTCACGAAATGGCAAAACTAAGTAGACTGTTGGATTTGAATCCTGACAGGTCGCAATTTCGTTTTTCTTTATCGATTCGATTCTTTTTTGATTTAAGAGATATACCAATAAACTCAATAGCACAACTACCACATATCTCATTTTGAAATCTTTATTCTTCCTAGAATAGATCGCACCAATTTTAATTCGAACGATTCCTGACTATAGGAATGTAGAAGAATATAGGATAAATCTTAAACATTCTCTATACAAATTATATCAATTTTTATGGAAATACAAAAAAGAGAAAGTGATTAGGATTTATGGCGTGGATCTATTAGAGGGACATATAAAATACAGACCAGCTACAAGTACCTTGATACAGCTATAGGGGCAAAAGGCAAGGAAAAAGCAATATCATAAAGAATAAAACATATCTTGAAAAACCAGCTCAATGGGAAAAACAGAATCCACCCCATAAGCATGTAGTAATATCACCAACCAAACGCCTTTCCAGTCACCAGATTTGCAGCTGGCATAGTAAGATGGTCAAAGGATGCTGATTTCCGCAACGCAAGGCATGGAAATTTCTTTTCCGAAGTCAAAGACTATAAATAAGAACAAAACAGAAAGAGGCTGATGGGGCTTGATGAACATCTTGAACGGAACCCGAAACATTCAACAAGATGGCACCAAAGGATAAAATATTAAGAGAATGACTAATTCATCACATTGGAGGAAGACCAAGCAGAGAAAGTGCCATGGCAAAGCAAGAGTTCCTAAGAGATCATCCATGGGATTGTACCACCGATAGATAGCTGACACTGGAAAAATTTACCAGTTGGAAAAAGCTAGATTAAAAGAGCATTGAAACGTTAATCATAGTAGCACGAGACATCAAGCACCAGATGCATCGAGGCACCAAGCAGATCCTTATTCACATCAGACAGTACTCAAAGTACAGAACTCAACGAAAACCTCAAAAATTCCAACACAAGGGGCAAGATGTGAAATGCAGGCAAGAACAGCATAAGACTGAAAGGCATAACCAAGTAATTGGCATTCTGTCTGCCGAAATATTAGTTCAGTATATGATTTAGATCCTTCCAAGATTAGATGGAAAATCCCGAAGAAAAATCCCCGTGAAGAATAATAAGGCGAAAATCCTGTGGAACTCTTCCATCTAAACAGATAAACAAATACTCCCCAGTCAGCCAGATATCGTGGTATAGGTAAGAACCATAAATCAACAGTGGTAATAGTGGTCATAGCAATACCAAATGACTGGAGCATTAGGAAGGAATATGAGAAACCTAGAGAAATAGAAGGAAGAGGAACTAAGGAGATCTGGAAAGATATGAAAAAGCCGAAGTACTCCTAGTACTCCTAGTGGTAATGGAAGCAGCAGGGGTTCCAAAAGCATAAAAATAGCTTCAGGGAGAACAACAGAGCCCAGAAGAAGATAATGGCCACTGCGCATAATCCTTAGGCTCTCAGGTCTCTGGTAACGAATTCGAGGTTGCGGATGACCTTTACTACTTTGATAGAGAGGATCTCATATATACATTTATATATTATTGGAATTTTCTAATTTTAGAAATTTATTTTTATAAAAATGGAAGCAATAATGGTTTCAAAAGGGTCATAGAGATTAAATTTAAATTAGATATATTTCATAATTTCACAAAAGTTTCGCTAAAAGAAATCAAAGTGAAAGTATTTAAAGAAAAAAGTATTGAATTACAGCCGAAAAATTGATTTCAAATATTAAACAATCATCTTCAGTGGGAAATGTGTAATGAAATATTTGTCAGTTTGGGCAAAGGTGCGCCGAAACTTTACCGTACTAAAAATACCATTTACGAAGTTAGACCAACGAGATCCATTAAGGGGCATAGAATAGGAATAATTTATGCATTTTATGTCCAGAACTGATAAAATAAATGCAATAAAAATAATTTTTATGAAAAAAATTTTTTCCATCAAAATCTTAATCGCCGATCATAAAAATCATGAAATGCTTATGAAATGCAAATCAATTAAAAAATGGCAACAGTTGCCTATGGTAAGCAAATTAGGCTGCTTGGTAATAAGCAAATAACATGGGCTCGGATCCAGCTTCTACAGGAGTAATTAGCAAAGGAGCTCGTCAAACCAGAACCAAGCAAGTGAGTTACTTAGCGCTTACCATTTCCGATTAAGTTCTCTCCATTAGCAGTCTCAGCAACAACCGTTTGGCGTTAGAAGTGTAAATGAAATAGGCAGCAGGCAGATTTTCGCACGTTTACTCCGGTCAAAGTAATGAAGATCAATAAAAAATTTAATAATAATGATGATGAACATTCGAAAATAATAAAAAATTTAAATTTTCTAAAAATCGCGAGAAAAAAATAAAATATGGCAAAATTTGTGATTATAAAAATAACAAAACTTAAGCGATTATATGGTTATGAATATTATATTTATTACCGAATAATAACAATGGCAGTGATAATAATAAATAATAATAATAGTGTTAATAATAGTCTGATCATTTACATTTGCATTTGCGTGAAGATCGCCAAAAAAGCGCAAATGAATTTCTTTTTTGCTGATAGCGCAATGTGCACAATCATATAAATTATGTTGGTTACATTAGCCAACCACTACTTCACTAATTGAGTAAAATTTATCACTTCAGTAATAATAAAACAAAACTGCTGGATAAAATAATTTAACCACCATGCCGCCGATTCTTTAAAAATATACCATAAAAAATAAAACTCGAATGTTGCTAAGGACTCACTTGTGCTATCCTAGATAAATCCCTATTGAAGAGTTTGAAGAGTTTTTACCAAGTAAAGAAAACCAGAAATGGTGATCGTTGTGGAGAGAAAGAATCATTCGAATTTATGCTCATTTCAGAAATAACTAATAAATAAGTAAATAAAATAGTTTTTTCATTTTTTAGAAGTTTGAACTAATTCCTTAAACTAAACCAGGTGAAATTCTGTTATTTAACTAATGAATGAATTAATTATAATGAGCAATTTGGCATCCATTTGATGACAGTTGTCCAGGGCTTCAAGAGGTTGAGTAGGTGTAGGTCAAGGCCATCATCATCGTATATTTTAAGATTATACAAACTAGGCGATGACCTTTCGCACAGTGCCTTCGGTCAAACTATAATTATTCGATAATTCGATTGCTAGTGAATTCTATTATTTTCTTAAATATTAAGACGTTTATAAGAAAATTCATACTGTTTAATTTCTGAAATTTGCTACTTTTTAAATTAAAAATTTAATTGAAAATTTAAATAGCTTAAATATTACTGCGAATTTTCTTTTGGAGTTGTCGAAACGATTATAAAATAAAGGATGACATATTTCAGAAATGGTTTAAAAGATTAGCTAGTAATCATTTCTTAGGATGAGATATTTCTGCTAGAGAATCAATTCGACTTCTAGATTGGCCTGCAGTACCAACTTCTTAATAACAGGTTATATTGATCAGAAATTGAACTATTATGTTTGAAATGATAATCTAGATATTTCACTGCTTAAACTTATTTTCCTGCACCATGCAACAGAAAATTATTTAATCCAAGCAGCACGTTAAGTATTTTTGGCAGCATATTATTTAATGCACACGGAAACTTTTTTCAAAATTCAGCTTTTAAAACCATATCAATTTTTTTCGATCATTTTTGAAAAATAAATTAAATTAAAGAAATTGAATTAAATTAAATCTTCCCATAAAAGAAGCAATAGTACAGTTAATTTTTATCAGCCAACAAGGTCACTTTTAACAATAAAAAAACAATAAATTTCTTAGAATATCAACATAATACATAACTCGGTATAATTTGGTATCTTCAATATTTAATTGTATCATAAACGCATCCGTTTACCATTTCTCTTACCATTCAAGTTATTAATTACCTTATCCATTGGCACCAAGAAAATAATATTGAGTTCACTTGGTGCAAAATTATCTTAGATAATTGAAAAATCTTGACAAGTGAATATTCATTCTCGGTTTCTAGCTCCATTCTCAATTCTTAAATTTAAATTTTAAATCTTCAATTTATAGGGAAGAAGCACTTAAATTTTTTCCGGAAACTGTAAAGCTATCTTAAATTAACCTTAGCTAAAATTAAATTATATTAAATGAATGAATGGCAACATGAATCAACTATTACTATTTCTAAAACGAATGATCGTCTTTTCAGATCGATAATAATTGAATAAATAATTGAATAATTGAATAATAAATAGCAATATTAAACAAGAAGGAATGATTAATAATTAGTTAGTGAACAAAAAAGATGATATGATAAATTAAGCAACAGTAATACAATCATTAGATGACGATGATAGAGGAAATTAGAAGAAATTAACAAGAAATGAATCACTTCAATAAAGAAAATATGAGAAATATTTGAAATTCTGGCATTTTAGGCTTCTATGCAAAATGACTGAAATGATCTAAATCCGAAACTCGTGTTTACAAAGAAATTTACAAAGAAATTTTATCAGTAATGATATCAAATTATATTAATAATGGAATATTACCAGTGACATAGCCAATATTTTGTTACTTCGGTCAAGTCAGTAAAAAATATACGTTCAATTTTTGTCCTCCCTTGACGGCAGTAAAAAGCCTGTAAAAATAAAAGTCCAAATGAGGGCAGGGAGTCAGACATGGTTCTACTCCAAATTTACTCTTTGACGAATCTCCTAATAGCCAAACAGAAATGATAAACGTTGTCAGAAGGAAAGAAAGAATCGAAGTGATTTACCTTTAATGAATGAGCACTGGTAGATTTGAGAAATTAATTAAAATAACTAATTAATTAGCTAATTATAATTTTTTTTAAACCATGAAAAAAAAATTCCTGTATTCGTATTTTGCAACCAAACGAAAGAAGGCAACTAAAAAAGGCCTATTCTTTAAAATGCGCATGCGGAAGCGCATTTACAGGATTTAATATTTTTAAATTTAAATTTGAAGTTGGTAAGACGAAATAAAAGATACAAAAATTATCACTGCTACTCTTGGCAGATTCAGCGGTTGAATTAAGAATTTTTTGATATATTATCGATTATCGAAGAAAAAAATGGACCATTGTTTATAGTCCACACACATACACATCCAGATTTCCGTGATTATCTAATGAAAATTCGAGCAGAAATAGCGAAAATTGATCGAAATACGAGAACAAAAATATGAGATTTTACAACTTGGACGATTTTCAATCGAATCACTTTTTTCGAAATATTTTGTGGAGAAGAAATAATTCTGAATCGAAGAATTTCCAGAAAAAAAAGGGTTAAATGATTAATAGACTAAATAATTGTAACTTTAAGCATTTTGAGCAAAAGAAAAAAATTTTTATCGATGGTGCAAGGGAGCAAATCGTATTTCTTGTTGATACTCTCGAAGAGGTTTCTCCGTAATAATCAAAAAAGTCAAAAGACAAACCAGAAAAGGTGAGTGCTATCTGAAGAATGTGAACAAGCAAATATATTTACTAAAGAATATACGAATGTAATTAAAAGATCCATCTTAAAAACTTTCAACAACTTTATACAGTAAAATAATTAAATTAGTGATTAGTGAAATCGCGAATAAGCAAAAAAAAACAAATTCAAATTAGAATTACACAATGGAAAAAATATACTTACCAAGAATCAAAATTTTTTTGCAGAAAACCTTTTAACAACATCATTCATCATTTTTTCTTAGCTCTTCTTGCTCCTAGGGTGCGATGCTTCCGGCAAAGAGTCAGGGATAGATGTACAGATGAGGCTTCTAATGAGGTTCTATTCTTGTGTTAAGAGTCAGGAACGGGAACCTTACTTAGCTACAGCCAAAACTAAAAACCACTTGAAACCATATTTCTTTAATGGCAAGACTTAATTAAAAACACGAATGCCGGAAAAGAAATTGGTTCCAGAGATGGAGTTTAAAAGAATTAATGTACAAAATTATTAGATAATTATGGAAATCATAAAATTTTCCGTCAAAAATTTATTTATGTCCGAATAAACTTTTTAATTAGGAATTCATATGCGACATCCTCATCTTTAGATACATTTTGGATTTCTACAGGCTATAATTTGTTTTTTATATATTTAATTACATACTCTTAACACTTTTAATTCTAAATTCATAACCATATATCAACTTTTTCATTTTGGAATATCCTGGTTAATCAGATATTGATCTCACTTTTCCTTACCGGTTTTGGCAGAACAAAACGGTTTCCACAAAATTTTTTTTCCACATCATTTTTTCAAATTTTCAAA